TTAATTTCGTAGCGATAACTTTAAAGTTCATACTTAATTCCTAAATCGTAACCACTTGTAAACAAGCACTTTGTTAACACTAGCATAACATGTGACACCAGCCTAAAGTAAATTGAAAAAAAAGATATATGACAGTGGAAAGTTAAGTTGACCCAAGAGGTGTTACCATTATTAAACATCATGTTATTGCATATGAATGTCATGGTTTATCTTAACAATATCTTGTTAGCCTAAGATTATCATGTTATAGCTTAATTATCGTTTCATAGCCTAGTCTAACAATATCATGTTATAGCCTGACATTATCATTTTATAGCCTGGTCTAACAATATCATATTATAGCATATCTATGCCATAGAATAGCCTGACATTATCATATTATAGCCTAGCGTTATCATGCTATAGCCTAGCATTATCATGCTGTAGCCAGGCCCAACAATATCCTCATAGCCTAACATTATCATATTATAGCCTACCCTATATAATCATGCTTTTTATAATCTTCATCAAAAGTACCAAAGTCTACCAGTTCGAAACCATTGAACGCAATGAACTCTGGTATATTTTTGATTTTTGGTGAATGGTTTCAACACCCACTACAGATATAATTAAGTTTGAACTTTGTAGAAGTACTACTCATACTCATAGGTATTCAGTAAAGGTTGTTGTTTTCAGTGATTTTACTGTTTAAAAAATAGTTTTTTTATTAATTCTATTCTGAACCTACATACCTTTACTGAAAAGCAATCCTGATTTAATAGTATACACTCTTTTATACAGGAATTCAACTCTTCTTAATAATCTCCATACCTCCATGCACTTATAAAGTCATTTATAATTATTCTCAGTGCTCATATTTCTTAGAAAATCGTACATTCCACTCTCAGACTAAGCCATTTTGTTTTATCAAATCCTCTTTAGCTCTCAGGGTTCTCAGTGTCAAGAATCAGAAGGAAACGGGGCACTCTGACAAGTTTTTAGCATTATACCTTCTCAAGCCATTTCAGTAAGTGGTCATCTAAGGAAACACAGGTTAAAACCAGGATTTTATGATATACAGAAAAAATATTACCCAGAAAATGTTATCTGAAGATGTAAAGAAATCATGACTGACTGTAACTGGGTGAGCGACAGACTCAAATCAGTCGTAATGGCCCAATGAAATATTCTATTACAGGGGTTTCATTAGAAAACAGACAATTAAATATAAACAGCTCTGGAAGAAATTATTGTGATTCATGATTTGAACATTTTAAAAAAAATTCTTGAAACAACTTGTGATTTTGGGTAAAACAACTGAAGGAATTACTTGTTGCCTCTAGCTGCTAATGAAACCACTGGTGTACATATGTCTTCTTCAGAGATATATGGAACTGTTCAATTTAATGTATTGTACCAATTAGAGAAATAGTTAATTAAGACTCAAAAATGTTTAATTATGTTCTAGAAACGAAGAAGAAGAATAGACCGCAGTATGATAGGTCTTCCTACCGACTTCAAGCATACGGGCCATATTGGATCAGGGGATATGTCCGCAGGCACCAGTTGCGTAAGTGGAGTTTTTTAAATTTCATACTGGTATAGGATACAAGGGGGTAAAGCAGACCTGTTGATGCAATGAGCTTGCTCGGCTGTATCATGACTGTGTAACGGGGCTTAATGTATAAGTGAGCTCGGCGGTAGGTTCAAACAACGCGGATCCTCAAAGCATGTGCTCATGGTATCATCGTGGCTTAACACCCGTGAGGATAGCTAGTAAATTATTTGTTAAAAGACATAGGTAAGAGCATGACACAGTGTGTCAAGCAAATCGACACACATTGTTTTGAACAAATCGACATTTCAAAAACATGCAGACTTTTATTGTCTAATGATACTGTTGAGCTATAGTTTATGACTCTGTTTACTGTAGAAAAAATTGGATTGAACAGTAGTAGTATTTCAATGATTTAATTTAAGTGATTCAAATTATATATGATTTTAACAAAACAATTGGATTAGAAGGAAGTGTTATGAGGATCTACTTGAATTGTTTCAGTCTTGTCCTTATTCTCCTTATGAATTTCATATTGAGTTAGAGTGTTTTCAATAAAATTGAAAATTGCAAACATTTAATCCATGACTAGTACCAATCAGAACATTTTTCATAATATTTCCCCAGGTTCACAAAATTAGACTACATGTACTTTTGTATTCTGGTGAACTCTTTGCTTCTAATGCATTATTTTCCATTGTTTTTTTTAACTGGATGTATCTTTTTAAAATGGTGGAGATAGAAAAACAAAAATCCAAATTCCAGCCATAATGGTACACTCTATAATGCCAGGCTTATTTTCTGGAGGAGTGAGTAGCTCCCATAATTCTTTCATATTCTATCGTATTCGGGGATTCCCCATTACATCATCTCTTGCATCATCTCCAATCAAATTGCAGGATTCGATCACGTGAACAATCATGAGCACGTACTCTCTCAGTGCTGCGCATGCGCAGAGTTAAATTTGAAATCCTGGGAATGGCGTTAACATCAGTTCAACATCATCATTTCAAACCTACAGTAATACTATTGAAGTGACTCGATCCATACTTGTAGAGAATACTCATAAAACTACAGTGAACATTTGGAGATCCATTTCAATGGCAATTTGAGGCCTGTTTATAAAATTTGTTTTCGAACGTGCTAATATGATAGGGCATCTTTGGGAAATCTCCCCCCCTGGCTTATTTTTAAGCCTTTTGAGATTATTTGAAGATCCATACTCAGCTCAGGCATTAATGCATTGAGATATCACATATATTATGGGATATATGTATACTGTATAGGCCTCTGGATGACAGACACAGATGCATTATCGAATGTGTTATATATTATGGTATTTATTTGCAGGCTTCAGGAGCTCAGACCCAGATGTCTTCCAAGGGAGGTTATAGTCAAGTCTCACCAGTCAATGTTCACTTAAACTTAATAGATGTCCAGAGAGCAGAGTCTTGATATACATTCAGGTACAAATACAGTCTAGGTTCATTGTAAAAGCTGTAATAGGATTTGCTTGATTATAGCTGAATATTGAAAACCCTGATCATAAATAGTCACAATCGAACGAGATGTTAATTTTGCAATGTACTGTAAACCTGTGCATGTGGTATGCCTTTTGTATTGCTAAAAGAGTGTTCCATTTGAGAGGTGTTTTACTTATGGAGTAGACAGAGGTCTTTCTCTTTACAGTTTTTACTGTACTTCATAAAACATGAGTGAGTAAAACTCATTCAAAATTATGATTGAATTACCAAATTACAGAATTCTGCAATTTCATTCTGTACTGTAAAAGCTAGCTTATCATATTGTTTCATCATCATATCTATTTTTAGTTTTTTACATATTCATTTATCAGTATGTTAACAGATTCTTTTAGATGGGCAATTACATAAATGAGCAATTACTGTATCAGCGGTAATTTTGCAAACAATTTTTATTTCCATTTCATCTAGTTGAGACATTTTAGACAAAGTGAAAAGCTGACATTTAAAATGTTAATGTAAAAAGCAGGAAATGTAGAGAGTAAGACAAGAGGTTCAAATGATTTATTTGGCAACTAACACTATACTGGCAGAAAGAGATATACAGTAAAACCTGTCTTAGTGAACACCTCTATCTAGTGAACACCTACCTACAGTGAACACTTTTTATGGATCCTTAGGTGTTCACTATATACAGGTTTTAGTGTATGCTTGTTTCTCTGAATGTACTATTACCTTGAATCATAGCCCCATCCAACCTGACCAAAACTACATTTTTCACACAATTTTTATATTAAAAATCGTATTTTCCATTTCCAGGTTTGGCGGACGGTTGTGAGGCCCAGTGTACAGTGTATTATAGAGTAACAGTGGCACACTAATATTCCATACTATCTCAGACAATTGATTAAACACATCAGTCAGGCGTAAGGTTCGTGTGCAGAACTGATTATGAGTATGTAACAAAGGAGACTACCTAGTGCCATGATTGTGGGAACTCCCAAGAAATATACTAAAATCTGATTGGTTGTGAGTTTGTGCTGAGGCTCATGGGAACATGTTTCTTGAGTCAACATATTGTGATGTTTTTTTCAAGAGACCATAGAGGAAAGATGGAAAATACCATTTTGGTACATCACTATGCTATGTTGGATTCAGAGACCCTTTAGATTTAACATCTTTGATAATTTAACATAAAAAACAAACTAATGGTGTATTTTGTAGTTTGATATGTTTTCACCACCTACATGTAGTTTGTCCCCTAACATGAAGACTCAGAATGACTTATAAATCTTATAATAATATAAAAGAGAATCAGAGATGAAGAAGTTGATTCATATCAATTGTGTATATTTTATTTGCTTTTTCAGAAAATTCAATGAAAAACATGGACCAGTATCAAACGATTATTATTACGCACCATGTTTGTTTGAACCAGTGGATTGGTTAATACGCATTTTATAGTAAATGTGAACAGTATTAAGTGAAAACAAACATTGATATACAGTGCTACAATGTTTGTAAATGATTGGTTGGTTAATTTCTATATGATGTATTTTATAAGTGTTTTATGTTGCCTTAGATATATATTTGAACTGTGTCCAAAATACAAAGATATTATTCAAGGAAAATCAAGTCTTATAATAATAATGTTAACTGTATTATTGCTAAATCTGTTTTATTATGAAAGATATTTGTACAAGTTCTTCAATTTAAATACCATTTTAAGTGTAAATCATGAACACTTTTTTATTCAGTATTTTTAAAAAATATACATTTGAAAAGGCTTGCAAGTTGTATTTTGAAATTTTAATTTCCATGTTATGCATCATTTTCTTTTTAAAGAAAGAAATTGTTAATTTTATTTATTTTCATTGTGAATGTTCATATTGAAGATGAAACAATTGTAAATAAATGATATATTGTATATATGATAGCAATATTATCAAAAATGAAATGATTGGTTTGAGTCAATTAAAACTTTGTAAAACTGGTAAAGAATTTCTTTTTTCCATAAAATCAGTTACAGTTAATTCGCATTGATTGTATTAGCCAACCATGACCAATAGGTGCCTACATAAGTCCACATAGGTGGCGTTGCAACTCCTGCAAATGCATCTCCACAACTCTGGCTACTATCTTGGGCAGTTCCTACTCCAATCAAGCGATACTCACTGCCAAAGTTACATGCGAGTGGAGCCCCATAATCATACTAAAAATATACATGACAGAAGATTCAATATTCCGTCATATAAAATCTCACTTTTCACAATAGTTAAAAGTATTTATGCAATTATGCTTATACCTGGTTTCACTAAAGCAATGGGTTTTCTCGTTGAAACCTTTACTCAGTTGATCTCAAAGCATAATTAACTATTGGTAAATAAATTTATCATATGATCTGTAAAATGAAGCACTCTGATTGGTTAGTTCTTCTACTGTACCAATCTGTATTGCTACTGAGATTGTCCCCATTGATCATCTCCGTAGTAATAAGGAAAATATTGGTACGGAGGGACAATCTCGGTAGCAATACAGAGAATACAGAAATTTCCTAGGGATTATCTCATAAGTAAAATGTATTGGCACACGATAAAAACGTTATGGAATGATGTGAAGTGCAATACAGGATATACTCTGCTCTCGATATTCTGTTCTATTGGAACTTCGTCTCGTTCCAATACAGAATTTCTCGAGCAGAATATATCCTGTATTGCACTTCAAATCATTCAATAACTTATAGTATTACCGATTTACAAGGACTAGGGAATGGCCCTTCATCAACACAGTTATTGCATCCCAGCTGATTAGTTGTACAAATGACATCACTGGGGAAAACTGCAGCATCTATTGTTGGATAATACTGACTATTACACCAGGAGTTTGTAATACCCACGGCTGTGGCCTGATATTGTTCCAGTGGCAAGTTTTCATAGTTGTCTGTTAGTAAACCTATTGAAATTGTAAAAAAACAATGAATACGTAATGCATTTTCAGACATTAAGGATGATGTGTTGTTGGTATGTCTTCCAAATTCAGAAAAATCACTACAGTCTTCTGATTGTGCACATGACATACACGTGTGTCCTTGATTTTTATGTCACCACCAAAAATTACTACATGTCATTGCTATTAATATTGCTATCATTGCTATTAATCAAACTCAGTTTGAGGCTTCTACTTACTCCTAAATGTATGGCAAAAGCTGACTGAGTAAATGACATAGGGTGGGATCAATATTTTCAAACAGTTAACATTTGGAAGACAAATACAACAAAATACTAACTGTCTGTAAGTCCCCATCCAGAAAGCGTACAACTTCGGTTTGTAGCAGCATCGCTATTTCTCCTCGGGAACTCCACTCTCATTCTGTTTGGTGATGCCTCAGAAGGCCTACTGGATAGCTTTACCACAGCAATGTCTTCTGTAGGGTGCTTTAAAAGATAGAGTGGTCAAGAACACTGTGGTCTAGATGATAAACATATTCTATGTTGGCACTAACACTCTATGAAATGCTGGTTATCGGTATCTCGAGTGATCCTTACACCCGGGGAAAGTATAAGTTGTCACTCAAATTCCCTACAAAATTTCCCGCTTATCACCCTAATTTCCAAATTTTAAAAGAACTGTTTTGAGGATAATTAAAAAGTCAGTCTGGCAAATTAGAAGGTGGTTTCATATTAATTATATTACTGCAGAAGCTGATTTTGAACTGTGAAGTGCAGACATGAATTCTAAATCACCAAAAAGTCGAATGACATTCTACATATCCTCTTAATTAAATCTGATTTTAATTTACATGGAAATGAAACTTGTCGCATCTCTTTGTACAAATTTCAACGGACAATAGGTCTGGTAAATCAAAATGTGTAATATGATCTGAAGATTACATCTTTGCAGAATTTGGAATTCAGACGTTAATGCTGTGATTTTATGAGGTATTTGGCTATTTTAATACAAGAAATTATGCGTTGTATACCCTAAGTATGTATCTGATCCCCTGAGTGACGACATTACTTGTGTCTGTGTCCGTCCTAGCCCCAAGCTTTGCCCTCCAATCAGATGGCTGCTGACTGAAATATATAAGTATTCTGTAAATACGGCAACTCACAAGGTTATAAAAACGCATTTTGGACCGTTGAAAAGCACAGAAAATCATATGAGGAAACCATCCTCAGCACTGCAATCAATTGTGCACAAAAACAATGCCAATTGTTTGCACGAGATCCATTGCACAAAGAAACCAAACGATTGCACGAAAGACACTTCTACAACCAAAAACATTGGTTGACTACCACAAGTCAAATCGAATTAAATGAAACGTTTTGAAGGAGAATAAGTTGCTCCGACTCAAAAATAATTGCCCGTAGCAGTGAGTTGCAGTGTATTTGCAAGATACGAGTGATGTACGACAAAGACCAAGTGTGATACATAAATTAAATGAAGTTATACTTTTTAGAATTCGCGCCAATATTTTAAAAACTCACTTACTAGGTATCAAAACATCTGGCTGATGTAATAACCCAATATCCATTGTGTGTAGTTGAGTCGATTGTTGTAGTCAGGTCAAATTTCATCCATGCCCCATTGCATCTGTGAATCCAGGTTTGTCCAGTTGGATCAGTGCCATCTCTCAGCAGAAGGGACACGGTGTAGGCGGCTCCATCAAGTGTCGAAGGATTGCCGTATGTTATGGCACTGGCATAACCAGCTGGAAATAGTATTTGGTATCATAATTCAAATCGCTTACCTCACTCAAATCCTTTATGATCTGCTCTATAATGCATTGCAATATGCAATTGCTCGTAAAGCCAGGTGTAAAAGGGTAGGAGGTCCTATCAAATTATGGTCCTACTTTCCATTGATTTATATGGTGACTTAAATACAACTCTTTCCGTTATTATCGTATCCACAATCAGGGCCGGTAAAGGCCTTTAAGAAAGGGGACCATAATCCCCAGGGGACCATAATTTCTTTTACACCGGTATACACCAATGGGGCAAAATCCCACTTGCCCCATCGAGTCTCATCTTGCCCCATCGAATCCCAATTTGCCCCATCGAATCTCATGAAGTCCCATGGGACCTTGATGACATTGCCCCATCGTGCCCCATGGAGTCCCATCAAGCCCCATGGAGTCCTATCAAATCCCACCGTGCCCCATTGGTGTATGTCGGGCTTCACATTTCACGTCATATGATCGAAAATCCCACGATTCCCCATGGAAAGAATGAACATGTTCATTCTCGATGGGACTCCATGGGACTCCGTGGGATTTTGCCCCATCTTGCCCCATCGAGTCCCACGTGGGGGCAAAATCCCACGGAGTCCCATGGAGTCCCATGGACTTCCTGGGGCAAAATCCCAAAAGGTCCCACGAGGTCCCACGCAATGTTAAGTCTATGGAGGTCCCAACTTGCCCCATTGGTGTATACCGGGCTTAAGGCTGAGGGACAAGGTATTGGGCATGGGGTGAAAAGGGCGTAGTATCCGCACATAAGGTTAGATGAGAAAAAATTTATACGTATGAATATAACATGATCTATTGCAGGAAAGGCTGAAGCACTCAGAAATGGCATGTAAACTCCAATAATATTCAAACATTGGCACTCAGGATCGAAGCTCGATATTTTCCAACAATGAAAACGTCGAAATGTCGTTATTTTCTGAAATTATAACCGACTGTAAATTCAAAAAAGACCAAAATTCACGTGAACGAAATGGTAGCTGTGAATTCGAATTTTGAATTGCGATTTTAATATTTTATAATAAGCGGCCCTGTCATATTTGACTGTAGTTTTCCCATATTAAAAAAATCAACAGAAGTATTAGATCTTTAATCAACTAGGAAATTACTGTTGATTGGAAAAAATTATTCGAACTATTATTTTATAACAATACAATTAAATAAAAGTAAACTTAACAAACGAATGAAGAAAGTAATAATCAAATGTCCTAATTTTATTTCCACAGAGGCATATTAGTATCTGATCAAGTTAACCAATTCATAATTTAGGATACAGAAATTAAATTCCAAAGTCCAAATGGGATGTTCCCTTTTAATTTTTACCATACCTCAAAAGTTATCCTATTTTACTCCCTTTTTGTTGTAATCAAATAGATTTGATATCAAATAGACACCATCTTACCGATTGCCAGTAAAAAGACACATATTCCAATCATGATTCTTGTTCTTGTGATGTGTTTGATGCCTCTAACAGGCAAGTAGACGATTTATAGCACGACACTGTTACAGACAGAATTTGTTGTGAACAATCACATGTGGAAACGACACGCAAGTACGTACGTCTGTTGAATTTATGGCAGTTCAGTTCATAATTTGGCCAACGACACAGTACGTAGCTAGAGATCTCACAGCAGTACATGGTCACAACGTTATGTTGGCATACTATAATGAATTGTGAATGGTACAACTGATATCCTTGCACCGTCATAAGCAGCATTTATGATCACCGGTCCCCCTGGTTACAAAAACGTTAGATTTTTATAACAAAGTGGATGGACATTTTTGTTTTTATCATTTTCACCAAGTCGAATTTGAATCTTACTAAACTCGTATGTAATAGTAACATCCGCAATTGCTGAAAAGCGAATCATTCACGAGTATATACAACCAAGGGCTCCAATAACTATAACACAACGCAACCAAGACGTTATGAAATTCACGAGATAACTCCTGGTTGAAGTGAGGAATGTATTAGCTCGTGACTGACTAGTAACCGGGTGTTTGACCTCCTTCTTAGTGAAAACGACGTAAAAAGTTTCCTCCTCCATTTTGTCATAAAGACGTTCCCAGTGATGATTATTCTGGTTTTCAAAATTGTTTCTCGAACTGAAATGTAACATAGCTTCTTGAAAAGTCATTTTTGAATTTCTTGACAAGCACTTTTGACTTTCTACACCTGCCAAAAGAGTATTTATTTTTTGTGAACGCAAAAATGGTGGATGTCATGTGATTTAATTTTATTCCAACACAGAACCCACAATTTCCTCTTGGTATTCAGAGGAATCGCATATTTTACAAGGGGTAGATTGGGACTTCGTGGAAATCAGAATTATTAGAGTCACACATTTGCACACGTATTTTTTATTTAAACATTTCATAACGGAGTTCATGAGAGGCAAACTTACTCGGGCAAACTCATCACCGAGCTGATATCAATAAATTCATAAATTAACATGTACGTGATATGAACAGGCTAACGAAACAAAATGGCCGTTCTTGGTATTTAACCAATCTGATCCTAAATCTGAGGATATGGTAGTGATTAAGTAATTTCAAGTTTGAGCCAGTGTAACAATCACTCGGTTACAGATTAAACTCAGAAATGTTCTCTCTTCAAAATACGTTCACGTTCGTTTTGTTATACAAAGTGGTTCAGTGGAAAAGCACGTATTTTGATTTTTGAATCAACATAACTGCTTCCACCCCCATCATGTTATTCTTTGACACAAGTCAATGCGTGTTAAATGTAGGCTATAGCAAGGGTTAATGAACACGTGGATAATCAGTTTCATTAATGAAAACATAATATTGGATAAAAGTAAATAAGGGATCACTAATTAAGTTTTTGCTTCTTCTGGGTACTGACATAAAGTAAACCGACGATCATCTCCTCGTGCTGCGTAATGTGGACCGTTGTTCATATAAGCACTGGTCGTTAGCAGGATGATGCTAACTGTAGTTAATATCATCCAAGATGGTGGACAAAATTTGCTTGATATCAAAAAACCATTCGATTCCAATTAAACCAAATAAAATCTGGATTCAAAATATTTCGCCATTCTAACTGGTATCTGAGACTAACATGATTTTTGTGATCAGCTAGAACAATCTGACAAACTTGAATAGTCTTGTCAGCCGGAACAGTCTGCCCCCCCCCCCCCCTCCCTCTTTGTGAGCCCATAAATATGTTACGGTCCCAAAAACTAACTAGACAACGGCAACGTCAAAGCGTAGCAAATCCCATCGAACAGTCATGGCTGGCATTTTTACAAAAAAAGTATATAGCAAAAATGGCAGCCATTTTTCAAAATGGCCACCTTCTACCAAAAGTGTCATTAGACAGTGTGCCATGCTTATAGTATTCACATACCAAATATGAACGAAGTGGCTCCACTACTTTTCGAGTTACAGCAAAAATCGTAAAATAACGAGTAAAGGCCGCCATTTTTCAAGATGGCTGTCATGTGCTTCTTTAATATCTACATTTCTAGCTTTATTAATGTCCTATATTATTTTTTTACATTTAAAACATAAATTGCTATTACAGTTTTACATATTGTACCTAAATAACTGTAAAGTCGGTACTAAAATGGCCGCCATTTTTAAATGAGCGGCCATTTTGAAAATCGGCTCTCGAGCAGAACTTCTACCCCCATAGGGTATATGTGGACAAAATATGGACAAAATCGGCGTTCCCTATATCCCTCCGAACTTCGTTCGATGGGATAACTAAAATTATCAAAAATGGGCCTTATGTTTTCAAAATTTGGGCCCATAGACCCACTTTTTTTCTCGCGAGCATGGAAATTTTTTTCCAGACTCGAAATTTGAAAGTTTTTGATATTCTGGTCAGGCGAAACAGTTTGACATACAAAGGGCAGCCGAGACGACCTTGCTTTGTAAATATTACTTGATTTTGAGACTTCTAGAGGGTTGTAATTAACCAATATATAATATACGTTTAAAAACACATATGAATGTCTGATTCGATTATAATGTATAAAATATTTATTTTGTATATTTATGTTACCCCTATATGTATACATAGTTAAACGACGTTAGAGTTGGCATTAAACATTAATTGATATTGACAGTGTTTCTAATCCACGTCCAGTAAGTACTTATTGAGACCCAGATAGGTGGGATAGATTGACCAGCGAAGGCATCACCGCAACTTTGGGAGTCATCTTGTGCAGTTCCTACTCCTAAGATAATGGCTTCGTTACCGTAGATACATGCCAGAGGTGTCCCATAGTCATACTGAAAAGGCAATGATAAGTATTCTATCAGGCATATTTAAGTATGCATTTTCAGCATATTTTCTAAATGATTTGTTTCCTGAGACTGACTGGGTGTTACGAACATGAAATGTCACATTTATGTATATGTTACAATAGCTAGTCAAATAATATGAAATATATGAAATTCAGCGGCGTAACCAGGATTTTGATAGCAAGTACGCAAGACTCATGAGACTGAAGGCCGAGCAAAACTAGGGAGCTCCGTGGGCATGCCCCCGGAACATTTTTGATTTTACACCTTAAATGGTGCGTTCTAAACGATATCAGGCAGTGTAATGGAGAAGTAGTCCAGGAAAGATCATGAAACAAAATATTTTGCTTTACTTTTTTGTTTACAACAATTTATTTTTTGCTCCATCATTTAGCGGGCGCAACTGCGTACCCTCGCGTTTGCCTGGTTATGCGCCTGAAATTGGTATTTTAAACGTTCTGAATTTACCGATTTACAAGGACTGGGGAATGGTCCAGTATCAGCGCAGTTATTACAGCCATATTGGGCAGTTGTACAAATAACATCACTGGGGAAAGTGGCGTCATCTATTGATGGATAATACTGACTTCTACACCAGGAGCGTGTGATACCAGTGACCGTGCCTTGATATTGTTCCTGAGGCAGGTTTTCATAGTTATCTGTTAGTAAACCTAAAAACGAAATGTCCACTAATCTAGTATCTTCTTTGATCTTAGCGACAACTGTCTTGGATAAACAATAAAGAGCCATCTGACCATTTTCATTTTTCAAAGTTTCATTTAAAAACGTGTCTGATGAATACAGTTCTGTAAAACTCTGTCGAGGTGATACGTACGCCCCTGACAACTGGAGAGGATGTTTCAAGAATAACGACAGGCTTGGCTTTCCAATGTGGTTTAATGATGCCTTGAGCAAAGCCATCTAGAGCAATGACCGCCATTATAAAAATAATATACTTACTATCTGTAATCCCCCAGCCGGATAGTACACAGCTCCGGTTGGTTGCAGCATGGTTGGCGCTTTGCGGAAAGTTTAACATAAATCTGTTTGGAGACAATTCTGATGGTCTCCTGGATAACTTAACTAAAGCGATGTCTGATGTCGGGTGCTATAAAGTAAATATCTATAGTGTTATATTAGATGATAAAAATAATTATACAGGGTGGTCCAAAAAAGTGAACCGTTGGAACGGGCAATATATTCCTTATTACTTGCAGAAATCCTTTCATATTTTCATATGTTGTAGAGGAAGGTCAAAAATCTTTGTTGGTACCATACATTTTTTCAGTCTTGAAATTTGCAGAAATTATAAGCCCTAATCAAACATCACTGAAAATGAATAAAATGTGAACTTCAACATCTGCGATTTTTCGACCCTTCGACAATTTTCCCATGGATAATTTTTTAGCCGCAGTCTGAAAACCTAATGTTTCTGACTTTGTTTGGTTTTGAATCCCGCACATTATAGGGTAAAATTAGCATCTTACCTCCGTTAGTTGCAAATTTATTGTGATCCAAAGAAATGTTCTAAGTTTCCAAAGAAGAAAATACCTCCAGTGAAATCGCAACATACCACCATATGGTCTCGAAATATCAATACCTTCATTGATCATGGACCATCTAATGAAATATGGCTCAAAACACTATTAACATGAAAAAAACAATAAAACAATATTTACATGAAAGGCTTCTCAGATTTTGGGTCACAGGGGGTAACTTATCCCCCTCCAACGGTTTGTGTAGGTAACATGCCCCTTAATTGTTGAATGGTTAAAACTGCTTCAAATTGTGGTCAATGAAAGTATGAAAAGTGTTGTCTGCTCAAATATTGTCCCATTTGTCATATGGTAGGTTTTAAACTTAAATCTGTCACTCAAGGATTTTTTAAGATAATTCAATGTGTTCCAACAATTTCCGTGAATCACATTGGTAATATTTTGCAGAATATCTAATTATAGGCATATTTGTTTAATTCTTGTAATTTCTTCAAAATTCAAGACTGAGAAAAAATTATGGCATCAACAAAAATTTTAGACCTTTCTCTCCAAGATGTTATAATATGAGTCAATTCACGCATGTATTAAGAAAAATGCAGCCTGTTGCAGGGGTTCACCTTTTAGACCACCCTGTATATATGTTAAAAGCTGTTCCGTGCTCCACATTTTGGTTTGAGATGAGTGTCGAACATTATTCAGTACTAGACTCGACTGACATATAGTTCACTTGCGTTGTTTAATTTTTTCTCAATATGCTCCATTTGTTATCTATGGTTCAGAGTCGAACTGTAATTTTTACAGAATGTAGCCTAATATGATATATCTATTTAATCATTCAACATTGTAATTGTTTCTTCGTTTAAGAGTAAAAACGGAAAAAATCAGAAAAAAGTATGCGATCTATACTTGGTCTTTAGAAAATCTACAAGAGGAAGATCTGCCGCTAAACAACATATAGAACATGTTTGAACGTTATAATAGATTCTGAAATTACTCTTAGGATGTATCTGATTGACTCGGTCGAGACTCCGGTTGTATCTCCATTCGATCTCGCCCCAATCTTTGCCCTCCAATCAGACGGTTGCTGGCTAAAAATAAATGCGAGTGGGTAAGCGCATCAGCCCAGACTGAGCAGCCATTATTTTAATTTCGGGGAACCACCGGGGGAACCATGGCAGTCGTATTCTCGCCATAGAGTGATTCAGCGGAATACATCTTGCATTAAAAACATTAAAATTTTGTTGGCCTATTCTCACTAGACTAATTTAAAGATATAGCAAAAATAATCTTACATTTGTAAATAATTAATCCACTTACTATACATCGAAACACCTGGCAGCAGTGACGACCCACAAACCGTTGTGTGTTGTAGAATCGATAGCAGTTGTAAGGTCAAATTTCATCCAGCCTCCATTGCATCTGTGGACCCATGTGTTTCCGGTAGGATCAGTGCCATCTTTTATCTCTAGAGATACGGTATAAGGGGTTCCATCTTGGTTTGATGGTGAACCGTATGTTATTGCATTAGCATACCCTGGAACAGAAACTGTACGGTAATTTATTAAAGCTCTTCTATTTGCGTCATCGTTTCATGAAAATCAGACATATCGTACCTTGGGCTTTCTCTTGTGAAAGCCAATGATTATCGCGTGGGGCCCCTATACCTATGAAAAAACGCTATTCTCGACGCCGTCGGATACCGGGACAACCTTTACCTTTGTGTTTTTAGACATGGGGTACATATGTATTTAACACCCCAGTCACATGTCCTACGGCGACCGTACGGTCTATCATTTCTGAGGTCAGCAACATTTCTACGCTCGACGTAGAATTTCCGCGGTCGGATACTGTTGCAGTCACATTTCCTACGGCAGCCGTACGGCGAATTGTAAATTACTGTTGATAAACGCTAATGTTTATTTCTATTTTATTTACATGAGTACAATTTATATATATTACTATAATATCAAATAAAAAGTATACCTATTGCGTTATGTTCACAGCAAAGATATGATAGCAAACTTGACCTGAAAAACGTCCCAAAAATCCTTCAAAACACTTCAGCAGACGCAAATCAACGTAAGCCCGACGTTCGGTTACCGTGGAACCGTTCTGCAGTCTTAGAACGGTCTGTTGATTTCTATATGGAGACCGAAGAAATGATCAAATATTTTAACTCCGAGTTATAATATCTACGGCTGACCCTGCGGCCTGTATAAAACTAGATACGCTGTACGGAGACCGCAAGGCGAGCGTATAGTTTTCTTACGCTCGCCGCAGAAATTCACTGATTTAATTGATCTGCGGTCGACGTACGGCCACCGTACGACAAATGTGACTGGGGTGTAAGTTTCAAGTTTATGTTTTTAGTTAAGCTGCTAAACTCTGATTGTGCTTTTATATTAGACTGATGTTGGTTTGTTCCTATGACAAAATTGATATCTGGAATGTAGGTTTTGAGGTTGATACTGCAGTAATCAAAAAATTATGTATATTGATATATAATTTGAACTTGATGGAATAATCATATTTAATTGTACGTACAAGTCATTCGGGAAAAACAGAAATAGGTAACGTCACTAATGTACTCATGTGTGTATGGCTGATACCATTTGAGACACCGCAATGCAATGTTAGACAAGAAAAGACGTTTTTTCGTTGATTTTTTTTAAAAGAAAATACCTTCAGGCGCCAATATTGGAAACGATATTCATACTATTGCTCATATAACTTCGCAGTACTATAGTTTAGTATATCACTCCATATCTAGAAATGTTTAACTTTCTGCCAATTTTTTGCCGTGGTATTTTTTCCAAGGAAACTAACTATAATATACGTAAGCTTACTTACCAGCTACTGTCGCGGCTACAATGAATAAAAACATGTTTTCCAAATTGCAAATTTTAAAATAAGAAAGAAATTGGTTTATAAAAAATGGTATATATAATTGGTTTAATTTACCTGGGAACAGTCCATCTGGGCCAAAGGTGGACCTACGTCGGTCCATTATTTATTTACAGTCATATTTCATCAAGTGGGTAATGGTCAGTGTTTGAGGTCAGTCAAGTGACTTCGATCCCATTGATCAAACAAGGGTGGTCAAAAAATGGAAACCTTTACACCATTTACCTCATATCTTTGTCATTTTTAAAAATAACTCCCTGATATTTTTCACATTTGTACAATGTACATCATTCAATTTCTTGACCATCAGATTGATAGATTGAATGGCCACTGTTGCGCTGTCGGGAAACCTGTACTCATCGTCTAGAATGTCCCTACCTGTGGGCATATGGCAGAGATAGTGTATATCAGAATGACCTCAGGACAATTGCAGACCTCAAAAGTGAGATCATCTGTGTCATTCTACTCAGGCCACACCTTCTGAGGAATGCGTTCGGATCATTGGCAGCTGTGCTGTTTTGCCTACGGCGCGATGATGCCCAAACCTGAAGCATGTTATTTAAAGTGCTGTAAAATTGTGACAATCAGTCTGATGGTCATGAAATATGGTAGGGTGGAATCAAATTGAATGATTGAGTGAAATATCAGGGAGTCATTTTTTAAGATGACAAAGATATAAGGAAAATGCAGGGTTTCCATTTTTTGACCACCCTGTATATAGCGTAATATCAGAACCATATGTATGTTTTATATGTCTCCGGTAATATGTACTGTTAAATTGTTTTCATCTCGAATTTCAATTGTAGGTCTTTAAATCAGCGAATAATTAGCTAAATATCATCCAAAAGTCTTGATCTGTCAGGAAACAAAAACTGTGAATTAAAAAAATTGAAATAAAAACAATTACAGGAAGTGACCACACGTTAATCCTCGCTGGGACTTATTTTTTATCTGACATCTCTTGTTGCCAGACTAGCGCCTACAAGAAAATTCAGATTAATACTACACCCATCCCGTGAAGCGACCCCTGGGTTAAAACTGTGCTGTACTTAATACTCAGCAATTTTTAAACCATGACTTTTCTGTTTTAAGTACTAATTTCCCCGAGTCAATGGACTTTATGCCATGAATTGTTAGCAGTGGCGAATCTGGAGGCTAACAAGGTGAGTCCACATCCAGGGGTCCACATTTCAAGTCAGAAAAAAATTTCCGCGCTTGCATTGAAAAAAAGCCCAAACTCTAAGGCCCATTTTGATAATTTGGCTAAAAATTAAAAAAGCCCAAATGTCAACTAATGCCCAAAGAGGCCCACCAATTGAGACCCGACAAAAAATGTTTGGACCGTTCCCAAAAGAATGTTTGGTTTCCAAAAAAAGTTTTTGGGCCCATCCATGGGCTTTCAAGAGAAGGGTATGCAACTCTGTGTTATAAACCGGCATGAGAACTTCAAAACGAGCAGTGCCATGCTTCCTATTTTTGATAATATTTAAAGAGTTTCAGATAAATATATATACTATTATCTTGAAGAAAAATCAATTTGGATATGATTAAAGCATAAAACATGTTTAATTTCATTTAAAAGTAAACAAAAAATACTAATAAGAAAAAGAGTATCAAAATATTATTTTCAAATGTTGTATTGTGAGTAATTATTCAAGAACACATTCCAATAAAAATATAATTTGTGGAAGAATGTTCACTTTCATTATTGCCATAATTATGATAAATTCCATTTTATATTAAAGTATCAAGGTGTATGCAGATAATCATGTTTTTATTTGAAGTTTCATACCCTTCTTTTGAAAGCCCATGGCCCATCCAAGGAACAGCCTAATCATGATTTATCTGTCATGGTTCTTATGGGTTATGGGCAAGGATCAAGGTTAATAATCAGTTAATAGTAGGACTTCCCAAAATCAGTGGTTATGGGGATGTGCCTTGCACCCATCCCCCTGGCCACGTCTATGCTATTACTTCGACGTTTAAGGTGGGTGGTTCAAAAACGACTCAGTGATCAAAGTGAATGTACCCGGTGTTTATGGAAAATGTTTCGTGCGGTGATCACATACGGGCATTTTGAAACTCGTCACGTGACCTGTCTCCGTTCTAGCCGCCATGATGCATGCGCTCCGTCGATGTACCCTCGGCTCTCTAAGAGCAAATACATCCGCTTTACTCTCACATCAGCCACAACAGACAGCAACAAAAACCTTAGCAGCATATCATACATCACGTAAGTGTTGTTTTCTGGGAAGACATTGCAGTTCAAGGTGGAAAACATGATTTGAATATGTGACCTTGGCCAAAAAATCGGAAAAAACGCCGGTCAAAGATTTATTTCGAACATTTTTCTTATTTGCTTCATAAAGACTGTTTGTTAGCCCCTTCTAAAGTAGAACATGTTTGAAAGAGATTGTGAGGCAACGAAAATACTTCGCTTTACGTTTTGAACTTACCCATAAATGTACTGAATTTCAAGTTGAATATTTGATAAAAATTCTGTTTCACAAATCCAAGATGGCTGCCAAATATGTAAGGAAAGCAGTACATGTTTGGTTTCTGTTTTTCATACTGTGTAAATCTATTACAAACTAGCCATGTCCTTGAGTTTATAGTTTAGTATATAGAGTGTATTGCATTTTTAGTTATTATCTACTTGGTCGAGCCATTTTATTTTGCTAAATAAGTATCCTAAATGTCTAATTTTAGAAAGCAATCATGCAGCAGAGGCCAAAGCTAAAGCAACTGTGGCCAAAGGACAAATTGTGGCAGTTATTGGTGCCGTCGTAGATGTACAGTTTGAGGATGAACTTCCCCCAATTCTCAATGCCTTAGAAGTACAAGACAGATCACCAAGACTGGTGCTAGAAGTCGCACAACATTTAGGTTTGTTGATTCATCACTAACTAATGCCCTCCTGATGAATGAATGTTCACTAATGAATGGATTTGTTTCCATAAATCATCCAGCAGGTTTTGCACATTTCACTTACTTCCTGCGAAAGCTATTTGGATTTTGATATAATAGCTTTCCCACGGAGCATTTGAACAGCTGAATGATTGTGACCTTTGAAATCGAATTAAGTCGATCAGCGGCTTACTTTTGGTCTCTAACTATGTCTTACATCAGTATCATCAATCCGTGTAAGTATTAGAGCGCTGAAATACTTATTTTTCGATCAAGACTTGTAAATTGTTCGAGTGAATGTTTTTTAGACCTATTTCCAATATGTCGGTTTGCTAGGAGCGAGATACGCAACGAACGAAATGAATTTTGAGAATTAGTTGGGTTCGGACAACCTCTGGAGATTTACGAAAATGTCCGAGCAGAAAACGCCATATTGGAATTTGGCAATAAAAACATTCACTCGACTAACAATTACAAGTCTTGATCGAAAAGGAAGTACTTCAGCGCTCCAATACTTGCACAGAAGGATGATAATGATGTATAACATAGTTAGAGAACAAAAGTAGGCTGCTGATCGACTTAATTCGATTTCAAAGGTCACTATTAATCAGCTGTCCACTTCCCCGTTTGAGAGCCATAAGTTTCAAAATCTAACATGGCTCTCGAAGTGAGTAACATTTCACTGTTTTAATTGCATCTGTAAAATTGGAAGAAAATAAGACTGGTGCAATAGTAAATTCTTATTTTTTATTCTGGGAAGTAGTTCTTATGGTTAAAATAATTTTAAGATAATTGTGGAACGCCAAACACGACAATGAAGGCAACAATGATATCGATATTGATCTTAGCAGAATCCTTTGAAATTTAGATCGTCCATTTTGCCAGTCACATGTCTAATCATATTTCTAGTTGATACCACCTGACTTGTGAGGTGTCACTCAACCATGTCTCCAAAGAAAGATATTAATTTATTAGAAAATGGTTTTCAGACATCTGCTGCTGAATATAGAAGAAAACGTCCCAAGATAGCAATGTCAAAATAATATTGTAGATAGGGCCCATGAAATAAACGAACTAAAGTTGAAAGATCACAACGTTCGCTACTTTGTTCAATTCCGGAAATCTCTATGATGCTACAAATGGGAAATTAATTCAATCTATATTTTATAACCTCAGAGTACTGCCTTCAGTCTTATGTTTAGCCGAGTTTCACAATTTACATAGTTCAAAAAATTCAGAGAATTTTCTAGTTCTTTTACACATTTTACAAAAAAATATTCTTCACACTCTTTTCTAGGTACATACATTTGCGCTCTCTTTGTGCAAATCTGAAAGATGTAGACAATGTGGGGAAGGAGTATTGATCTTTGAAAAATAACATGTGACTATATTGAGAATTGCATCAAAATTCCGAACATGCAGTGTGACCCCTAAGAACCAAATGAATAATTTCTTGCTTTTCCTATTGCAGGAGAAAATACAGTAAGAACAATTGCCATGGATGGTACAGAAGGTCTTGTACGTGGCAATGTATGTACCGATGTAGGCTCATCCATTAGAATCCCAGTAGGCCCTGCAACTTTAGGACGTATCATAAATGTTATTGGTGAACCTATTGATGAGAGGGGACCAGTAAATACAGACAAGTAAGTCCTCATCCTAAACTGTATTCCTTATGGAAGAATTCACACCTGGAATGTAAAATATATACAGCTCACTTTATAATTGAGAACACATCTGACTGATCTATTAATCCACATACAAGGTGTAATTTATTAGAATAATTATCATCATTCTTGTTTGATTGTAGATTTGCATCTATCCATCAAGAAGCCCCTGAGTTTGTAGACATGAGTGTAGAACAGGAGATTCTGGAGACTGGCATCAAAGTCGTAGATCTTCTTGCTCCCTATGCTAAGGGAGGAAAGATTGGTAAGCATTTTGTCATACATATAGGTTGGCGTTTCGATTTTTATGCCGGCTTTAACTCCCTAATTATTATCAGAGGTTGGGGTGAGAACTGACATGATGATAAAGTTAATTAATAAGTTTTTTACAATACTGTACTCCGGGTAAATTTTGACGCTACAAAATTTCGCGATTTTTCAAAATTGCAATTTCGTGGCTATTTAATTTCGCGGAATTGAATTGATGACATTTCGCGGATTGCACAAGTTGAATTTTTTCCTCCGGCTCTGTAAACTCTAAATTGATAATATTAATACACTTACATGCCTTTTTACATTTGCATGAGCTTAGTAAGTACATCAATTGTTAATATAAAATTGAGAACAGTACCCCATGTTAATTATCGTCCAACAACACTGGTTGAAACGTTCTACACCGAACGAAACATATCAAAAGTCCCGGGTCAAATCCCCGGGGATTTAAAAGACAAATTTCGCGACGATAAATGTTTGCGATTTTACTACATTCGCAAACAAAGCGAAATTAAATCGCACGCGAACAATACCCGGAGTACAGTATTTTAAGTATGATTATAATTTTTGGAAAAGAGCAATGTACTATGCAATGCAATTCCACCAGCTTTTCACTGTGGTACATAGGGCAAAAGAATATAAATCTTTCACAGTTAATTTTAAAACTTTATCTTAAATTCACTTCATTCTACATGTGATTTTGTTTTGTCAATGTCCTGCAACGTAAAAACCCATGTCACTGTTTGTAGTAGCTTATGAGATGGAAAAAACTCATTTGCTTTTTAAGTATCAGTCGTTTTGGGATTTCCATTGTAAAATACACATTCCAGTTGGATTTTTCATTCCAAAATCTTGTCTCTTCAACTAATTAGTATTTGGCATTCAGGATGAACTTTACCTTGCGACAGTGAAAAGAATTAGAGATAAGCTTTGAAAAAGTTTTTGAATTATTGAGAAAAAAGTGCCCATTGAAAAGAGGAGTGGGCAACTTTAACATTTCAATATTCATTTAAATTGGAACTCGGATGTCTACTGCTTTCAAAGATCTGATTTCCATGTACTTGCATTTAACAGGTCTTTTCGGAGGCGCTGGTGTAGGCAAGACTGTGTTGATTATGGAGCTGATTAACAATGTAGCCAAGAAGCATGGTGGTTACTCTGTGTTTGCTGGTGTAGGAGAGCGTACACGTGAGGGTAATGACTTGTACCATGAGATGATCCAGACTGGTGTCATCAGCCTCAAGGATGATACATCCAAGGTATCCCTTGTATATGGACAGATGAATGAGCCCCCAGGCGCCCGTGCTCGTGTATGCTTGACTGGTCTAACTGTAGCTGAATATTTCCGTGATCAAGAGGGACAGGATGTGCTTCTATTTATTGACAACATTTTCAGATTCACTCAGGCAGGTTCAGAGGTAGGTGTCAACTTTGATTGTAACATATGATTCATGATTGCTCTTTCACAAAATTACGCCTTTACATTCTTTATTTACATTACATTTTTAATTACTTAATCATATTATGTGCGACTTGTCCAAATCTGAAAAACTTTCCTCTATTCTATGTTATATAGGTGTCTGCTTTGTTGGGACGTATCCCCTCAGCTGTAGGCTACCAGCCAACCCTGGCCACTGACATGGGTACTATGCAGGAACGTATCACAACCACAAAGAAGGGATCCATCACATCTGTACAAGCCATTTACGTGCCTGCTGATGATTTAACAGATCCCGCTCCTGCCACCACATTCGCTCATTTGGACGCCAACACTGTATTGTCCCGTGGTATTGCTGAGTTGGGTATCTACCCCGCTATGGACCCCTTGGATTCCACATCTCGTATCCTGGATCCCAATGTTGTGGGTGCTGAACATTATGACACTGCTCGTGGTGTACAGAAAGTGTTGCAGGTAATCTATCATATATTGATTTTGGTTGTGAAAACTGTTGAACATCAGAAAGAAGTGTACATGATGAAAAAGATCCAACTCAGATGAATGATGTTGAATACATTTCCAACGAACTTTTTAACCCTGATACACTTCAGTTATAATGTCCCCACCACATAGTGTGGGGCCATATTGTCGGCCTAGGCGCGTCTGTCTGTCCATACGTCCGGGAGTTTTCTCCAAAACCGCTACAGATATCACCTTCAAATTTTCAGGGATAACTTATGAGTGCATACAGATGTGGATGAAAAAATTTTAACTCGATACCTACTTCCTGTCGGCCATTTTGAAGTCAAATGCTAAAATCCTTGTCTGCAAACTTTAAGAAAAACGGCTTCACAGTTGCTTTTAAAACTTTAACATCTTGTTCAGCTCACTTCATTCTAGATCTGATTAGGTTTTGGACCTGTTAGCTCAGTCATGTCAGCCATTTTGAATGTCTTAAGAAAAGTGAGCGCACGATAATACTTTGTATCATATTGAATGGTGTTTTTGAGTTTTCATACTTTAACTATTTAGTAGCTTTATAAATAATTTCAGATGTACTTTGTTGTAAAAGCCTATGTTATTGTTTACAGTAGTTATATGTGATAATTTTGTAAGAAGAAATCAGCAAAAACACATAATCACTTTTTTATTGTCGGCCATTTTGGATTTTTCCGTCCTAAAATCTTGTCTGTGAAGTCTTGTCTACGTGTTTTCAGGTGAACCGTTTGGTGGATCAATTTCAAATTTTCAGGGATGATTCCTAGTATAAAAATCTAGATCTGATTTGTTTTTTGGCATTCTGGGTAAATGTCAAGGCAGCCATTTTGGATTTTCCGTCCTAAAATCTTGTCTGTAAAGTCTTGTCTACGCGTTTTCAGGTGAACCGTTTGGTAGATCAATTTCAAATTTTCAGAGATGATTCTTGGTATGAAAATGTAGAACTGATTAGTTTTTTAGCATTCTGAGTAAATGTCAAGGCAGCCATTTTGGATTTTCCGTCCTAAAATCTTGTCTGTAAAGTCTTGTCTACGTGTTTTCAGGTGAACCGTTTGGTAGATCAATTTCAAATTTTCAGAGATGATTCTTAGTATGAAAATGTAGAACTGATTAGTTTTTTGGCATTCTGGGCAAATGTCAAGGCAGCCATTTTGGATTTTCTGTCCTAAAATCTTGTCTGTAAAGTCTTGTCTATGCATTTCCAGGTGAACCGTTCTGTAGATCAATTTCAAATTTCTAGGGATGATTCTTGGTATGAAAATCTAGATCTGATTAGTTTTTTGGCATTCTGGATAAATGTCAAGGCAGCCATTTTGGATTTTCCGTCTTAAAATCTTGCCTGTAAAGTCTTGTCTACGCGTTTTTAGGTGAACCGTTTGGTAGATCAATTTCAAATTTTCAGGGATGATTCTTAGTGTGAAAATCTACATCTGATTAGTTTTTTGGCATTCTGTGTAAATGTCACGGCAGCCATTTTGGATTTTCTGTCCTAAAATCTTGTCTGTAAAGTCTTGTCTACGCGTTTTCAGGTGAACCATTTGGTAGATCAATGTCATATTTTCAGGGATGATTCTTAGTATGAAAATCTAGGAACAGATTAGTTTTTTGACATTCTGGGTAAATGTCAAGGCAGCCATTTTGGATTTTCCATCCTAAAATCTTGTCTGTAAAGTCTTGTTTACATGTTTTCTAGTTAATTGTGTGACGGATCAATTAAAAATTTTCAGGAGTGGTTCTTAGTTTGAAAATCTAGAACTGACTAAATTTTTGGCATTCTGGGTAAATTTAAAGGTGGCCATTTTGGATTTTCCGTCCTAAAATTGTGTTGGTAAAGTCTTGTCTACTCATTTTCAGGATAACCATTTGATGGGATCACCCATTGGTGGGGACATTTTGTACACATTTGTGTGCTTGTTAGAATTTGTAATTGTAGATTGAAACAAGTTCTCATTCTCCATGTATTCGATACAATTTAATTTTGATTAAATTGTGTACAAACTGTTGACTGTTATATATGGATACTGTGTAAATGGGTCAGGCCAAATATCAAAAATTCCACATTGACAATGATAATATAACTTCAATTTTCAGTTAATTTCGTGAACAAGGGAAAATTGCAAGAAAACATTGTTTCGACCATGTTTCTAAAAAGTTGACAGACTTAATGATTTTGACACTTCTCCATTATCATTTAATCTTTTATATTTGTTTCCAGGATCACAAATCACTCCAAGATATCATTGCCATTCTTGGTATGGATGAGTTGTCTGAGGATGACAAGCTAACAGTGGCACGTGCACGTAAAATGCAGAAGTTCCTCTCACAGCCCTTCCAGATGGCGGAGGTCTTCACAGGCTCAGAGGGAAAACTGGTACCCCTTAGTGAAACCATCAAGGGATTCAAAATGATCTTAAGTGGTATGTAAATCATACAGTAGTTTCAGTTTAGTATCAGTACAGTAGTTAAAATAATATCATAATATCCCGACAATTGTGGTAGTATTTTCCTGGTTGTAGACATTTTAAACTTTTGAGTAACAGGACTTCAGGATATGAATCTTTACAATTGAAGTGTAAATGATGAAAAAGATCCAACTCAGATAAATGATGCTGATTACATTTCCAACGAACTTTTTAACCCTGATACACTTCAGTTGTAACAGTCAAAAGATTAGTCGAGAACACCTTGAGTGCTAAAATATTTTAAAATGTATCAATAAAAATTTGAGCTCTCAATATGGACAGATATTGTTAATTTTTCGAAATATGATTCATATGTTAATCATTTGGTGCATTTACTTCTAGGTGAACTTGACCATCTACCTGAAATTGCATTCTACATGGTAGGAAATATTGAAGAGGTCGTTGCCAAAGCTGAGAGATTGGCAGAAGAACAGTCATAACTCTAAAGACTTTAGCCAATTTTTAATATACAGAATAATAGTTTTGGTAGAATGTATTATAATGGACAATAAGACAGATATTTGATTTTCAATGGACACTGTGTGTGAACTAGGTTTAATGCATCCTTCATTGCCAACATAGATTGAATTGAGCCAAAACCCAATAATAGTAATGATTCTGGAAGCCTAGTCGAATGGCTTGTATTTATGTTGACTTGATTGTCACTGCATGGTTATTTACAGAACCAATGTAGTAATAAACATGTTAAAAATATTATAAAATTGATTTGTGTTTACTCCACCTTTATCTCATTGAATTTACCTGTATAATCAATGCAATTCACCAAAAGGGTAAACAGTGTAAGAGTGGAAAATTATCAGTTAATTCTCCATTCATTTCCATATGACCATAGTCGATGCAATCCACCAAAAGTAGAGTGGAAATTAACATCTTTGATCTTAATATTTGATGTATTATACACTATTGAGGGTATTTGGATTTTAGTTTCCTTCACATTTATTACACAGGGAGATATGCTGAGTACTAAAATAGTACAAAGTTAGTACTAAATTAACACTGGCAAAAGTGCCCTCATGAGCACTCGTGCCAAGAGTGCTAATTTAGTACTAATTCATGATATGAGTACTGATTTAGTACTAAAACATGCACTTTATCGGTGCTCATGTATGAGTGCTTATTGAGTAATCAAAAAATCAATGAAATTAGTACTAAAAATGCAATAAATAGCACTCATGTCATTAGTGCTCATTTAGTACTAATATTTGACAAAATTAGTATTCATTTAGCGCTAAAATGCCAGGAGTACTATTTTCATACTCGGCATATCTCCTTTTGTACCTCAACCATATTCAATTTGATGTAATCTATCAAAAAAAGTGTGAACAGTTGAGAGTGGATGCTGCAACTCTGACATTTGGCAATATTTTGAGTTCGAGGAATCATACTTCGCATTATCTTTGAGAAACAGGCCCTTTATAATATTCAATACCATAGATGGCTAGTGCCAATTCTACTATGCTCTCAGTAGAACATTACCCCAACAGTAGCCTTCTTATCGTGGTCTATATGAGTTTGAATATGAAATCAATGCGTTTGAGATAGTTATCATGCACAATGGCGTAGCGTCATATACGCATAAAACGCCATAGCGTATTCTCAAATTTTAGAAAACAGTTGATTTTTATTATGTCCCCACCACATAGTGTGGGGCCATATTGTCGGCCTAGGCGCGTCCGTCTGTCCGTCCGTCTGTCCGTCCGTACGTCCGGGAGTTTTCTCCAAAACCGCTACAGATATCACCTTCAAATTTTCAGGGATAACTTATGAGTGCATACAGATGTGGATGAAAAAAAATTAACTCGATACCTACTTCCTGTCGGCCATTTTGAAGTCAAATGCTAAAATCCTTGTCTGCAAACTTTAAGAAAAAACGGCTTCACAGTTGCTTTTAAAACTTTAACATCTTGTTCAGCTCACTTCATTCTAGATCTGATTAGGTTTTGGACCTGTTAGCTCAGTCATGTCAGCCATTTTGAATGTCTTAAGAAAAGTTAGCGCACGATAATACTTTGTATCATATTGAATGGTGTTTTTGAGTTTTCATATTCTAACTATTTAGTAGCTTTATAAATAATTTCAGATGTACTTTGTTGTTAAAGCCTATGTTGTTGTTAACAGTATTTATATGTGATAATTTTGTAAAAAGAAATCAGCAAAAACTCATGATCACTTTTTTATTGTCAGCCATTTTGGATTTTTCCGTCCTAAAATCTTGTCTGTGGAGTCTTGTCTACGTGTTTTCAGGTGAACCGTTTGGTGGATCAATTCTTGATTTTCAGGGATGATTCTTAGTATAAAAATCTAGATCTGATTAGTTTTTTGGCATTCTGGGTAAATGTCAAGGCAGCCATTTTGGATTTTCCGTCCTAAAATCTTGTCTGTAAAGTCTTGTCTACGCGTTTTCAGGTGAACTGTTTGGTAGATCAATTTCAATTTTTCAGGGATGATCCTTAATATGAAAATGTACAACTGATTAGTTTTTTGGCATTCTGGGTAATTGTCAAGGCAGCCATTTTGGATTTTCCGTCCTAAAATATTGTCTGTAAAGTCTTGTCTACGCATTTCCAGGTGAACAGTTCTGTAGATCAATTTCAAATTTTCAGGGATGATTCTTAGTATGAAAATCTAGATCTGATTAGTATTTGGGCATTCTGGGTAAATGCCAAGGCAGCCATTTTGGATTTTCCGTCCAAAAATCTTGTCTGTAGAGTTTTGTCTATGCACTTCCCGGTGAACCGTTTGGTAGATCAATTTCAAATTTTCAGGGATGATTCTTAATATGAAAATCTAGATCTGATTAGTTTTTTGGCATTCTGGATAAATGTCAAGGCAGCCATTTTGGATTTTCCGTCTTAAAATCCTGCCTGTAAAGTCTTGTCTATGCGTTTTTAGGTGAACCGTTTTGTAGATCAATTTCAAATTTTCAGGGATGATTCTTAGTATGAAAATCTAGATCTGATTAGTTTTTTGGCATTCTGGATAAATGCCAAGGCAGCCATTTTGGATTTTCCGTCTTAAAATCCTGCCCGTAAAGTCTTGTCTACGCGTTTTTAGGTGAACCGTTTTGTAGATCAATTTCAAATTTTCAGGGATGATTCTTAGTATGAAAATCTAGATCTGATTAGTTTTTTGGCATTCTAGGTAAATTTTAAGGTGGCCATTTTGGATTTTCCGTCATCAAATTGTGTCGGTAAAGTCTTGTCTACTCATTTTTAGGATAACCATTTGACAGGATCACCCATAGGTGGGGACATTTTGTACACATTTGTGTTCTTGTATTGATTTGCTCCACACTTCAAAAATGGATAAAAATGGCTAATAATTTACATTCAATTCGTCCATAATAGTCGGAATTTCGTATTTCAAACGCCCCAGAACGCTTCAAATGCAATCTCATTTTCAAATTTTCTTATAACGCATAAAACGCCATAGCGTATTCTCAAATTTTAGAAAACAGTTGATTTTTATATTGATTTGCTCCACACTTCAAAAATGGATAAAAATGGCTAATAATCATATTACATTCAATTCGTCCATAATAGTCGGAATTTCGTATTTCAAACGCCCCAGAACGCTTCAAATGCAATCTCATTTTCAAATTTTCTTGGGGGGACCTCTCCCGAACACCCCCCCCCCCCCCAGAGCACGTCTATGTCGCCCACTCGTGGCGTACACTCACAAAATACCCACGCTACGCCACTGATGCAATAAAGCTATTAAAAAAGCAACAGGGTCCAGGATAGCCTATTGATATTATGAATGATAACCCTCATTTGAAAGATATGGTAAACAGAGAAGTTGGATAGCTGTAGCTGAGTCAAAAGTTGACCCTCACTCGGTAGATGGTGGCTGTCGGACTTCTCAGCAGTGGGCAATAAAATCTATTCAAATGCTAATTGAGTAATCATTATTTCAGCTGGGTCATCTCTTATTTAAATACTGTACGGAATTCTCTCTAATAAATGCACAGTGCGCTCCCCAGAAAAGGGTAAGATATTGAGAGATTTCAATAAGCACACATACAAAAAATTAGGAAAAATCGTCATTTCAAAAGTGGATTTATTACAGGTGAAGTGACAGGAAATGTTTTGAGAAACGAGTTGGCCCGGAGATTCCAGTGCAATATATTTTTGAAGGCTCGCAAGAAGATATCAAAAGCTCTAAGTCCAGAAGTCCTGTAGAAAAAGGAGTAAAACCTTTGGTAAGTCAATAATGAATTCACTTGAGACCATATTCATCATAAAGAAGTTGCACGTGCATTCATTTGCTTTGCACTCTCATTAGAGAGAATATGGTATACCAAAATTATTGAACAGGGTACACAATTAACAAAGCAAAGATTTTGCATGTGAAGAAAATTATACAGACTAGCCAAAAACATTTTGTCTTTGTCAATATATGAAAATGAAATGGTGATTTAAAAAAGTTAAACCTTTAATTCCATAGACAATCAAAATATTTTTCATATTTTTATATCTTATTTTAATAAATACATTATAATATTAACAATATAAGTATTATACATGTATAATGACATGGCACATAATGATTCAAAACAATATATGAATCCGATCTCATTTGCAAATACGAGTAGTACTAATATCATTTCAAAATGTATGATAAACCAAAAAGAGAGAGCCATTAAAACAATTCTAATTCAAATGCTATCTAGCCTGTAGAAATCTGTGAGCTCTAAGTGAATTGATGTGCTAAAGTAGCATTTATTAGGCTCAAAATTAATGTTAATATATTTATGTAAGCGCTTTGACCTTTGTATGACCTTTGCTCATTAAAAATAGTGAAGTGACTATCACAAAAACTTATATTTCAATTCATGTCAGCAGCAATCGTCACCCAACTAAATGTCTCAATTTCGCATTTAAGTCTTTCTCCTTCTGTAGTAGGTTTTGTGTATGCTTCTTGTATGCTTCAAACTCCTGAAAAAGAAAAAAAAATATTCATATTGAGAATCATGTTTTCAATTCCTAACTGTATGTCTATTGCATATTTGAATTCATCAAATTTGTCTTTGTCATGAGCCAACCTATGTTGTAATTGAGAAATAAAATTAACACACATTAACACACTATTCAATGAGGACTTCTTGTTGCCAAGCTTAATGGGGGGGGGGGGCAGTAGATTAGAATACCTTTGACTGTTCACTGTATTTATGATTCGCAATCTCATAATCTTGTCTCAGTTTCCGCACCTGCATGTTAGCATTCACCATTGCTGCCTCTTTTCTGAAAATATAATTAAAAAATTGCACTAAAACTAACTCAAATAATTGAAAACAATAATGTGCCTCCACAGTCTTTACCTGGCTGGCCTGTGAAAGGGTAAACCTTAAAATCCAACTTCTCTTTGAGACACAAATATGTTTTATGAAGGATATTTGTTAAAGTAAAAACAAAGACAGGGTTATTCTTTATTTCTTAAAAAAATGTTTTGTATTTATTTTGTCAAATCTCACACATATAGAAAACTTTTGTCAAAGTTCAAAATATTTTTCATGCCATATATGGTAGGGTGTGTCTAGATCATTGTCAGTTCACCTTTAAGTTGTACAGTGTGAAGATAATCATAAATTGGTACTCACTCAAACTTAGCTTCCATATCTTGCACTTGTTTCTCCATGCTTTCTATTTGCTTTTGTAAAATCTTGTTTTCTGTTTGTTTCTCCTGGAAACAGAATCAAATTCTGGACTTGAGGCATTTTATCTTTCATCAATACGATACCACAGTTGTAACTGATCAGTGTTTCACACATATTTTATTCATTTATAAAGGGACTGCACTTACATTATATAGAAAACAGAGTAAACATACATGCACATGCACTAAATGTGCATTAATAATATTCATTAGAGGTGTCACAGAACAAAAAAATAATCGGAACAGTTCAGTTCGGAACAGAGTGACTGTTAAAATATGATGATTATATAGTTCTATTTGGTAGCGAAAAGCTCTTCAAAGCTCTTCAATGAGGAGTGCAAAGAATGATATTCTTTTGGTGCAAAATATTGAAAGAAAATGCTGTTTAATGGCGATTTAGGGCCATAAGTTGTGAAAGGGTAAGATTTTATTGTTCCGGAACCGAACTGAAATTCTTAATTTTTGTTCCGTGTTCCATTCTGAGAGCGTAATTCCGCGGGTCGGAACAAAATCGGGTATCCATGACACCTCTAATATTTATATAATAACAAAGTTAACAATAACCAGAAAACATGCTGTCGTGACAAACGCAATTGATGCTTCGTGTATTAATATTAGTCCTGCTAATACCAAGGACCACCCTGACCCCTTATCTACTTCAACAATAGGTTACAAGACCCTGTTGTTGAAATGGGAGGGGGCCTTGAAGCAAGACTAGCTATATAAACATGTCAAAAAGATTCAGATTTTCAACTTGATCTTAAATATTCTTTTTCACTGGATGCAGTGTTTGTGCAAAGAACAATATGCCTGCAAAATATTGAGTGCTCAATGTGATTATGTCAAAAATAACAATAAAACGTGCAAAGGTACCCTCTTCTCTTGCCACAAATGTCTGAAATAAGAAAATATGATTTATTTTATTTCCTCTGGTTAAAGAAATTTTATTCAACAACTACTTATTCATTGTACATGTGTAAAGTTTAATTTCCTTAAAAAGTGTTCACTTGAGAGAATTGTAAAATATGAGGAATAAACTTAAAATGAGGATTTTAATTTTTCAATTGAAAAAATTCAATTTAATAACCTATCGGATAGATGATTTTTCTACCGAAGCATTGTTTACTTCATTCATCGTGATATCTATAAAAAATTACTTAAAAAGTAGTACTATGTAATCACATACTCTTTCACTTGTTTACAGGACAAAAGTACTTATAAACTACACATTTAAATCAATTAATTTAACAGCTCTGCAAACCTGAATAAGTTTTCCTCTCTGCATAGCCAGTTCCAATAATTCATCTTTCTCTTTCTTTAGTTTGGCATGTTGAGATTGTGATTCCACATCTGCATTTTGTTGAAGTTCAGCATTGCTCTTTAATTTTGCATTTGCACCTGGAACATTAAAGTTAGACCCATGGTTTAAAAATACAGTGAAATATTTGGAAGTGAAACACCAATGGTACTTTGAAATAGTGTTCGCTTTTAGAGGCTTATTTTAGTTATAAAGTAAATGGGTAACAAGGTATGTGCATAGTGTGATGACTTTGGGTCATTTATGATTACAATATGAAAGTTATGGTAAATGTCACCACATCATCCGATTATGTATACTTTGTCTGGTCTGTAACTTACTCATTTGTGCATAAAAAAGAAAACACAACCAATCAATACAAACCTTTCAATCTCTCTTCAGATTCCTGAAGTTTACTTAGCAGCGTTTTAATCTCATTTTTCAGCTTCTGTTCTGATACCTTAAATTGGTCTTCTCCTTGTTTCAGCTGTTGTTCAAGATATCTGTAAATATTTATTTTTTTTTAAATCATTTTATTTAGCCTAGGGTTTACAGTTTACACTATTATATCCCCTAGGGGTCTACATATAAAATTTTGAGATGTCATGCAATAAGTTAGACAGTTTTATATGGTTATAAAAATCTCTGAGTGTCTCTGGTGAATGTCTGGACATGATTAAATAGAGTGCAGTTGTCAAAAATAGTTGTCTGTAAATATTAAATTACATATAGGTTTTTACTATATCTCAATTTTCTCTACTGTATATTAAATTAATGACACCTATAAACTAGCTACATATAATTCAATCATAAATATAGTGTAACCCCACTAGCCCATAAATAAATAAATAAGTGTATATCAATTATTTCAAATGAATGCTTGTAAAAGTAATTAATTAATCAATATATGTTTTATCGTCATGCATGTAAATCTCTATACTAAAAGTGAAGGTTGAAATCAATAGATATCAATAAGACCTTAAATTTCTCCTGAAGAAGTGAAAGCAATTTACATGGGAGCATATAATCAGCTTTTTTCTATGTAGTATAGGCAGAATCAAGATCAACGTACATATGTTAGCTTCATCATTCATTAATTAACTTACTTATTTTTAGCTTCCATGTGAGTAAATTGTTCAGTAGAATGGCTTATTTTCTTCTCAAGCTCTTTGATTTTATTGTCCCTATCATTTATTGCATCGGAAAATAATCTTGAATTTTCATCAATCAGTCTTGCATTTTCCTGTCTAAGGAATTCATTTTGTTTTTTGTATTCATCTTTAAATTTTATAAGTTCTTGATGATTAGATGCTAAATCATCAAATCTATCATTTAACATATTAAACTTTCTAAATTCTTGATCTAGTTGATGTTGAGCATTTTCTCTAAATGCTTCAAGTTCAATATTACATTTTTCTAATGTTTTAGCTTTCAATAAATGTTCATCTGCTCTTTGTTTGAGAATCATAATAAGCTGAGATTGTTCATCAATGCGAGAGCGTAGTAATCCCATCTCAGACTTATCTTCCTTCGACAATGAGCGAAGCTTGGAAAGATTTCCTTCCATGGTTGAGACACCCTGAAACACATGTACAGTATGTTTTTAAAATCCAGTAAATAGATGAATAGGCTTATTATTTACTTTAGTCAGGTGAACATATAATCATGGGCTAATGAAAGCCCATGGTTCAACTTTTCTCAATTCTTACATCTTTTACATTGTCATCATCATGGGCTTAAAGGGTTCCGATTAGCATCCCGTATAAAAACAATATGGCGGCTCCAGGCGAATCAACTGGATCAGTCCATTTTTAAGAAATAAGGGGAGTTCTGTAAAATCCAGTTTATTGAAATTGTCTTTGAGATAAAGTAATCCGTTTATAATGATTTTGAAAACGTTATCCAAAGAGTGATTGCGTTCAAAGAATACATGTACAACAGCCAATATAAATCCTTGTATTAGAAACCGGTTTGTCTTGCTTTGTTTCATTTGTAGGATATTTCATATGCCAAGCTGTGTGCTATTACGTTATGGGGAAATTTAGATGCCAATTTTTCCTTATTATACACAAATAGAAGATCCTGAAACTTCACCCATAAATGTGGAATTGATTTGTCAAAATAAAAATCACCCTTTTATAAATGTGTGACGATCTATAATATACTTATGCTATATAACAGTTAGAGGTGTTGACACAACGACCTCGAACCTGTGAACCCTTGAGTATTATTCCGGGATCGGGCCTTTTATACTAAACGGTGAGCAACACCAGAAACGAGCGTTCGATTTGCTAAACGATATGCGTCACCCTTTAAACATATTTCATTCTTGATCATATTTCATTCTTCAACCCATGATACAGATCAGAGACATATGTTTTATGTCTCTGTACAGATCAAATGCCACAATGGATAGAAGTAGGAAGTTCACTCATATACTAATACTATTTGTATATCATCTTCATCCTCAAAATAGTGCGTGTATATAAGGGTTTGTAGAAAAAACCTTCATCCCAGCTTATATTACATCTAATTGGGGTCATAAAACTTGTGTACACGTGCCTGTTCTAATATCTGCTGTTTGACATTAAGGTAAATGATTACATGATAACTATCACACTTATTGACAGTTGTAACTCTTCCCATCTAATGTGCTCAGATCACAGAATATGCATCATAATATCAGAATGAAACAGAAAGAGCTAGAAAGATGCTATGCGTATCATAATGAATAAGCTGATAAGGGATGATTGCTGATCACTTTGGCAGCACCTTCAGTACATGTATTTTTACCATCTCTGAAGTGAGTCTGTAACAAGCAGACCACAGCCAGCACCATCTATCTAATATCTAATATAATAGAATCTGATCTAGCCTAATAATAAATGAAGATTGATATACATATGTACAGGTACATGCACATAGTCTACTATGGTGGTTTAAGTGGTGACTAACTAATAATGCTTTAACAAAAACATGGGCAGTCACATGTTGTATAGACTCACTGGCATTTTTCAAACATTTTGAATTTAGCTTTCTGTCTGGAATCTCAATCTGGGTGAAAAGAATGGTGGTTTACATTGGTGATTTACATTTTGATCAATAACTGTAAACATACCCCAAATTCATTCATAAAATTTACCCTCAATTATCAAAAGAGAATGAAAGACAAAGTGGTACATACATCATGACTGTGTTCCACCATACTACGGAGATCTTTAGGATTTCTTCCAGAAGACATTTCAAATTTTTTTTCACATAGTGACGGAAATGACGTCATGCAGCCTCAATTTGACAATTTTGAAAAAGTAAAAAAAAGTAAAAACTTCTTTAATTTCCATAAGTATGCGATTTATTGCTGAATATGATTCCAGATGAGTAGGTAAATACACTGTATATTGCGGGTGCATATATTGTATTCACAATATTTAGTTTCGATCGTAGATCAATCTGAAATTCGATTTTATTTAAATTTTGTCTATTTTTTTCTAAATTTTTTTGTTGGCTGATCATGATCATGTATAAAACTAGTTCTACAAGTCCCCAGACTTACTTCGGTCCAAAGCCTTCTCTATATTCCGGCTTTGAGGAGGAAGATTGAGCTGCCTTAGTATTATACTAGTTGAAAGCCCATGGTCACACGCACAGTAAATATGGCATAATAATATGAAATATACCTTTATGTATAGATTTGAAGAACATCAGCTCACATCCCCGTCTGAATCTATTGTTATATTTGATTTCTTTAAGCGAGAATAATTTCAAATGTTATTCACGTCCAGAACCGGAAGCCATTTTTAGCTACAGCGAGAAAATTTCACCATGTGTCCAAACTCCGAAATGAAATTTTGAAATATCTAAATCCAGACAAGCAACGCTCCATCCTAAATATGATTAATATTCTTAAAAATATTTATAAAAAATGAGTTCTAGGTGCGTGTAGGTGCGTGTAGCACAGTACATACGAAATCAATGAAGTTTCGTCTAGCTGTAAGCTAGAGACTCGAGTAACCCCAGACTAGGTCTTATCTAACATTGTTGGACTAATGATCATGGTGATTGAGACTGAGTATGCACACCTCTAGCTGCATAGATGCATCTGCAGGGCTGTCAACTTGGGAACACCTAACATGAGTGACTTGGAAATGTTGAACACCTCCCCTCAAAATGTGGACACCTTGGTCCAAATCTGACGAGGTACGAAAAATTTCGAACGGAATGCGTGCGTGACATATACGTAATTCGCGTGAAAAGTCCGAACAAAATGCGTACATTTTTTTCCGGCGTTCGTATTTTTGCTGTGTAGACGATCTTTTTTAGAAATTTTTCTACAGAAATATTTTTGCTTCAAATTCTTCAGCAAATGCGTGACAAATACGCAAATTGCGGGACAGTTGACAGGCCTGCATCTGTAGTGTCTTTAGCTTACTCGAGTCTCTAGCCAAATTCTTGGCTAGAAGTACATGTAATTTCATCTGGAACACCGTGAACCATTTGAAGCTGGCCTTCGTGTAATAAATTTATTAAATATTTTAAAAATCTCCGGATAAGTAAATCATGAATTAAAACCGAACTGGCTGGGTGCTCCTTATGAGATACAGTTCGGGACATAAATAAATGACAGGTGGATTTGCTGAAGTGAGAATTTCCCATGTTAAAAATAAGAGAATCTTCAAGAGGCCATACATCAGTGGATGAGATTATACAAAATGTGAAATATACAAATTTTAAGGGATATGTATCTAGACAATATTGGAAATTATGGGCTTTCAGACGACCATGATTAGGAAATGGTGATAGAAAATCGACCTGTCATTTATTTTTGTCCCCAACTGTATTATTTTCATGATTTCGTCTAAAATCAAAATAAACGGCTCTAAGAAAAATGGCGATATTCGAAAACTGGACAAAATGTCATCATTGTCTGACATTAGTAGCTGGCTGTTAATTCTAAGTTAGGAATCCAGAAGATGTGAACTAATACATTGATCACTTCATTAAAATTTTATGATTACTACATGACCCGTATATACAACAGTAAAAAACATGCAGGGATTTATCTTCGGACGAGGCCACGATATAGTGGCCTTAGAAGAAGGTAATCTTTAGCATATCTGATATAGAAGGTGCGGACAGTCAAAACTATGATAAACTAGTCAAACTCATCAGAGCTGGGGCAGCCAATTAGGAAACTAGGGGATGCACCAAACTTCGACGTATGGGGCTACTTCGTCATTAGGGCTACTTACACCATGGGGTTATTTCAACAGTTGCTGATAATTCATATTTTTGGGGTCAGTCATCTTTGATTAAGTTCTCGCCTGTTGGAGATTTCAATGAATATTTTTAAAAATTTTCAAAAACAAACATGGCGGTTTTAGTGAATTGGAAAGTCAATGTCGGAATAGCCCCATGGTCGAAATAGCCCAATGACGAAGTAACCCCATATGTCGAAGTTCAATGCATCTCCCCCAGAGAAGCTGCATTTTAAAATTCATCTGTTAAGATGCCCTGGGAAGATGCACTTTGTAACTATGATATTTATCATCTCAGTTTAGTATATTGTAACATCATTATGCAAAGGAGACCCTAGGGATTTTATGTCAAAATGGGACCCATATCTAGGTTTTTTCATCACAATGGGACCCATATATAGGGATTTTTCGGTTAAAAGCCACTTTGGCAGCTTATCCCCATATAGCCAATGTATTAGAGTACCCCCCCCCCCCCCTAGGGGTTTAAGCACTGACATCTCATCTGGTACTTGTCACCTCATTTTTGATGGCCAGCAAAGTTTTACTTTATTCTTCTATCCTGATAAAAGTAAATGTTATGTACTGAAAATTATGTACAAACTGAAAGGACCCTAAAAACACTTTAGATCTAGTCTGACCAATGAGGTGGGCCCCTCTCCCCCCTTCCTTAATAGTTTAGCCTAATAAATAAACATAGAAATCAATTCATCCTCGAAGTCAATTGATGGGTGTTTAATTGTGATTTCAGTGAAAATGTGCATGACAGACCTTTCAGATGACAGTAGAATACCACAACCCATTCTAGTTTAGCATAAAATCTAACTGAGAGACTACAATCATCATAAAGACAATCTGTAATAATATCCATGCATTGTTTTAGGATATAAAATGGACACTTTTTGTCATCAATGCTCAATTTAGATTACCCTTTGCATTCGTTTGACTTCATTTCTTAAAAGAACAGCTTCGTCTTCACTCTTTCAAACTAAAATAAACCTGTGAACTCACCGCGCCAATCAGTGTTCGTCGGCCAAATTTGACCGACGTTCTATATATGGTCATTCCTTCTGACGTCATCGTTGAGCCCGAAATTGACCAATGACATGCACATATTTAATTAGAACGCATTTAGCGTATGTTTCTTCAAGCTCGCTGATTAGTGGAAGAAGGGTCAGCGCGTAGGTCAAAAGTGGTTTATTACCGAAACTGTCACCGGTACCCATCGTGGGGGCGGAGCTACTTAACTGTAATATGGTCTCTACTAGGCAGAGTGTAGTTTAACTAGACTCTGCATGCAGGGTAAATTTAGATAATGCTCGAGTCATTCCTATCAGTTACATTGACATTCTGATCAGGCATATTTTCATTAGGCAAACAATGATTTAAAACTTTTTTGCAGAGTACAGAACTTTGGACAGAAAATCAAGGCTCTCATGTGACAACTGCTGACAAAAACTAGTCAACTGATGATATTAACAGAACAATGGATAGTATGAAAATTGATGTACATTGGTCCCCTACTAATCCTGATCAGTTCCTTACATTTGGTACGGACCTGAGGTTGTATGGTGTAGAGACAATAAAAGATGGATCTGAGATCGGGCCACAAGGGGTACAGATTGGACCAGATAAATGTGCTAATCTTTTAGCCATGAATAATGAAAAGCAGTTCATTAGAGTAAGTATCAGTATGTTCTGTACACTACAGGATTTTCTTTTTATTTAAAAAAAGAATATTTATATTTGTTCAAAGTTAGTACTGGACGAAAATAAATTAATGCCAAAGTCCATATTTTCCAAGGGATTTGATTTGTAATGTCACAATAGTTGTACAGCAATGTAAACCGACTGATATTCAATGATAAAAACATCTTTTTAGCATAGGAATGGAATAAAGCTGGTACATGTATTTGAATGACTGATTAGAGAATGAGCACATCATGGAAAAAAGAATACTTATTATTTCAGTGTATATCCTGGTACCGTCAAGCTCCCCCAGACCCCCTAATAGCAGTAGGCCTGGCCAGTGGCAAAGTCATCTTATCAGGGTAAGCTGTTATTTGGCTCACACATTAGTTCACATGGTCCATCCATCCATTGGTCATCCGTGTGTCTGTCAACATTTGTTATACAAATTAAAGTTACTCGTCTATCCTAAGTATCTATTCCATTAAAACTTACAAACAGTTCACAGACTATACAAAGCAGAAAATAGTGAACTTGAATTTTTGAAAATTAGTAAAATTGTGATGGTACAAGTAGACCTTGGTCATTATTTTGATACCTCCAAGAATAATTATACCAATTCTTAAATACATGCTAGAATCACCCCTGCTCTCCCCTGAAATTTTATTGCTCTTTTCGATGTGATATTCTTACTCCAAAGTCTATTTTGCTACCCTGGTACTTTCACATCTGGCTATGCAAAAACATGAGTATGTTATTTGTTTTATTTTACAGGTTTGGAAAAGGAATAGATGATCCATTGAATTTAGTGGGAAAGGAATTTGGTTAGTAGATATACTGGTTAATTTTTCTCATCTCTAGATGTGTGAAGATTGAACAGCTACATTGGTTTCATTTGTATTAAGTTCTGAAAATTCTAAATGTTCTAAAAATAAAAATGTTTTGGTCATTTCTATCTAGCTTTGTGTCACATTTTTTCTCTTCTTATAGAGTTCTGTTTTTACATCATATGTTGTAAAGTAGTTTTAATTTGTCATTTACTATACAAAAAAAACAATGAAAAATAAAGGAATAATAAAAGAAAAGAAAAGTGTGAATGTAAAGGAATAATAAAAGAAAAGAAAAGTGTGAATGTATATATTTTATGTTTATGTTTGGGGTGAATTTATATCTCACTTGTATGTGCTACGTGTATACTTTGCAGTTGTATAAATTTTACAATTTTATTCCAGTTTCAAACAGACACACAAGACAATGTCACTGCCTTGCTTGGAACCATGTCGAGAAAACATTGGTACATAGACTCTTAAATACCTTGTATTGTTTTAATTTAGAAATACGGCATTTAATTTGACAATACAGCATTTTCGGATATTTGTAACTTAAACTTTTTGATTTCGCAGATTTTTTATAAAAATCCTCTTTAACATAGTCAACTTGTTATTGACTTTTGTGATGCAAATTTCAAATTGAACACTAAAGATGGATTGTTTTCTGTCTCCAGTTGGCAGAAGGTTTAGATAAATATCGTATGGACCCAGCAATTCTCATCTGGGACGTCCTTGCAAAGCCAAGTGGAGACCTAAGTGTAACTCCTGAACGCAAACCAGTTGTCATGCATCATGACCCGGCTACAGTCGTAACTAGGCCTTTATATGAACTAGGTAGGTAGAAGTCTATGATATACAACAACAGAAAGATTTTCTTACTGTACAGTGATATCCCCAATTACTCAGATGCGAGTAGGTAGTTACCAGTTTCGCCACCAGGTGGCTGATTCGGGGGAATTAACATGGCAGGGTATTACAAAATTCCCTTAAACTTGAATATGCATCAGTTTTAGTGGTTCACTTTTCATACTACCTTTATATATCTGATAGTTATACAAATTAAAATATGTCCAGTAAAAGAAAATATTATCTACCCAACACAAGAAAAGATATTTCACTTTTTGTGGTTTTACAACATGGGGTCTATGGGGAATCTCCCCGACCTAGAAGTCACATTTTCAAACAAAGTTAAATTTTCAAAGTTGATAACCTCTTTTCAAAACCACATTTCTAAATGTAATTTTACATGTAGATTCCAAATATGACATCAGTTTGACTGAATTGTGAATTGTTAATGACGTAAATCAAGATTATTTCTACTCGCATCTGGGATATTGAAAATGAGAGGAATCTTGAAAATAACATGTTTTAATCTAATTTGGTCTAAATTGTGAAAATGACGATTTTACACCAACTTGAGAAAAAGGTCTGAGGAGAACACTCAGTGTCCGAATGGTGTATCGTAATTGTAAATGAATCTCAGTTTTATCAGATGAATTAATTGTACAATTATGAATTTGTATTTGTTGTCTTGGCCCCATGTGGCCCTATTCAAACAAATAAATAAAAATTCTTTAATAACTCATTTCTGCCTGTCCAACCCAAAAATTGATACTCAAATGCCATTTTGTTGACCTGAATCAAATATTTCCAAGCTATCAATACTCTCCCCTTATAGCGAACCAACTTTGTCTGTTGTCTATTTGGCAATGTGTTTCCATCCTCATTCAGATTCACTCAAATTTAATTTTACCATTATAATTTTACCATTTTTCAAATTTTTCCACAACTCATTATTTAACAATTGTGGAGAACCCTTGTTGAATAAAGCTCAATGTTTACTGTAAATGACCTGTATCGATGTACTGTACGTATATTTAACAGGAAGTGGTGAAACGTGTTATTCACTGGACTGGATACGTAATGAACCAAAGACACTCCTCGCTGGGATGAACAACAAAAGTCTTAGAATATATGATCTCAGAGGTAACTAGTGTACACTAGAATCTAATAAAGAAAATAAAACTGCAAGTTTCAAAAAATTTGAATCAAATAAAGTTTTACTGATGACCTCTCTATCACACACTGATGGACTTATGTTGATTAAGGCTAATTTTGCTATACTTTTATACTTACAGTGTACTTCTTTATCCTTCATGAAACTTTCATAAATAACACAACATGTATGTGACTATGTTAACATATTCCTGACAATTAACAAAATATGGTAACCATTGTCATGGTAATGCCCTATATGTATACGTAATCAAAATATCCTAGTACAGTAACAACCATTACACAATGCCTATATTTACACATTTACTATGTGCTACATTATTCATTGTAGATTCCAGTAAGTCTCAACGTGTGGCAGATGCCTACACTAAAGCTGTACATGGTATTAAGGTTGATCCTCACTGTGAACACAGGCTAGCATCATTCCATGAGGTACACGTACACACATTAACAAGTGATCTCCAATTATATTTTTCTCACCAAGATAATGCTGTTTTCGTGTTTTGCCAGTTTTAGTCAAAGTATGTCCATCCCTCTGACAGGGTAGCGATATTCAACATAATTTATGAATTCTATGCTGAAGCACCCAGTTGTTTTACAAAGGCTCTTAGTCAAGCGTTCGAGTGAACATCCCCCCTCCTGGCCAAAGTTTCTTTCAAAATCTTGCACTTTTTCACCTCTCTGTCAAAGTTGTCAAACGAATCCCCCTGAACACCCCCCTCTTGGAAAACGCTGGCTACGGGCCTGACACATATTAAGATCAAGAGTAAACTTATGAAAACTGATTTCTGTGAATTTAATTGTCATATCATCCGTGTAACTTATTTATTCGATATTGAAATAAATAAATGTGTTTTTATTTTTCCAGTCACAAATACATGTGTGGGATATAAGAAACTTTGACAAACCTGTATCCTTTGAAGCATTCACAAAACTCAAGCACTATACATGTACAATACTTCCATGTATGGTTAAAAAAGTGTTGACTTTATATATATAAAAAATTGCCTTTAGAAACAGCCACCCTGTAAATGTAATTACCAGCCTTTTATTTGTTTAATTATTTTAAAAAAAAGCAAAATCAAAATGTTATGAAGTAAATATGAAATGGAAAAGGTATAAATATGCTGATTTTCTGAACCCATGCTCATTGAAGTTTATGCATGAAATACTAAATGTACAAAAATTCAAAATGTTCCATCATTTGTCAAAAAGATGAGAGCTGATTAACATCATATAAAGAATAATTTGAAAGTGATCATGATTTATTTTCTTCCTTGTGACCTTAACTGTATTGAGATGTTAACATTTAGTGATCAAAAACCAGTCATGAAGATCTCTTGGTGCCCAACTAGAACTGGTCTCCTTGCCTCGTTGGTGCGTGATAGCTCTGCTGTTAAGCTGTATGATATACAGCACACTAATATTGGCACAGATGATGTAGAACCCACTGTCATAGAAAGATATGTTCAGCGTAAGTACAGTTTCAAAATTATTGCTTTATTAGTTTTTATATATGTACATATTGTTATGGTCTCCATCTTTTTGTGGATGGTGTTCAGTAGTAAGTGTTTGGTGGTTGGTGTTCGGTGTCTGTAACAAATTTGCATGTTAATGCCTTCTTTTATTTATTTTTTATTAAATCAAACTTTATTCAACACACATATTTACATTACCCATATACACTCTTCACATGCTTAAATCTTATGATATATGAATTTTGAATTGAAAGTTCTAATAAAACAGAAAAATATCGTTCTGATGTCCTCATATTTTCCAAATGTTTTTTCATTTGAAGGATTCCAACTTTGCACTTTACAGTGTGTACTATATTGTCCATTTCTATTAGATTTGTTCAATCGCTGCACATTTCTCTTGTGTGCGCAATAATTTTTTTGGTGCGTATTTATATTTCTAGCTGGGACTCCTCACAGTCTGTCATCATTCTCATGGCATAATACATGTGAGAATAGACTTATTACTGTCTCTACCTCTAGTGCCCTGAGGGATGTCACAGTCTTTGAAAGAATAGCATTGGTATGGTGGATTATTCAAATAGTATTTTGCCACTGATTTGTAATTTTTTACTGCAAATGTTACTAATTTAACATTTGGTATATGTATGTACATGTATATACATTAATATCCAGGGAATAAAATTTCGTTTGAAATGTAAAAAATTGAATATTGTTTATTTATACTCTCATAAATCCAAGAAAATTTTGCACAACTTCAACGAAGTCAGTGTGTCACTAAATGTCTTCTAAGTTATTTTCACTCTGCCCCAGTTTTATTTCAGCAAAGAAATGAATGAAATAACAACAACTGGGCCATAATTCAATTCTAATTAACCTTAATGATGGACCCCAGTTACAATGCCTGTATAAACATCATCAGTTGTTCTCTGATACTTGATATTATGTAAATGTAACCGTTAATTAACAAACATGGAACTGTTATATTGCAGAAATGGTGCCCCAACCAGTACTTGATGTGGTCTTGTGGGAGGAAGATTCAACAGCTAAAGACCACTCAGTATATTAGAGAAGCTGCAACTGATATCTCAATTACAATGAAACGTAGAGCTATGAAAGAATATGGTCTTCAGGTAAGAGGAATGACATTGATTAGAACATAAAGATGTCAGCTCAATCAGATTGTTGAATTAGCGACTAGATTCAAAATTAATGTGTCCTATCACTGAGCATATGGAATTGCCACCTCTCCTTTCATCCAGCCATTCATCAACAAATATATAGAGAATGAAAACTATCAATCATCTATCCATTTTATTGGGTCCATACCAGTAATTTACACCATTACATTGCTTTCAAATTTGAAAATATACATGAACAGTTTATTGCAATTGTTCTGTAAATTTTGCAAAAGTTACCCCATATTAGGCAAAAGTACAATGTACTCTAACTTTGATTTCATGGTGAGCTGGTTCTGTTGATCATTTTTCGTTATCTTACTGTACACGTATTGGCACATGTTTTGTAACATTGTTACCCTGGTTTTTCTTGAGCTAAAGCGTTAATTAGATCCCCAGGACCTCAAGGATGTAGCACCGAACTTAAGACAGGCAACCTTTGCTAGAAAATATAATTATTAAACTCCAGACTCCAGGTTCCAGACGTCCTTTGTTATTATCCCATCGAACGAAGTTGGAGGGATATAGAGAACGCCTCCGTCCGTCCGTACGTATGTACGTCCGTACATAAGTCCGTCCATCCGGGCAATAACTCAAATACTGTTGGCCCAATTTTGTTCATATTTTGTACACATATACCCAATGGGGGTAGAAGTTCTGTAAATTTTGCAAAAGTTACTCCATATAAGGCAAAAGTACAATGTACTCTAACTTTGATTTCATGGTGAGCTGGTTCTGTTGATCATTTTTCATTATCTTACTGTACACGTATCGTATATGGCATGTACCTATTCATGTTGTTTTATTAATTTGACCTACTTTTGCCCATTTGATTTTTTACAAAAATGGCCACAAAAAATGTTACGAAAAAAATGATGATAACTCAAGAAAGGAGTACAGTATACAGAAGTACAGAGGTACTCTCATAATAAAAGTAACCTTTTGACATGTTCATCGCTGTCTAATTGACAGAACTGTTATACATTGACAAAGTGCATAAATGCCCCTTTGCTCTATCTGGGAACTAAGAAAATATATTTAAATCTAAGCAAGTGCCTGGTGAAAATCCAGGCACTGGCACATGTTTTGTAACATTGTTACCCTGGTTTTTCTTGAGCTAAAGCCGTTAATTAGATCCCCAGGACCTCAAGGATGTAACAGCGAACTTAAGACAGGCAACCTTTACTAGAAAATATAATTATTAAACTCCAGACTCCAGGTTCCAGACGTCCTTCGTTATTTGTTCTCAATCTTCTTTCATTGTGTTCCTTGAAAATAAAGCCGAAAGCAAATTGTTTTTTGATTAATCTTACTGTTTTCAAGATATTTGTGGCCGAAAACTACGATTGTGATAAATCTGCAATCAGAATTGAAATCTGACTTCCGGTTTAGATTCTGTAACCTTTTGAATGGTGTCACAGGAGAAATATGAATTGAAAAATACCAGATACAGACTGGATACAAATAGAATTAGTCATCGCCTACAACAGAAGAGGTCAAAATCTAGGTCAAATCTATGTTTTTGAGAACCTGACACGAAACTTCAATAGTTTTCTTTGAATTTTAGCATACAGATAGCCAATGTTGATACAAAATAGATAGGAAATTTTCTCACAATATGCTTATGAATCTGTATCAAAATTAAAATCGGACTATAATAGGTCAAAAAGTTCCAATTTCCAGAATTATGTTTTTGGAGGTTAAAATAGGTTAAAATGATTAAAAGTGTCCAAAAGAATGACAAATAATGTCAGAATTTCAAAGATCAAAGGTTCAAAATCAAGGCCAGTTCAAGGCTATACTAAAGTCAAAGTGAGGTAATATGCTAAGTTCAGAGCAAGTGCATTCTAAATGTTCTGTTCTATGTCAATCAAGTTCGCCTAGTATTGGTAGTTTTTGGCTCACACAGTGAGCCTATGGGATCGACCAGGCGTCTGCCTGTCCGTTGGTCCGTACGTCCGTCTATTTCCTATAATTAATATATACTGGATTTTAACTTACCAAATATGACTTCAATATTAATATGGGTTTAAACCTATAATGTATTAAATACTGGATATGACAAGTAAATAAAATCAATTATAATCTACCTATATGATGTAGATATCCAAATGTTGGTCTGAATTTATCTTTGTGGAAAGATTGTATGCTTCAGTTGCTCTTTAACAAAACATGTGGGACAGTGTATCTATATATTACAAGATGTCCGTCCATCCGTCCGTTGGTCCGTCCGTCCGTCCGTCAACATTGGCCGCACAAATCAAAACTGCTATTCGGATTGAGTCATATCCACATTCATTTTATGCATATCCATAATGCCTATTTGACCTATCATCGCCATTTCCCAAGTTCGCCCGGTTTCTGAGAAATTGCGGATTTTGACATCAATAAGTCAAATTTTCTGTAAATACTAGACACTTTGTTGAAGTAGAACTTTCAAATAACTTTTAGTAGTTGCTGTATATGCAACTTATATCCTCTGAAGATTTCAAAGCTCTTGGAATTACAGTTTTTGGTTTTTACTTTATAAAATTTGACAAAAGTAGGACTTTGTCATTTTCAAGAAACTTTCTCATGTATAAAGTCAATGGCAGGTTTTGTGATTGACAAGTTTCTCAAAGTTTGCCTTATACTTGATCATTTCTTGCAATGAATTACATCATTTCTAGATTTAAGCATTCTCTACATATTGCTCAACATATGTCAGCATCAAATTTTTACTGTTTTTGAGATATTTGACGTCAAAAAACAGTAAAAATAAGTTATTTTTCAACTTGCTTCAATTTGACCAAATTTTTTTTTGAAAATCATCTACAAGTTGCCAGGAGTTCAAATCTGACATTAGTTTTAGGATTTGACCTTATACTTGATCATTTCTTGCAATGAATTACATCATTACTAGATTTAAGCATTAGAATCCCTACATATTGCTCAATATATGTCAGCATCAAATTTTTACCGTTTTTGAGATATTTGACGTCAAAAAACAGTAAAAATAAGTTATTTTTCAACTTGCTTCAATTTGACCAAATTTTTTTTGAAAATCATCTACAAGTTGCCAGGAGTTCAAATCTGACATAAGTTTTAGGATTTGACCTTTATTTGACCTTCAGTGACCTTCGAATTGATTTTTGGATGTAAATTTTGGTCAGCTTAATCACAAAAGACCTTACTGAGCTCTGAATTAGTAAAATTTTCAAGGTAAAAGGTCATCAAACTAGGTCACACAACTGTGCTATCTAAGTTTCTCAAAGTTCGAGACTACAAATCCAAATCAATATTTTTGTTTGAAAGTCAGATATACATTCCTCTGAAGGTTCCAAACTGTGTGAGCACAGGACCATGGGTCCTTCATAATAAAAAAATATATAGACTTTTGCAATACCATAATATGGAATTTTTCAGAAATGTTTCATGATTTACTGTAATGACACATATTTGTTGTACTATACGTCATTAAAATATTTTAATATATCTTCCTTGTATATATATATTAATATACCTTCCTTCCTCGTATATATATTAATATACCTTCCTCGTATATCAAAACCTTCTTCAGAACTGCAGGTTTTGCAGCTGGTACAAAATGCCTAGGTTAATTATCTCGAATCATGAAAGAATAAAGTTACAACTATTCTATTCACCACACACATCCTCATATCATAAAGAACTTTCTCTTTTGCAGATTGAACAGCTGGGACAAAATGGTTACCTTGTTGGTGACAATGCATTGTTAATCAACCTCTGGGGATGGTTAGATTATATCCTTTTCCATAGTCAGATGAATTTTTTTGTAATAGCAAAGCATAGTTTAGTAATCACTGTTCCACGTTTGGATGACTCTAACTGCAGTTAGCTTCTTTTGAAATTCTTTTGTTTTCTCTAAGTTGAATCATCCAGCTGGGGAACAGTGGTAATGAATGCAATCAACTGTAGTAAGTTAAAAATTTGACTCGAAAATTGTATTGAGGATTGTAAAGAGGCGAATGCTCTCTGCTAGAAATGTTTTTATTAAACGCTGATTGACAACATTCTCATAGTATGTATTTGTATACTGGAATATTTTGTTTAATTATGAATTTGAACCATATATGTGCCTTAACCTTTTTCACATGTGAATGGGCTTCATAATAATGGGGATTTAAAAGTAACCAAAGGATCTTCCAAATATATGGGTGTGAAATCCATACTTCTGGGTGAAGGGACGTCAAATGGGTTAATGTCAAAAAGTACCCTCAACTACATGGTGTGGCAGGGACTGGGGTCTGGCAAATATGGAGGTTCGGCACCGAGGACTTACAGCAGTGAGGAACGGTACCAAACATTTTATTATCTATTTTGTTTAATTTATCTCCAGATATAGAGTTATAGAAATTGTAAAATGAAATATCCTAGTAATACCAATACATTTCATTCTTTTCCTTGTTGTATGTGTTAGCATGTATATCTTTATTGCCCTTCATTAATGTGATACATACATAGACTGGTGGAGCTTAGGTTAATTTCAAAGAAATGTGAACATAGCATTATTCGAGTTAAATATCATATTACACAATTCATATGCTTTGTATATTATTTTTCTAATACCAAATCAGCCTAATACTTAGTAATGTAGCATTCATTTTGAATCCAATATGTTTTTAAGGAGTACCATTTTTATGTTTAAAGGTCAAAGGCATTAACCCTTTGCAGTTGGGGCTTTGAAAAGGATGAGATGAAACTCAATGCAATTATAGATAGGTAAGATCAATTTCACATTATTAGACCCATGGGCGCACTCCTTCCTCCCCCCCCCTCCCATTACCAATGAAAAAGAAAGACGCTTTAAAATGCTTTTTATTTGAAGCTTCTAGCTCAATTTTGAAGGAAGTTACGTCAATTTTTGTCCAATTCAAAACATATTTTTTTGGCTCTCTTATGCCACAATCATACCCCTCACCCCCCCCCCCCCCTTCTGACTGAAAACCAAAAAGATTGGCAATTGCACCCCCAGACTGAAATATGGCTACGCCCATGAGACCATTTTAGTACATTCCAAATTATACTTTGACATATTGTGTTGCTTAAGTTTTCTATGTACAAGGGCCGATCAAATAGTTTCTTACCGTTGGCTCTAGATTTTATAATAAGAGGAGTTGGACGCTCAAACTTTTACATAAGACAGGGTAGTAAGTTTGCTTGAGAGTGCCTGAGTTTCATTTAAATTGGTTCATTGGTAGTGACACAGGGTCAATACATATTTTCAATGATTGAATTAGGTGGAGCAGCGTTTTTTTAGAAAAAAATTGTGCTAAGCTGCTGTTTTGGAAATTTCTAACACTAAGTAGTGTCATCTGTCAACAGACTGTAGTTTAATCATGTTTAATTAGTTTTTCTGCTAATATTCATTCTCATTCAAAATATTCAACCCCAGTTGCAATGCACTTCGTATATCTGTTCACTCAATCCAAAAACACATGTTTAAGGCCTTCGTATGAAAGGTTTGAAACGATGTCGGTAAATTTCCAGAACCACAACTCAGCAGATATTTTACATATAACGCTGCTCCACCTAACTTTGTCATCGAAAATATGAATTGACTCTGTGTCACTACCAATGAACCAATTTATATGAAACTCGTACAGTTTCAAGCAAACTAACTATCCTGTCTCATGTGAAAGTTTGAGCTTCTAACTCCTTTTATTATAAAATTGAGAGCCAACGGTAAGAAACTTTTTGATCGGCCCTTGTATAAACTTTTCGTGGCCAGATCAATATTATTACTCAGCATGATGTGCATCCTCCGATTACAGGGCTTCAAAATCCAGAATATCCTCTTTCTTTTTACTCCCTGCGATAAGCAGTTAGCATTTCTCTGATTAAGAACTCCCAATTTGATTCGACAGCAATCCAATAATGTATACGTCATCGGCGCATAATTAGATCATGTGATTCAGTTTAATCGAGCGCTTCCAAATTGCTTATAGCAGGGGGGAAGAAGGAGGTACAGATTCTGGTCATCTGCTTAGGAGGATGCATGATGTGCAGATCAGGGGCAAGTCTAAATCAGCCTTTAGGCAGATAAAAATATGAGAAATAAACCCGAGTGATCTTTACAGTGCACTCAGGTGCAAAATTCCCATTTAACAAGTCTAAAAAGTTTATAAAATGGTCAACACTGTGCAAAGCATATTTGCGAAAGTGGGTGCAATACCTTCAATGCTGGTGAAAGTTTTAGACATCATTACATCATGTTAGATATAATATATTATCCTACACTTAGTGTACTAAATGTATAATAACATTAAAAAATAAATTTGATATCTATTGGCAAAATGAATAACCGGAGGATATCGTGATGATATACTCCGGGTGGAGGATATCGTGACAATATACTCCGGAAAACCCAATATGCGGAGGATATTGTGACGATATACTCCGCTTGTTGATTTCCCGCCAAATTGACTCTATTTGGCATGAAATTCATTTTGCAATGATATTATACATTTAGTACACTCCTTTTAAGTGTAGGATAATAGGAACATCCTATGATTTTTTTTCAGAATATCATTTAAATCTACTCGGTGATATTGATATATGCACTCGTGCAGCTATCAATATCACCTCGTAGATAAAAATGATATTCCTCAAAATCATAAGATATCCTATAAATATGCTCTCAGAGAAAATAAGTGTACATGCACTGAATTTTGTGTACCTATGGCAACTTGTAATATACATGTATATAAATTATAATATATATATATTATAGTAACATGTTTCTTTTAGATATGAAAGTTTGAACCAGTTTGAAAGAGCAGCTGCTATAGCCTTATTCAATTTAAAGATAAGACGGGCGATCCAGATACTCAATGATGGCGCAATGAAAAGTGGCTCACAAGGTAATATGTACACCAGGTATCATATATCATTATTATTTGTTCAGTTAAATGATGTGTTTCAGCGTATATGGCCGCCCAATGTGGGATCTCACAATTATTTTTTGATCTCTTAAAGTATGGCTATATTATACTTAAATTGAAGGAATTTCAGAGTAGATCACGAATATGGTATTGTTTTTCTGATTTGTGCCTCAGAAAATTCAAAATGGCTGCCTAGAGCAGGAATTCGCCATTACTTAGAGTTATCTTGAAAGTATGTTAAAATGACACCACAATGATCTCAAATATTTATTGAAGGGAAGAGTAGATGGTAAATATTACATTGTGACTGTACAGATTCATGATTTATATAGTGTTCGTAGGGATTTGCTACTCCGTGGAGTTGCCGTTTATTAGTTATCCCATCGAACGAAGTTCGGAGGGATATAGGGAATGCCTCCGTCCGTCCGTCCGGGCAATAACTCAAATACCGTTGGCCCGATTTTGTTCATATTTTGTACACATATGCCCTATGGGGGTAAAAGTTCTGCTTGAAAGCCGATTTTCAAAATGGCCTCTCATTTCAAAATGGCGGCCATTTTAGTGACGATTTTACAGTAATTTAGGTGCAATATGTAAAACTGTAATAGCAATATGTTTTAAATGTAAAAAAATTATAAAGGACATTAATAATGCTACAAATGTAGATATTAAAGAAGCACATGGCAGCCATCTTGAAAAATGGCGGCCTTTACTCGTCATTTTACGATTTTTGCTGTAACTCAAAAAATAGTGGAGCGATTTTGTTCATATTTGGTGTGTGAATACTATAAGCATTGCACACTGTCTAAAGACACTTTTGGTAGAAGGCGGCCATTTTGAAAAATGGCCGCCATTTTAACGTATTTTACATAACTCGAAAAGTAGTGGAGCGATTTTGTTCATATTTGGTATGTGAATACTATAAGCATGGCACACTGTCCTATGACACTTTTGGTAGAAGGCGGCCATTTTGAAAACAATTTTGAAAATGGCCGCCAATTTAACGTATTTTACTATAACTCGAAAAGTAGTAGAGCGATTTTGTTCATATTTGGTTTGTGAATACTATAAGCATGGCACACCGTCTATTTCTAATGACGCTTTTGGTAGAAGGTTTGAAAAATGGCCACCATTTTCATGTGTGTTATTTTACAAGTACGTGTGCGATTTTTCAAAAATTTTAGAGGTGGCCATTTTAACGTATTTTACTATAACTCGAAAAGTAGTAGAGCGATTTTGTTCATATTTGGTTTGTGAATACTATAAGCATGGCACACCGTCTATTTCTAATGACGCTTTTGGTAGAAGGTGGCCATTTTGAAAAATGGCCACCATTTTAACGTATTTTACTATAACTCGAAAAGTAGTGGAGCGATTTTGTTCATTATTGATATGTGAATACTTTAAGCATGGCACATTGTCTAATAAAACTTTGGGGAGTAGTCGGCCATTTTGAAAAATGGCCACCATTTTCATGTGTGTTATTTTACAAGTACGTGTGCGATTTTTCAAAAATTTTAGAGGTGGCTACTTAAAAGCATATTATTTTTTCTGATGACAACTTGGCTAGTGAGCCACCATTTTGAAAATGGTGGCCTTTCTGGTATGTTGTTTTATGATATTTGCGCTTCGTTTGTAAAAATGCCAGCCATTTCTGTTCGATGGGATTCGCTACGCTTTGGCGTTGCCGTTATTCTGGTTTTATATTGTCTCCAACAATTTTGTGAGTGGTGGTTGGCATTCGTTGGTTGGTTTGTTGGTGTTTAGCATTTGGCATCTGTAACAAATGGTAGGTGGTGACATTTTGCATAAGTTTTGTTTGAGGGACATCCGTATCAAACTCAGGAAACCTAAGTCAGTAGAATTCAAATGGCAACATCTTTGATCTCACTTCTGGATCGCCAGGATGTACATAATATGTTAATAAATGAAAAAAATTAATTTTTTTTCTTCATATTTTCAGGCGTTAATTTGAATGTTGTTGCTATGGCACTCAGTGGTTTCACTGATGACAAAAACACACTTTGGCGAGAAATGTGCAGCACATCAAGATCTCAACTTATGAACCCTTACCTTAGAGCTATGTTTGCCTTCCTCACAGGAACTCATGATAATTATGAAGATGTTCTGGTAGGTATAATGAATTCAATTCTTTTGACCTTTCAATTCTAAGAATGTCATGTGATGCCCTGAATATTTGCCTTACATTCTGCAACCTTGGAATATTAATTTCAACAGGGGTGGTTTAGCATGAGTCTCCGCCTCTCACTAATATCAATGGAAAATTCCATCCTTCACATTAAGCATGACTCCTAGGGATTGATAATGAATGATAACTAAATTGATCTGTTGGGCATGTCTCCGATTTCAGAATGTGACATATTCTCATCAGTAATGACAGACAAAGAATGACCCCGAAGGAAAAATTGTTTTCATGTCAACCTTCACATTGCCTCTTTAGACCTTCCCTCTCCCTCTAACAGTGTCATTCACGGTGACAGGTCATCTCAACCCCAAGTCATCTCAACCCAGTCCAACTCAACCCCAAGTCAATTCAACCCCAAGTCAAGTCAACCCCAGTAAAACTCAACCCGAAGTCAACTCAACCCTGTAAAACTCAACCCCAGTAGAACTCAACCCTATTCATTTGTGCAATGTTTTTTATGATGAATAATTTAAGTCATTCATTTCTGAAAATCTAGCATTTTGCATGATACTTTGAATAGAAAGTTGTAAGAGTGTGCCAAAAAAACGGTTAAGCTCAAGGATAATTCATCAAGTTGTCACTATTATTTAATTTAAGACTGATCTTTTGAAATCAAATTTTAGATAATTTAGAAATAATTAACAATGTAATATAACTTTTTATTTTTATGAACATGCATTTACAAAATCATTAACATTTACTAATTAATAGACTGAAAGCATATAGGCGTAGCCAGGAGGGGTGCGCACACACCCTCCCCCAATTTTGAAGGAAGTTGCATCATTTTTTGTCAAAACATATCTTTTTTTTGGCTCACTTATGCCACGATCGGCACCCCCTGACTGAAAACCTGATTTTTTGACTGAAAGCTGGCTATGCCCCTGGAAAGCAATGGTCATGATCCAGTTTTCCAAATAATCACGAGTGTCAACCTCATAGGGATCACAACAAAACAAATGTATTAGCAAGATTAATAAAATGACATGGTCTAAAGAATGAAAATCACAAACTGAATAATCAGAATTATTTTTATGAAATAAACTTTCTTATAAGTTTATCAATATATAGAAATATATAGGGGTTGAGTTTTACTGGGGTTGAGTTTTACAGGGTTGAGTTGACTTGGGGTTGAGTTTTAGTGGGGTTGACTTGACTTGGGGTTGAGTTGACTTGGGGTTGAGTTTTACTGGGTTGAGTTGACTTGGGGTTGAGATGACCAGGAAGCTCATTCACCTGCATATTTAGAAATTCTGTACTAAATGTCACATATGATATCTATTGTTTTATATTAGCAAGAGGAGGGACTTGAGGTTCAAGACAGAGTGGCATTCGCCTGTACATTTCTCAATGACGTCAAACTTGCAGAATATATTTCTGACCTGACAAAGTCTCTTACTGATGCTGGTAATCTGGATGGCATTCTCTTAACAGGTGGGTATATCATTGGATGTGTAATGGTCATTAGTTGTCAGAAAAATTCAGGGCTCTATATGTCTTAATCATTGAATAGAAACCTGAAAGTGGCAGAAACTGTTAATTGTCTTGCGCACATTTAGTTTTTGCCATAACTCTACGATTAGGACATATAGAATACTAAACTTTTCGGTGTAACTTGATAACCAGATCTGCTGCATTTGCATAAAGTTAAGAATACGTAAAATCCATTGTTCTCTAACTGTGACATCATTATATCCATGGTAACAACAATTGATTTATCAATTCGTATTTCTTTACGAAGTTTCTGTTAATGACAAATTCTCATTAATCACTTATCTTTTAATAAAATGATTATTTTGTCAAAAATGCGGCAAAGAACCATCTTTGTCTTCGTCATAGATCAAGAACATATTTTAAAGTTGTACTATAACCAATTAAAGACTCTCTTATTATCTAGTATTTAGCACAAATAACATCCCTTTTGTTATTTTGACTACAAAGCTTGTGATATTTCCCCACACAACACGATTTATTAAGATAAGACTGTCAACATCTGAAATGTTGTTATTTTTGCGCACTTTTTGAGGTCACCTGACCATGACGTACCGTGTGTCAAGTTATTCTGGCGCTTAATCGAAAAGTTGTTGTTGCAAATTACTACGAAGGCTGAACCAAAGTAGAAATATACATTAGTTCCACATTTGCATGCATTCCAATAGCCACATAATATTTTAATTGATTTAATTTCACAAAAAGAAATTCTTGAGGAAAGAGGACTGCAATATTATTCATTACATATACAAAGAATTGATTCTAATGCATTTGTGAAACCGTATACCAATAACTGAAAATGTTAACCCAATATTTTGGCCTAAAAGCATTACATTTGGGTTAAAAAGTTTTAATCCCCAAACACTGGCAATGTTTGCTGTTATATAACTTACATGCTTTCAATAGCGTTTCAGCTCAATTTATTCCGCATTCAATTGCAAGTGATATTATACCCTTCACAAAATTGATGAGAATAGCCTCAATCATGCAATAATTGGCTCAACATAAGAGCAAATAACTCGTTTTTGAAAGCCAGGGTTTCATTTTTATCTACAAAATTGTATTTCGCCGCAAATTGTTTCAACCACACACACAAAATTTTTGCTCTGAAAATGAAATCGGTTTTGCTGCGAAAACAGACACGTGCTGACTTTTAATCCCCCATATCATGATAAAATGAACTTTTGGAATTGTCAATGGTCAGGCCCGTAAGACACTTTTCTCCAAGGGGGGTGCGGTTTTTAGCTTACTAAAGAGAATATAAAATTGTCATTTTTTTGCCGCGTAATCAAATCGCGTAAGACAGGGGGGGGGGGGGTCAGTTACTCCCTATATTGGTTTGGAATTAACAAATGCAACTTCCAAACGTTCCAATTGTTTTGTGGGGGGTATGAGGAGTGGTCCACTCCCCCTAGAAAATTTTACAGTTTTGAGATGCTATTTGGTGCTTTCTGGGCACTTTCAACGTGTAAGTTTCTAAGTAGTACGCCACCACCACGGGAATAAGAGTTGAGTGAATAAAAAACTGAGCATTCAGGGCCTAGGGGGTCTGGGGGTTCTCCCCCCAGGAAAATTTTGAAATTTGGTTGTATTTGGAGCGAATTTGCAACCATCTGGTACGCCTGTGCGATATGAGTCAATAAGAAAAATGTGAATTTTTTTTTCAAATTCTTTTAGGGGTGTCAAAGAGGATGAGAGGGTGAAGTGGGGTGGGGTGCCAGTAGGGGCGCAAGGGGTTGTCCCCCAGAAACATTGACCATATCAAGGTGCTATTTGATGATGTCTGGGCACTTAAAAAATGTCTGAGACAATACATGAAATTCAGAATATTTTCTTTTGTTTTGTGGGGGATGTGAGGGGTGGCTAACTCTCCTAGAAAATTTTACAATTTAAAGATGGTATTTGGTGCTTCTGGGCACTTTTAAAGTGTATTAGTCAATAAAAACATTGAAAAACAATCACAATTTTTTTCAAATTTTGGGGGTGTCAAAGGGGGGAGGGGTGCCAGAGGGGGAGGTGGGGCTGGGGTGCCAGAGGGGGAGCAAGTGTTTGTCCCCCATATCAAAATTTACAATATCAAGGTGCTAATCGATGAAGTTTGGGCACTTTAAAAGTGTCTGTGCCTAAAAGTGCCTATTTCCCAAGAAAATTTTACAATTTTAAGATGCTATTTGGTGCTTTCTGGGCACTTTTTGGGGTGTTAAGGGGGGGGGGGGGCTGCCAGAGGGGGAGGTGGAGTGGGGATGCCAGAGGACGAGTAAGTGTTAGTCTTCCAGAATCATTAACTTTATCAAGGATCGAGCTATTTGATGATGTCTGGGCAATTTAAAAGTGTCTGAGACAAAACACTAAAATAAATTTAGAACTTTCCATTGTTTTGTTTGGGGTGTGAGGGGTGGCCCACTCCCCCTAGAAAATTTTACAATTTTACGACGCTTTTTGGTGCTTTCTGGGCACTTTCAAAGTGTATGAGTCAATTAAAGAATTTGGGGGGGGGGTCAAGGTGGGGGGGGGCGCCAGAGGGGGGGGCGCCAGAGTGGGGGGGGGGGCAAGTGCAAGATGCAAGAGGGGGAGCAAGTCCCCCAGAAACACTAACTATATCAAGGAGCTATTTGATGATGTCTGGCCATTGTTTTGTGGGGGGTGTGAGGGGTGGCCAATACCCCTAGAAAATTTTTCAATTTTAAGATGCTATTTGGTGCTTTCTGGGTACTTTCAAAGTGTATGAGTCAATGAAAAAAAAATTACAAAAAAAATATTTTTCAAAAAAAAACATTTTTTTCAAATTTTTTTTGTGGGGTGACAAAGGGGGGTGCGGTCGCACCCATCGCACACCCCCATCTGACGGCCCTGATGGTTCACCATCGTAAAGTTCGGCCTTCATACGGTAAGATAGCATGAATAGATCTAAATCTAGTAAAATGGTTTGAGTACAACTTTATTAAGTGAATTTGATGAAAATCACTCAAGAGTCTTTTGTAGAACAGGGGTTTCAAACATGATGAAATTGACACTTTCTGCAAATGTGAGGAGTGAACTTCATTTAATATATTCATCCCTATAGGTCTGACAAAATTGGGACTTGAGCTGTTACAGAACTATGTTGATAATACAGGAGATGTGCAAACGGCTGCCCTTGTTGTCATTCAGGCATTCCCAGGGGACATATCAAAGGATCAAAGGGTTTTAACCTGGATTGAAAGGTAAATATAAGATATAGCAAAGGATCAAAGGGTTTTAACCCGGATTGAAAGGTAAATATAAGATATAGCAAAGGATCAAAGGGTTTTAACCTGGATTGAAAGGTAAATATAAGATATAGCAAAGGATCAAAGGGTTTTAACATGGATTGAAAGGTAAATATAAAATAAAGCAAAGGATCCAAGGGTTTTGAGTTGCATTGAAAGTACTTTAAATTGCTATTATTTATTTAATATGAAAAAAGTTGTATTGCCTGGATCAAAACTGATACATTATGTAATTGTGTGAACATTTCTCGAAGTTTTTAAATGTTATTTGATTAAAAAGCAATCAATCTGTGTATGGTAAGATGACTAATTACTCATGTATTATATTTACCACATTTAATGATGTATTACACAATTTTATACTGATTTTCAGCTATCGGGACCTGCTGGACCAGTGGAAGCTTTGGCATCAGAGGTGAGGACACTTATATTACGATTAGTTCTTACAGAACTTTGGGAATGTGCCCAAAACCTTCAGGTTTACTGGTTTCTCTATTTAAATCACTTTTCCATATTTGATACCATTACTCTTTAGTCTGGTCAAGTGAATTGTTGATACATGAACATTTCCATTCCAAGATTTTACACTTAGTCTATTCTTTGAAACCAGTTTATGATGTTTTCCTATGTGAATATACTGGCAGATCATCACCAGGTACTTGAAATGAATCATTGGACTGTTATAATACAAAAAACATGTACGAGGCATGTGAATTGTGAATGAATGTCAACCCAACTCCTCCCAAAGCATGATGAAATTAGTATTACTCTGCATACCAAGAAAAAATGAAATGTGACCCAATTATCAATATGTAGCTCAAGGTAAAATCATGACATGTATGAATGTTTATCTATAAAAAGGCTGACAGTAGACAGTATGCTCAGTAATAATATCTTCTATTAAAATGATTATTCGTTTTAAAATGTTCAAAAACAAATGAAATGTGATCTAATTTTTATCAACATACTACTCCCAAAAACCTAAATGATGTATAAGTAAAAGAATTATGTATGTTCTATCTTGGTATAAAGGATTGGTATCGATATGGCGAACTGAATTCAACATTGTGTTTCTTTTAAACCAATAATTGAAAACATTCTGTAAAAAACATGGTCATTTATGTAATGGTCACCCATTGACAACAATTTAATGCGAAAATTATTTACATTTTTTTTTTTAATATATTATATATTTTTCGATGTGTGCATTTTTTGATTTTTAGTGCAATTGTTTTTTGTTCCATTTCTACCAATTCTTAAGAATGAAATAAAACATCTTTCTGAACCTTGTTGGAACAAAATAGCATGTACAACATTTTCTTAGACCTCTTAATATTATAATTACACAAAGGAAAATTTGTTTGATTTAACAAAAAGTATTCATAAAATTAAAACAAAAAAAAACAAAATAGATAAAATTTAAAGTAAACCTTTGATTTCATTAATAAGATCAACTAATCAATTAATCAACCAAACTTCTGTTTGTACAATTACAATATTGAGAGACCGAAACACTAAGTTGTGTAGATTTTGTTTTGTTCCAATGAGGTTTGGATAGATGTTTTGTTTCATTCCAAACATATGATACCACAAGAACAAAAAAGTGTCTGATGTGTTTTCTAAAACAATATAGAGAAAAGTATATATTATATTGTTTTCAAATTTAACTGTTACCATTCAAAAGATGATCATTAGATTGACGATGTGTAAAATTTTCAGAATTTTTTGATGACTGGTTTAAGAGAAACACGTGTTCAATTCAGTTCGCAATATCGATACCAATCCTTTGAATAATGCCAAAACAATGATTAGTATTTGGTCACAAAGAAATATTAATTTTTAAAAACTACAATTCCAGGGCAGAATTTGATGTTCACCGGCAAAAATGTGACACAGGGGCACGACCAGCTAGTCAGATCTTTGTAAGCTGTAACTTCTGTGGCAAGTCCATAGCATACAACATGTTAGCAGCTGGCAGGCGAAGGCATAACTATCCATCATTTGGAGGATCTCCGACCAACAAAACTAAAGTATGATTAAGATTGTATTGTTTTTTTCTTACGATGACATCATCATTTCCGAGATTACAACAAAAAATGATATGAGAATGTTCCAGTCATGTACTTTTGGATTTTAACAATTTATTTTATATGTGATTTGTGTCTCATTAATATGTTTTAGATTAAGAGTTGTCCTAGCTGTGCTCTATGTCTCATTAATATGTTCTAGATTGAGAGTTGTCCAGGCTGTAGGAAACCTCTACCTCGCTGTGCACTATGTCTCATTAATATGTTTTAGATTGAGAGTTGTCCTAGCTGTGCTCTATGTCTCATTAATATGTTCTAGATTGAGAGTTGTCCAGGCTGTAGGAAACCTCTACCTCGCTGTGCACTATGTCTCATTAATATGTTTTAGATTAAGAGTTGTCCTAGCTGTGCTCTATGTCTCATTAATATGTTTTAGATTAAGAGTTGTCCTAGCTGTGCTCTATGTCTCATTAATATGTTCTAGATTGAGAGTTGTCCAGACTGTGCTCTATGTCTCATTGATATGTTCTAGATTGAAAATTGCCCAAGCTGTGCACTATGTCTCATTAATATGTTTTAGATTAAGAGTTGTCCTAGCTGTGCTTTATGTCTCATTAATATGTTCTAGATTGAGAGTTGTCCAGGCTGTAGGAAACCTCTACCTCGCTGTGCACTATGTCTCATTAATATGTTTTAGATTAAGAGTTGTCCAGGCTGTAGGAAACCTCTACCTCGCTGTGCACTATGTCTCATTAATATGTTTTAGATTGAGAATTGTCCAAGCTGTGCTCTATGTCTCATTAATATGTTTTAGATTAAGAGTTGTCCTAGCTGTGCTCTATGTCTCATTAATATGTTTTAGATTAAGAGTTGTCCTAGCTGTGCTCTATGTCTCATTGATATGTTCTAGATTGAGAGTTGTCCTAGCTGTGCTCTATGTCTCATTAATATGTTTTAGATTAAGAGTTGTCCTAGCTGTGCTTTATGTCTCATTAATATGTTCTAGATTGAGAGTTGTCCAGGCTGTAGGAAACCTCTACCTCGCTGTGCTCTATGTCTCATTAATATGTTCTAGATTGAGAGTTGTCCAGGCTGTAGGAAACCTCTACCTCGCTGTGCACTATGTCTCATTAATATGTTTTAGATTAAGAGTTGTCCTAGCTGTGCTCTATGTCTCATTAATATGTTCTAGATTGAGAGTTGTCCAGGCTGTAGGAAACCTCTACCTCGCTGTGCACTATGTCTCATTAATATGTTTTAGATTGAGAGTTGTCCTAGCTGTGCTCTATGTCTCATTAATATGTTCTATATTGAGCATTGTCTGAGGCTGTGCTCTATGTCTCATTGATATGTTCTAGATTGAGAATTGTCCAAGCTGTGCTCTATGTCTTATTAATATGTTCTAGATTGAGAGTTGTCCAGGCTGTAGGAAACCTCTACCTCGCTGTGATCTATGTCTCATTAATATGTTCTAGATTGAGAGTTGTCCAGGCTGTAGGAAACCTCTACCTCGCTGTGCACTATGTCTCATTAATATGTTCTAGATTGAGAGTTGTCCTAGCTGTGCTCTATGTCTCATTAATATGTTCTAGATTGAGAGTTGTCCAGGCTGTAGGAAACCTCTACCTCGCTGTGCACTATGTCTCATTAATATGTTCTAGATTGAGAGTTGTCCTAGCTGTGCTCTATGTCTCATTAATATGTTCTAGATTGAGAGTTGTCCAGGCTGTAGGAAACCTCTACCTCGCTGTGCACTATGTCTCATTAATATGGGAACTGCTGCAGGATCAGCTCTTGCCGTACCTAGGGATTCCACTGGTTAGTACTAAATGTTATAATAAGAACAGATAATTTCATACAAATAGAAATTGAAAATTATAATAAGATAAAACAAATTCTCAGATCAGATTGTCTGAATTTGTATCCTGAAATTTATAATAATCGAAATCTTCGTTGCAGCTGTCAATTGTAACAGTGAAATTGGACAGATTTTTAATTTGATTGACAGAAAAATGCAGCAATGAAAAGTTGGCTTTAAAGATATTTTGCATTTGAATATAAAATTTTGGCAAAATTTGTTGTGACGGCTCAAAATTAATTTTGTTTAAAGTATATAAAATATACATTTTAGGAGAGAATGGAAAGTTAACAAAATTACGAGAATGGTTCACCTGGTGTCAAACATGTCGACATGGTGGCCATGCTGAACATATAACAGAATGGTTCAAGTAAGTAGGGAATAGAAAAGATAAAAGATACCTGTCAAGCACAGGGTGACACAAAAGAATTCAACCCTCTGATTTTGGACATTTTTGTGTCACCCTGTAAAATTTAAGTACTGGCCCAATACATTGGATCTTGAAAGGAAAAACAAAAATTCACTTTCCACGATTGGTGAAGTTCTTTCTCATCAGATTTGCTGCAACACAAAAATGCAAATAACTTTTTAATAGGCACTCATGTATAGTATGCAAAATATGGCAGAATAAATTGTTTCTACACATTGATCTTGCATGATGTTTCAAGGCCCTACGCTCTGAGTCAAGTGAGAAACCTTATATGGGCAAATTTACAATAATTGAAATTTTCAGTTGTATCAGTTGTTCTACTTAAGCCTGCGTTGTGTGTGTTGATACCAGCGACATTTGATGTGTGCTATTTTAAAGTCATCACAACTGGTTATCTAAATCATGCAATGTACACTGAAAATATTGCTATTTCACAAAAACAGCTAAAATGATGATTCTTTGTCAAAAAACAAAGTTTTGTTTTGTTTGTGGTGATACAATGAAATACTTTTTGTATGCAAATACCATTTGTTAAATATTTTGTTTCCTCCAACACACTGATTAAATTAACATTGCTGCTGATGCATCATTCGTTTAAGATTTCGATTTACTTCTTAAATGACAGACAATGAAAACATCAATTTTTTCTATCCTCCAAACATTAAGATTTCATCAATCAATGCACATAAAGGATTTCAAAGAATAATTTTCAGATATGAGACTCATCCAATGTAGTATTTAAATGAGTGTTAGCTAAATTCTCAATTATATCTAATTTGTTAGGAAATTGAATATGTTGAGCATGTGTTGGAGGATACAAAACATATGGACATTATAAATCGCGTTATTTTTTAATGAGTATGACATATCATACAACCCCTTTTAAGAGCTGGTCAGAAACATATTTTATTAACCAGTTAGAAATTATCGACGAACTTGATGCATAATTATCCCACCCAACGAAGTTCGAAAGGATAAAGGGAACGCCTCCGTCCGTCTGTCCGTCCGTCTGTCCGTACGTACATCCGTCCATCCGTCTGTCCGGGCAATAACTCAAATACCGTTGGCCCGATTTTGTTCACAAAAACATATACGTTATGGGAGTAGAAGTTCAAAAAAATCACCATTAAAGCTGTTTTTAAGAAACAATAAGCAATATTTTCAATGCATATCGCATGGTCATGGTAAACAGTTGTGTTGACATCACGGCTCACATATAATGTCCTTGATATCAATACACATGGCGTAGGACTGTGGTAGAATAGCAGAATTCATGGAATTTAAAAAATATCAATTATTGTAAATTTGCCCTTATACAGTTATACAGGTACTGTGGGGATTAGATATTCAAAATTCTGTGAAGTGCCTACCTACTCTACTGTTGTGTTAACAGGGGATGCCTGATGTTATTTCACCCGAGCTTATTTAGTGATCACATAGTAAATTGATATAATCACGACAGTGCAGTGCAGGAGGGGGAGATTTCCCAAAGATGACATTTCATATTGGCACGTTCGAAAAAAAATTTTATAAACAGGCCTCATTTGCCATTGAACTGAATCTCCCAATGTTCACTGTAGTTTTATGAGTATTCTCTACAAGTTTGGATTGAGTAACTTCAATAGTATTACCGTAGGTTTGAAATGATGATATTGAACTGCCATTTCCACGATTTCAAATTTTACTTTGCGCATGCGCAGCCCTGAGAAAGCACGTGCTCATGATTGTTCACGTGATTGCATCCTGCAATTTGATTGGAGATGATGCGGGAGATGATGTAATGGGATATCCCCGAATAGCGAATACGATAGAATATGAAAGAATTGTGAGAGCTACTCACTTCTTCTGAGTGCTGTGCAGGTTTTTCTTCAAAAGCTTATAATAAAAAACTACCTAGTAGTTCAAATGGTTTCACTCAGTACAGGGTTCGTACACACCTGGAAATGTCAGGGAAATTGATTTATTTTTCCAAGTGCTGGAAATGTCAGGGAATTTTTAAATTGGGTCAAAAAGGGCCAAAAATGTCAGGGAATTTTGAAACAGTAGATATGTCAGGGAAATGTCAGGGAATTTTGTTTGAGTGTTGAAAAAATAATGTTCCAGCAAAATACATTTAGAGCTATGGCAGGATATAAATGAAATCCAATATCTAACATTTAGTTATTTCCACAAATTAGAAATCTTTTCATTAGGGTTGATTGAATGACATTCCATCTAGTATTGTCTATTTGTAAGAACAGTGTAAACATTATACTGAAACTGAGCAATAAAGAATATACCTATATGTATAGATGGTTCAATACAATTATACCTTTCCATGTAGCGAGTTAGTCTTAGGCCATTCAAAGTTAATTACCTGTATATGTTGCATGTTTTAGTTAGGGGTTAATCTGAAGAGGGTGAGAAGTGAAAACAAAAACATTTCTGGGTATTCTTTACAGTGTAAAACTGTTGAGAAGCTCTCTGTTCGACTGTCTGGTCGTAAGTCAGTCTATTCAGCTGTCCATCTGCCAGGGCGAGAACTCAAATATCAGTTGACAGATTTGGTTCAATCTTTATATACCTTAGGTGGACTTAATCACCTTTGGATTCAACTTTTATCTTATTCTCTTCTTACCCAAACATTATTGAATTATATTTTTGGTTATCACTATGTTGACATGGTCCCTAAACCTCATTCAGGAAGTTGTCAATGTTTATGTACATCACTTAATTACTTCTTAGAGTGCATCACTTAAAAACGTGCACATCGCTCCAAAACGCAATCTTGGGTTGTTTCGGGGGTGAACTTTATCATTTTGAGCTTAATGAAAGATTATAGAATGATGAACAAATGGGGCAAATCTTGTGTATAAATACTTATGATAAATGTGTCATTTCAAAGATTGTTCATTGAATTGCTTCGATTGGTGACGACGATATGATTTTGGAAAGGTTTCTAAATTAAGAACGTGACATCACTTCCGAATTACAGCATTCAAGATAAGTAGCGTTTAATAACTTCTATCTTGCATAATAACTCGGTGGCCTTGCGGTAGAATGCTCGCTCAGCACGCAGGAGGCCCGGGTTCGAATCCTGCATTCACTTTTTTATTTTTTTAACTACATGATTGTTCTTTGATATTTCGCAGAAAAAACAATTTTTTTTTACATAAACTTTATATTAGAGCTTGAAAATGTAAAAACAGTGTATGTCAACATATTGCGTTTTGGAGCGATGTGCAGGTTTAATTACTTCTGAGACTTATTCACAGTTCATTTCATGTTGAATGACGTGTTGATCCTGTGATGTTATATTGTTTCGTGTGATTGATTTGTTTTACATGATTTTCTCTGGCTTCAATTTCTAATTATCACCTTGGAGGTGATAGGAAGATAAAGCATTTCCAGGAAGACAAAAGTAAAGTACTTATTATTGTGCTTAACTTTCTTTATTCTTAAAGATATCTAAATAATATTAAAGGATTATGATATACAGATACATATTTTTATTTAATACCTTTGTGTATAGTTACTAGTAATGATTATGTTTTGTAGATTTCAAATAGGAAACCCCTTTGACTGAATTTTGAATATTTAATTATGAAAAATCAAGATTGTTTACATTAATATTGATCTATTGTTCAGCCTTCTGTTTCCACAATCACCAAACAACAAATTAAGTTTCAAAAATAATTGGTATTCTAGTAAAGATTAAATAGGAAAACTAATTTCCCTATATAATTCTCTTGGGTTATCCCAATTGAATAACTGAAATATTCAAATTTGTTCATCCATGAAAAATCCAAAACATATAAAGGTAAAAATTCCATAAGATATTCAGAAACTCAGCTTTTGAATGATATGCCAAACATTTTATTTTAAAATTACAAATATTTGTGTTATGATGTATTTTTGCTGGATTTTATAAAACATTGTTTATGACACATTCCTTGAAAATTACATCCAGAATTACATTTCAGAAATTACATCCCTTTTTGTCAGAATTTTATAATGGTTGCTATGGAAACAATAATCCCAACGTACCACAATTTTTAGGCATTGTGACTTTGACTCTTCATTGAAAAAGCCAGTTGGTCTCATAGCTCAGGATGTAACCTGCTGATTCAATTCAAACTGAAGTGGACACACTTTGTCACATGAAACACAAAAATTAACTCTTGTTTCTGTTATCTCTGTGTTCCAGGTTACACTCAGAATGCCCTGTATCTGGCTGCCAATGTAAGTGCTTCACTCTGGACACTTCCTTAACATCAAATACTTCTAGTAGCACAGTCATGGTGAACTCATGACAACACATACAGAGGAACATATTAGGAAATATGTAGCTTCTAATCCTAAAGTCACCATTGAAGAGATGGACATTGGATTAAGAGCTAGTTGTGCAACTCCAAAGGAACACTTTGCCTTAGTGGTGCATGCAGTTAGAATGGAACAGTGTGCCAAATTGAAAAGTCTGTTTTAATGATTTAGTTATTGATGAACACTATTTTAAAAAATCCACAAAAGCTTTTGATTAAAAAGCTGCACCCATCACAATAATTGACTAAAGACAAAGTCCATCTTGCCAATTTTATAGCTTGGAGATTTGGAATAGTGCACCCTTCATTCACAAAGGACTTCATTTATTACTCAATTATGTAAAGAAGTGAAATACCGTTGGACCAAGGATGGAATAGTGCTGTATTGATTTGTCTATAGATTCACTATACATGTACATGTATAATAATTGTAATTGTCTATTGTAAACAACTGATGACAGTAACCTCATTCCCATATCACCCACGTGTTCCTCTGTCATATCTGTCAGGTTACATTTAATCAATAGGTTCACTATACATGTACATGTATAATAATTGTAATTGTCTATTGTAAACAACTGATGACAATAACCTCATTCCCATATCACCCACGTGTTCCAATGTCATATCTGTCAGGTTACATTTAATCAATAGGTTCACTATACATGTACATGTATAATAATTGTAATTGTCTATTGTAAACAACTGATGACAGTAACCTCATTCCCATATCACCCACGTGTTCCAATGTCATATCTGTCAGGTTACATTTAATCAATAGGTTCACTATACATGTACATGTATAATAATTGTAATTGTCTATTGTAAACAACTGATGACAATAACCTCATTCCCATATCACCCACGTGTTCCAATGTCATATCTGTCAGGTTACATTTAATCAATAGATTCACTATACATGTACATGTATAATAATTGTAATTGTCTATTGTAAACAACTGATGACAGTAACCTCATTCCCATATCACCCACGTGTTCCAATGTCATATCTGTCAGGTTACATTTAATCAATAGGTTCACTATACATGTACATGTATAATAATTGTAATTGTCTATTGTAAACAACTGATGACAGTAACCTCATTCCCATATCACCCACGTGTTCCAATGTCATATCTGTCAGGTTACATTTAATCAATAGGTTCACTATACATGTACATGTATAATAATTGTAATTGTCTATTGTAAACAACTGATGACAATAACCTCATTCCCATATCACCCACGTGTTCCAATGTCATATCTGTCAGGTTACATTTAATCAATAGGTTAGCTATACATGTACATGTATAATAATTGTAATTGTCTATTGTAAACAACTGATGACAATAACCTCATTCCCATATCACCCACGTGTTCCAATGTCATATCTGTCAGGTTACATTTAATCAATAGGTTAGCTATACATGTACATGTATAATAATTGTAATTGTCTATTGTAAACAACTGATGACAATAACCTCATTCCCATATCACCCACGTGTTCCAATGTCATATCTGTCAGGTTACATTTAATCAATAGGTTCACTATACATGTACATGTATAATAATTGTAATAGTCTATTGTAAACAACTGATGACAGTAACCTCATTCCCATATCACCCACGTGTTCCTATGTCATGTCTGTCAGGTTACATTTAATGTAACTGTAACAGACATAACAAGTGAGCTATTGAAGCCCTTGGGTTGATATAAGAAATCCCATTCATAAATTGTTAAAAATACAGAGTGCCTATTGGTGGCTACTCCCACCCCTCCCTAAACTATAATACCAGTAGCGATAATAGTAGATATCTGTACATGCTATATATCATTTAAATTGGGGCTGCTCCCCCCCCCCCTCCTTCCACAGCCTAAGCTACCGTTGATAAGCTCATACTCTTTATTATTGGAGATTGTTGACAGTTGCCCTCTCCAAAGCCTTAAGTACCAAAGGTATCTGTACATGCTATATAATAGCATCCGTGTGTCCCTAACCACCTAAGATACCATAGCAAACTTATATGCTATGTATCGTTGGAAAGAACTTTTTAATTTAATGTTTACATGTACATAATTGTGTTAATGTACCATATGTTGATTTTTTAAGAACTGACCACCCGTACATTTTTAATATAAAACATTTACTTAAATTGCAAACAATGGCAAACATCCAGGCTATTTAAAAAATTATGGCGAACTTTATGTGTTCTTTATCACCACCAGAAGTGTTGACATATTGTTATAGTCTCCAACTTTTTGTGGACGGTATTCGGCGGTCGGAGTTCGATGTGTGTAACAAATTCTTATAACTTCCATTTGTTTACACTTTTTTTTATTTTGTGAACATATATAAACATTTTATGAGTTCCAACACATATCTGCCAATATTTGTTACCATGGCAACAAATACGTGAATGTGTAACATTTTGTAAACATTTGCAATAATTTAGGAAGTAGTTTGTCATAAATGCCTTGTTCTACATTTTTGCTATAACTGGAAAAGTAGTGAAGCGATTTTGTTAATATTTCATTTGTAAATTCTTAGAAGCATATTACACTGTCTAATGACAATTTGGTAATAGCTGGCCTTTTCCAAAAATGGCAGCCATTTTTATGGTTGTTCAATGAGAGTTGCTGTTATCTAATTTAACCTATTTATGCCTGTAATTGTGTTCCTTTTTTACTATGCAATTGTCACTATGAATAAATTATTTTAAAATAAAAACTGCACACTTTTTGTATTTTTGTACAAGAAAGCATTAGTTAAGCTAACGATTCTATTCTATTTCATTAGGCATATCATGCTATATGTACTATTTTTTAGGTCTTCAACAAAAACAACAAATTGTCCTATTACAAAAGATTTCTTTAATATATTGTGGCACAGTAAATGGATCAAATCTCAAAATTGATAATGAATATGAAAGGGAAATTACAAAGTATCAAGTACAGGCAAAAAAATGTAATTACAGATTTATCATCCCAGTTCTTCACAGAGCATCTTCTTCAAGATGTATGGAGAATTCAAACTCAGTGACACAGTAACTTGCAAGTTGCACTCATATAAATTCAGAAATAAAGGGTAACTTTTTCAAATAATGTTCTTCTGTGTGAATCTTTTTGTCCCATATCATCATTCCTAATCAGCGTGTTTTCAAAAATAAAAGTTTTTCCTTGTTCAAAGAAGACAATAAAACTATTGTACATGTGTGCAGTAGCCTAAGGCAAAGACAAAAATCAATTTAAATTCTGCAAAGGTTTGATATTATATGTTCATTTAAAGTTAAATGGCTGAGAAATAGTCATATCAATGGATGAACCGTACAGTTGTGTGTTGGAGATGTCTTCCAACTGTCCAACGTCCTTTCTTTCCTGGATATCGTATCAGTTGACATTTTACAGTAATGCAGGATAGATGGCTTGATATACGATCCCTTCGTTTAGGTCCGGGGGTTTAGGTATGAACGACGGGCGTCGTTACGTGATGGAGACTGCGTGTCCATGCTCCCTATATGGTACACTCGTGGCAGGCACAACCCCTAGGCTGATTCACGTGGAATGTGTAGGTCTGGTCTTCGACTCGACTGTTGTCATTGTAGCATTCTTGTAGGAGCACTGATACACGTTCTAGTTCTGTTTCTCTACAGCAATTACATACCTGAAAGTGCATGATTACATTGCAATGATAATCTCAGATATTTTAGATATTTCAAAATGGCTATTACAACAACCCCGTCTCACATTTCCAGAAAAGGAAAAAACAAAATACTAAAATCAAAGATAAATTATTTGGAATCTCACAAAATTATGATATATCGTGAGCTTCCATTTTCTCATTAGATATATACCATTGTCGAAGTATGATATCTGTTGAATCAGCCATTTTCAATTAACCTGGTTTCATTTTCATAAATTGCTCGTTCTTTTATTATGCTCACTATTACAAATATATTTCCAATTAACATCAGAATCTTGATTCTGTTCTCCAGGCTATAAGATGAAGGCTGACTATATTCTTTTTCAGTACGTCTGCGACTAAATGTCAAACGTATTAGATATTTCACATATACGTACGAGGTGTCAAGAAACAGCAGAACCCTCTCCATGTACACATTACTAAAATACCCTTACAATGAGCACCACAAATGGGTAGCTGTCATTGTTTCACGTTCACGTTTCTAGAATGACACTGGGGAGTCGAAGTAACGCGTTTTTGGGAGAACCTCCACATGAGCGGGTAATATTTCTTCAACCCCGTGGATTACTGTGAGGGACCTAATGACAATTATTTTCCGTATACCTTTACACTCAATCGGCCAAGTGAACAGTACAAATGGGAGAACTAATCCACAGAGGACCATAATTCTACACGTTCACGTACACGTTTAAAAAACGTGTTATTTAACCTCCCTACTGATAGCTATTGCCTTGCGTAGGTGGTACGGCACCTGCGTAATGAATTATGGTAATTAAATATTTACCCGCGTGTATACCCTAACGCTAATAGACCACGTAGAAAAGTATTAACCCGTACTAGGGTTCACTCTAGGGACAATCTATTTGCTATCTCATCATACACCCCCGCGTGTAAGAGCAGCCTTTCGACTGTATATGGTTTCGTTTCAATTTCAGAAAATCAAAACATTATTAGGAGTAAATGCATTGAGGTTTCCAATGCACCCGGATCAATAAATAGTCTGCCCCTACCTACGTGGGCTCTAGCGGTTTGTGCGACCCATACCCCCTCCAGAAAATTGGTTTATTTAAAATCGTTAAATTGCTTGTATACTTCCTCCCTTCTTAGCAAGAAGACCCTTCTAAAAAGTTATGCTATGATGGTTGCTGACACGGGGATGCTGATGAGACTTGAGTATACAGAGTAGGCCAAAAACGTCCATATTTTAATTTTGCTATAACTCGTAGGCTAAATCTAGCAGTTTGGTTGGGTTTTCCCTATACATGTAGATCTTCCCAAGTTTTCTTTATCTTATTTATTTCTCTCATGATACTTCCGATAGAATCAATTTTGTCTTTGAAATCGTTTCTTCGAATAAGTAATCAACTGTATATTTTCATTTTAAACCCCACGTGCCTGTTACCTTTAATTTAGTATTAAGAAAACCCTAAAGAATACTCATCCTATTTGAGGAACTATCGAAAGCTAATTCATGCTGTCACCAACTGCATATGGTTACAAAAATCTTAAAAATGTTATCCCTGACATGCCCACAACTAAAACAGATCAGATTTGAACTTCTGAGATGATTCTTGAAAAAATGGTCATTTTGAAGCAAGTTAGAAAAATACCTTTTTGACCTTCAGTATGTTGCCAACACTGTTTGTGATCTATTCCGATAACCTTGACCTTTGACCTTGAAAACTTTATTTTTCAGACCTCAGTAGGTATTTTGTGATAAAGCTGATTTTTGGATCCAAAAATTAAATTTGAAAATAAACTTTTTGACCGTTTGAAGGTTATTGAAGGTCACCACTTCTGGTGGTGACATAAAACATCTTCAAATGTAGGCCTGTATGCATTATAAAAAAAGTATCACGAAATAAAAAATATGGACGTTTCGGCCCAACCTGTAGTATGTATTATTTAATTGCGTTTTTTGATCACCAGAGAGTCAGGAGTATACATAGTGTAGATTGTGATGTTTCATCTGATCTACCTGACGCCCATCGTTAGACACCAAAGTATTCATTACCTTCCATTATTTGTAAACAGAGATGACATGAGTATCAGAATGCCTTACGCGCAATAACTTCTATCAAAACGTTATGAACAAAATAAAAATTAATTTGCCGTGTACATGTAGTAGATAAATTTGATCATTCGATGAAAGTGTTAGATTGGTTTTATCCGTGAGGAGTTATGTTCGCGATATGGGTAGATTAGATAAGGGTGGACGAACTTCAGGAAATTAAAAGTAAAAATTTCCATTTTGATAAATATTCGGTAAACTAAAAATATACCGTTACGTAGAACCTGAATAGATACAGATGCGATTGGTAATCACAATTGTTAGTTATACTATATCTATTCAGATTAGCTTTGTAATTGTAATATTAGCAAAGTTGCTAATACCAAATGTTTTTCAATTTAATTCACTCAGTACTATTGTGTAAATGTAATTACGAAGACAAATAGTTACAGGATGGGCCAATAAACGCCACTTTTAAAAAAATGCTTTAACTTTTCTAATTTTCTATGTTGTATATTTCTTGAGATACTTATCTTTATTTTCTCCATAAATGTTTGAGTTTACATTTCGTGAAATTAATTTCATTTTTGATTCGCGCAAAGGCACTAGTGCTGTTGAATAAATGAATTTTTTTAAATAAGTCGTCTTGAATTTTACTAGTTCAAATAAATTTGCAGATCCAAATTAATAATTGGTACACTGCGAGCGACCTGTAATGATGTGAACGTTTTCCATACACGATCTTTAAAAGTACTAATACGTTTAAAATCTGTCTGAATTTAGATATTGGCCATCCTAAATAGTTACATGAATTTCAATTCGCAAATGAATATATTGTTAGTTAAATATTGAACAGGGGCGTCAGAAGGATTTGCCAAGAGAGGGGCGACGTTTGGGTATGGATGGGTCATGCGTGAAGCGCGCCGCACGCAAAGCGCCCCCCTAAGAATCTTCAAACTTAGACCCTCTCTGGTTCATTCCGAACATATCTCAGTCTCAGCACAACATTCCCAATAATAAAAACAAGAAAAATGTGTTTTTAGAAAACTTAACTTGCTTTGACTAAAAAACTTTTTTTTGACTTTTACTAAAATAGACATTTTGTACTTATTCTTCAAAGTATTTACACTGTATACTGAGAAACTATATATGGTATAGAATTAAATATAATATGAGAAATGAGATCTTCTATGCTTGACGTAGACTATATACTGACATAGTATCATTTCTGTCGTCATTATCACACTTTGACCTCAATTAGCTCTAGAGCTTTCAACTTCTAGACTTGGTTTCAAATCTAAAAATCCGGGAAAAGGGGGGCCTCTCCCTTCCGACGCCAATGTTGTATTAAAATTTCTTACTTCAAACAAATAAAAACGAGCCACATGATAAAAAATATTGAACTTTTCTATATAAAATTAAACAGATCTTGATTTGCGTAAACATTCCTGAAAATTTTTACCACGCCGTATGTTTCAATATATACCAATAGCAAGTGGTTATCATATACACTCCCCTCCATAAGATTGGCAACCTTTGCTGCCCCATTGAACTACGTGTTAAAGCCTCTTTACCTTTGAATTTTTATTTACTTAACCTGCGATAAAAGTACTTATACTATAGATTGAAACGTAATTTGACTTTATTTCCAATACCTCCAAATTTTCTAAAAAAAATTTTCAATTGACAATAGGTCGAAAATTGATGATAAGTTTGATGAATTTTTTGAAAATCGACATTCCCATGTAAACCAATGAGAAACGGTGGGTTCGGGGCAAATCAGAAATCAGGATATCTATTCAGTAAAAGATTAAGCAAAAAAACATTTTTATATAGAAAATTGAATTGTCTAACTTTTTGTACACTAAGTGTTTAGTTTACTAGATGAATAATAAAGTTACAGATCTTCAAAGTCATTTTTGAAAACCATTTTTCGCCTCTTGTGTTATTTCAATGGGAGAGGTTTTTTGAAAAACAATTTTGACTTTAAAGAAATATTTCTTTGTTGAACCTGAAGCAACGTATCAATTTTTTGTTAAATAAAGTTAGCCTACCCAACTTGTATTTTTGCAAGGACTAGGATGGGTGGATCTTCTGTCATATGACTTGCGGCAAACCTACCATTCCCCATTGGTTCACATGGGAATGTCGATTTTCAAAAATTCATCAAAATCATCAATTTTCGACCCATTGTAACTGAGGAAAAAAACTGAGAACATTTGGAGGTATTGGAAATAAAGTCAAATTACGTTTCCATTAATAGTATAATAAGTATTTTCATCGCAGGTTAACTAAATAAAAGTTCAAAGGTAAAGACCACGTGGTTCAGTGGGGGAGCAAAGGTTGCCAAACTTATGGAGGGGAGTGTAGGAACAAAAATTTACCTTTTTAAACCCTGGAAAGTGTACGACGCTTGGAGATACCTCCGATGAGCACGTTCCTTCGCACTTATTCACCAGAACGACACCTGTACATATCAATCTAACTGTCCTTCCATTATATTCCACCGTCTTTTGTTTAGTTACATGTAACTCAGTTTGTAGGGTCTCGCACCGGTCAGCAGATATCACGTTTTGAGTCCATAGGACGCACCATCCAAGCATGATGACCGTGCAAGTTGTTTGACAGCTGCTCTTCATCTTAACGAGCTATTAATGTAGATCCTTGCGATTCTGTCACTGTATATATACAACTGACGATCCCTGAAGTTGAAATAAAAAAGGAAGTATGATATGACGTCATTTGTTTTCCCAGTGTCATATTTGCAAGTGAAACGATATGCAAGATGAACGGTGACAGCTTATTTTCCAGATCGTGTTTACACGCCTAACCATCGAAAACGTATGTACGTATGTACTGTAGTGACAAGATATACCGTGTACCGTCGTACACTTTGGGTGTACGGTGTCACTATTAACTGATTTGAAGCGAAAAATATGATATAGGTTTGATTGTTGTATTCAAAAATTTATTTGAGGAGTACATCAAGGTTTGATTGTGGTTTTCAAAAATTAATTTGAGGAGTACATCAAGGATTTCATGTTTGATTTCGTGTGTATTCGATTTGGAAAACATTTACCTTTCTAATTACGTTAAAAGATTTTTCGAGCAGTGCTCAATTTTTTCGTTGTTAATCTACCCATGTACAATTGGTCGGTTGGAAAATGTGTTTTTTACACACTTCCTTTGATCATTTTCTCCCCTGTCGTCTAAGAGTGCCGAATATTTTTATGAGAATATTTTTCTCTAAACTACACAATTTAAGACGGTTGAAGGTTTCATAAATATTCATATATTTGGTATAATTTGAAAGATCGAAAATATACGTTGTCATCTCCAATGTACGTTGTCCCTGTAATTGAAATGTAAACATTACAAAACTCATTAAGGGTTTTATGAGTAACAAGTGATGTTCAACGAACATGTTCATGTATCCCTGGTACAGATAAACAGGTAAAAGTGATTTTTACCTCTTGTTGAATGCTATTTTGTGAAAGTGTTGATATGGTGATTAATACTTGACCATGGAGTGTTATCTTCCAACCTCTTTGACCATTCGACGTCGGTACGTTACGTTATGTTGCACTTTTATGAATTTTAATAATCTTAAGGAGCTCATGGAGAGATCTATACTAGCTAATCGAAGATGACTTTCGAAATCCCGTTTATGCTAAATCTGGGAAGTGCAAAGGTTCAATATAGTTCAATCAAGTTGAATTAGTTTCAGTTTTAAATTAATCTGATACCCTGACACTTAGTGTTATGAAAAATACGTTGTCTACATAAGAGTTAACTGTGAATTCATATAAGTAAAGTCAATGGGATAACGTACATCGAGATGACAACGTATACTAAATGATTTTTTATTTTTATTATTTTAGCAAAAACGTGAATATTTATTAAATCTTCAACCAACCTTAATTATGTAACTTTGGGAAACATATTCTCAAAGAAATAATCGACACGGCGACAGGGGAAAAAGCGACCAAAGAAAATGTGAAAAAACCAACATTTTCCAACCGATCATTGTTGGTGGGTAGATTTACTACGAAAAAACTCGAGCACTGCCCGAAAATCTTTTCACGGAATTAGAAAGGTTTTCTTCCAAATCGAATACACACAAAATTAAACATGAAATCCCTTTAGTATCCCATCCCTCAGATTAATTTTTAAAACCTACACCACACCCACATCATCGATCGTTTTTGCTTCATATCAGTTAGAATAGTGACACCGTACATCTAGAGTGTACGACGGTATATTTTGTCACTGTACGTTGTCGATGGTTAGGCGTGGTTTAGTGCAATCTGATCGTGTTTAGTGCAATCTAGTCATACCATACTAGTATATGATATTATGAATGTTATTTATTAAATCCCTGGAAATACTAAAAATATAAAATCCTGGAATTCTGAGATCGTGTTAACCGCTTTCTCAGAATGGCTTGGGGGACCAAGTGGTAAAATCGGAAATGTTAGACCGACCTAATGATTTTACGAGTGTTTGGTTATAAAAATTGTTAAATATTACGAGAAAACATACTGAAAACCTCAGATATTCATGATATGAACACGCTCCAACATGTCCAATCCCAATGCTAATAACCGAACATCATTCAAACCAAACATGGAGACTGCCAAATCAAGGAACTGTGAAACCCCTTTTTAACAATCGTTATCATTATCGAATGACGTTTTGGAAAAATCAATGTAAAATACAAATTCAATCATAAAAAATATTTGTTGAATCTAACCTCATAAAGAGTACATTTTAGCTACATTTGCAGGATTCAAACGAAGTAAGTATAGTTAAATATGAAATTTACCTGCTGTCCTGAATTTGCCGCTCACCCGCCCTGTCTCTTCTGTGGTACGAGCCAGATCTCCAGGTAAGACACATTCAATGGGTTTAAAATATAAGTCTATCTGTGGGCGATCGGCAGACTTCTCTAGCTATTAAGAGCTTTTATGGAGTAATTATTCGAGATGAAATCATCAAATGAAGCAATCTAAACCAGAAGCCATGTTAACGTATCTTCCCTTACGGAGACAATGAACATGCCAAGTGTTTATTCGGCCAAAAATTAAAACAAAAAAACTTATGTGGAATATAAAGGTCAGATGTTCATATGCAAGTCCAAAAATATAGGAAAGCTCTTTAACTTTTTATGAATGTATCAACTGAACAAAGTTTAGAAATGTAGAAATCAAAGAGTAGGGGAATGAATACTATACTAGTCTATAGGCAATTCTGGGATTTCATAATCTGTTTTGATGCGCCAATAATGGGTGGGAAAAATCGCCTTACGTTGGAATAAACGTCAAAAGTGTAACTCTGGATATTTCTAATATCCTTGTTAAGAAACGTAGGTTTCAGTATCCTGAAGAATAATGTCACTAAGTATCGATTCCTAATTTTCTACTATTTTTCTCACATATTGAATTTTCATGGCGATGGACACCTTCACACGCAAAGTGTCGGCTTTTATGGGCTAAAAACTGAAACCGTATGTGTATAATCCCTTCATTTTTCTCAATTTACACCCCTCTAGGTGTCTACGAGTACATCAGTTGTTTTTATTTACTTTTAATGTGATTAACCTTACAATTGTATAATTCAAATAGTTGTCCAGGTAGCATGTTCAAGTGCCAGTCGCTCATTTATAATTTTCAGCCTTGGCTTACTAGCCCCCATTTTTGTAATCAAAATGTTTATTTCGTAAATACAAACAAATATACAATCAATCACTAGACAGGATTTGGGCAAATCGACTTCCCGCAATTCATTTCCCCATATAAAAATTGACAATAGAAAGCATATGCAAGATTCATAAAATAGCTAAAATGTATTTGGACTTTTATAAAATGAAGATCTGTTGAATAAAAGAATTAAACAAGGGGGATGGAATTACTAGCTTCCATGACTCAACTACAGGAAAACATATTTGTATTTTCATGAATTCATATAGCAAATCCATGTAAATCTTATATTAATAGTTAATACGTAGTGTTTTGTAAATTAAGAAAAAGGACATATGAGCATCAATATCGATATCGTACCCTTCGTACAGTCCCTTAACGTCGTAATCTTTCCAACTAAAATTAATTTCTCCGAAGTCTTCCATTTAGTTTGGAAACTGAAGTGCCTGGATGATGTACTATGATGATTTTATAAATGATTTGGTCACTTTTAATTATGATATAACTCAAGATGTCGGAAATATGATGGACGTTGTGAAAAATGCCAATTTTTTCAAGAAATTGCCGTGCTTTCTAGAAGACATGAGACGTAAGATCGTGTTCAGTAAAAATGTTATGACAAGTGATACTAGAGGCATCTCTGCGTCGTAGCACGGGTGATGCTTCTACGAGAACAGAAAGGCTGATTTCTGTTAAAACGTTGAAACAAATGAGTACTTACAAAGTCGTACAGTTCCGTTTGTCCGTCGTGTTGAGAATGGGGCTTGATTATAAGCACTCTATTCTAGCAACGGTCGAGAAAGATTGGAATGAATGAACGTGCAATGCGAATTTCTGAATTAACCGTAAATAATGACGTTGGCGTTATGGTGTTAGAGTGAGGGCAGATTTACTCAGATTTATTTACTCAGATTTTCGTTAAATCAGCAAGTATCATAATACTCATTTTATTGATCTCTGCAATTGATTAAATCGGTCCTTCAATTTTGAACCATTTCGAAACATTTCTTGCAGTCGTTTTCAACTTGTATAGTAATCAAAGATTATAGGACAATACAGATTACAGACCGGCTGTGGATTCAACAATAAATAATCTGAGCAAATTGCAGCTAGTAGATACGATGCAACAAATAAGCCTCGTCTCATACAATGAATTACTTTATATGAAATTACTTTCATCTGAGACCATGTTAGTCTCAGAGTTCATATATAAGAGCCTGGTTAAATCATTTATTAGACATCTTAGACCTGGGATTGAAAATAAACGCTGGGAATAAATCGTGAACATATCTCAAACAATTTATAATGCAACTCTACTCCAGAAACATGTCTTCAGAACAAAGTATTCTTATCAATTATCGTTAAGGGAGCATCTGAAGAGTTTAAAGTAGCATTTTTAATCTCTATCACCCCCTACCCAGATTATCACATTTGAGAAATGTAAATCTAATCCTCTGTCAAAATATAGAGTATTAACTGCAGCACAAATATAGTATGAATCTCTCTTTTAAGGCACAAAATCACTAATGAGGTATCACATGACAACTCATTGTGGCATTCATTAAATGTACAATGTACATCGTATCGCCTTCTGGGGCCAGATATAGAGTTGGCCAAAAATGTAACTGATTTTATAGTGTAATAACTCATTCATTATTGGCATGATTGGTCTCAAACTTTCCGAGATGACTAAGAATTGGTGCAAGTTTTGTCCCATATTAAGGGTTTTTATGTACATCTCTGCGTTTTTTGGTGGCTGCCAATCAAATAATCATGTCCAATCATGCCAATAATGAATCAGTTATTACACTTTAAAATCAGTAACTTTATGGCTTACCTTGTTTTTGTCTTACCCTGTTACTATCATAATATTTATGTCAATAATTGTACAATAAATAAATAAATTATCCAGTCTTGTATATATATATAATAATGAACGTAAAGTGAACTAATAAGAGCGGAAATGGACATTAATATGTCGGGTAAGATAACTCTAACCCACAGTCCCTTACTCAGCAGAAATTGATATTCCTCAAGTAATCTTATGAGTCGCTCCCATCATCATGTGCGTTCAAAAGAGTTATGAAAGCTAGAAACTGTCATAAAACAGTGGTTTATTGCAATTCTAAAAAATTCGCATATTCACCTAACGTGCTGGACTTTCTACACGTTTCTTTGGAGCTGTGATTGAAATATTCACATGGATTAGATAAATGAAGAATTTTGCCTTGGTAATGGATTAAGTTTTATTCTCTAAGAATATACTATTCCAAAAGATTTGACTTTGATGTAAGGCACTCTTATTTTCCTTATAAATGACATATAATCAAGAAATGCTGACCACCATGGCGATTATGTTTATCATCGATTGATCGATGGACCGTTGCGTAAACCTTCGTACCACTGAATAAAAAGATTAATAATTTATATTGATGATTGCTCCATCCAAAGACAAAAAAACTACCAGAATGCTAGATTGGTACATGGACTGCTGCCAATTTATTAATTACACGTATGTAAAAACATTAATTTATGATTGTTCTGGATCGTTTAATGTTTCGGCAATAGATACAGCAGTTACAGATAAATGAGACACTTCCGAAGTCGAAATGGCAACCACTACGACCAATAACATAACGAGATTTTGTATCAATGAGTACGGTGAGGTTCAGGCCAATCCAGTTGACGACAAAGTGGATATTTACGCAGAGAACACTGCGAGTGTTGCCGTCTATTTCTATGGAGGTGTATTCCTGACGTGTTTCGGGGTTTTCGGCAATGTAATGACTGTGATCGTATTGCGGAGGGAAGTATTCAAAGGACGCACAACAGTGGCCTATCTTTCGGCCTTGGCAATCGTTGACTTAATCATCATCGTTGTGAGTCAGTTCTTACGCCACATGATGAGAGGCATAACGGGGATAGATCTACCATCATCAAATCCTGTATTCTGCAAAATCTGGTTTTTCGCAATTTATTCCGGTACTTATTGTTCAAGTTGGATACTTGCTACCTTGACTATAGAACGAGCTATTGCCGTGACACAGCCTTTAAAGACAAAAGATATATGTACGATCTTCAAAGCTAAAACGCTCATCGTGAGTGTCGTGATTTCATCATGTGTCCTAAATCTACATTATTTTTGGTCATATGGAGAAACGTATGCGAGAAGTGGAAATATCACTCGAATAGTGAGCGGATGTACAGTGTCGGAAAACATCCCATGGTTGACCCATTATATGACACACTACCGCGCCTGGGTGGATTTGATCATTAGGTCAGCTCTCCCGTTCGTTGTCATCACCCTTTGTAATATTGTAATCGTCCACAAATTGCTATCATCTTCAAAAAATAGCACGTTGAACAGGATGGTAAGCACCACGAGGAGGAGGTCAATGGACAGTCAAATGACATCTCTTATAGTGATGCTGGTCTCGGTAAGCGTATCATATCTTCTCCTTACAGGACCTTTGGTGTTGGTGTACATTGTGGAGCCCCACGACCCCAGTAACGCTATTGATTGCCCCGCTTTAAAATCAAGAAAGAATTTGAAATGGTCCGTAGTTTTGTTTTTGTTCTATTTGAACAACGCTATTAACTTTTGCATGTACTGCGTCAGTGGGAAGGAATTCTGCGCTGAAATAAAAGCCATCTGGAGACCATGTACAATGAAAAACATTAAGAAAGCGTTACTGTGTATCAAGGACGATACCATGCGTTCTGGGCCTGTTTGGACGACAACTAACAGCTCAGAAGCGATTTTTCCTTCTGTGTGGGAGTATAAGTCTAGGGAAGTGGAATATGGAAGCATAAATAGTATCGAAACTCTTAAAATCAAAAATATTCCAAATGCTTTCTGATATAGGACACCGTGGTGTTTCACACGATTGAGTAACGCATTCCTATCAAAAAGTTATAATGTATCCTCGTCTACGTCTTTGGACACTTGAAACAATGTGGACTTTGAAAAATTTAGGCCACTCCTTGTTGTAAAAACGAGAACTTTTTCAAATTATTGGTAGGCCTATTCGTGAAGATAATAGAGTTCATCCATCTGTCACTCCGTCTTTTTATCATTGTGAAACTCTCGATCGATGAGTGGGAAAAGGGACAACCACAAAAATTGTTCCTCTAACAAACCAAAAAATTACAATTAATGATATGAGAGAGAAAAATGAAATGTCATTCGAATAGCTAATTTTATCATATTTACGCATTTGTTCAAGTTCGTTCTTACGATGTTCTGGTTAATCAATGCCTCTCGGATATAAAGCTCCTTTTGATAATGAGAAGGGCTCTCTGTGCTCTTAAGTGGACACTTTCTTTAAGGAATAACATAAAGGGTATGATTAGAGTATTGAGTGTTATTAATTATTCAATGATATACTTTTCAAAGAGATGTTCTTGGTTATTCTACCCGCCAGTGATAGACTAGTCACGCTTAAGCCTCGGTCATATTTGCTCTACGGCAGCCGTACGGCGGCCGTATATTTACAAAATCGATATTGAAAATCTAACTCGAACTGCTTATCCCTGTATATTTTATGCTGCATATTTCGTTCTCTCAATATCGGGAAGCTACGGTCGCCGTATGCCGTAGATCAAATGCAACTGAGGCATTAGTTGTCGTCTAATATAATCTTATGAACACAGGGGGCGAAGACGCGTAGAGTATTTTGGGATGAAAAGCAGGTAGGTGAAGTCTTATTTGGTAGTAGGCCTACAATAATTATCAATTATTGCAAATGGATCATCCCTGAGAATGTTCTCCCATGAATGTATGTGAATGTATGTGAATATTTTGTAGAACTTTCTCAACTGGCAATAATTATATAAGTCCATCACGTTTCCAGTACATTGGGGAAACATTCCATTGTTATAAATTGTCAGCCATCCATCTATTTTTTCTATGAGGAATTAACAAAAGAAATGATGCGATATTTAACAAAGATTCTGTGGTTAACCCCACTTTGTTGAACACTAGTTTTGAGTGTCAATTTGTAACCATTGAATGTTTCCCAGGTGTATCGGGAGCATGATGAGCATATTGGCAGATGGGAAAGAACTAAAATATCTTGACAGACGACAAAATAAAACTACATCGTACCTAATTATTTTAAATAAGATGGTGTTTTTCCTGTGTACGCAACGAAAATACTCCACGCGTTCCCACCCCCTGAAACACCGTGGCATGCATTGTCACTCAGAGTCAGAATGTAGAATGGTCATGGATTATCTAAAGTGACAATACATGATTCTTATTTTGCTTGGGTGCCAGGATCTATGCCAGCAATTTTACAAATAAATTCATTATGTTCAAGTACAACATTGTATGATAATACCATTTAAGGGCCATTCTGCGGATGTGCATTAGTAAGTGCAAACTTCTTTTCACGGGAGGTCACATCTCAGGGGCGGATCCAGGAACCAACAAGGGGGCCATGTTTGAAGTATGAAAAAAGGTACTCTGAACAATTTTTGGGTCTAAAAATGTTTTTGGGCCCAAAGATCCGTCAGTGAATCTTGCAACCTACTGTAAAACGGGTAATTTTGACACCAGGAAATTTTAGCGATTTTTCAATTTTAGGGGGTTTTAGCGCGGGAAATTTTAGCGAAATGAAGATTAGCCTAATCTTTAAAAAATCAAATTAGCGAAATGCATAAGAAATTTTATCATTTATGGCAGAAGAATGAATAACGGACATGGCCGTGTTCAATTAACACCTTTTATCTTTATATTTACTACTAATACTATTTCACTGATGGATGGCTATTTATCCTTCAGATATTGAAAGAAACATACGATTTAAAAATATTTACCCTTTTCAAATTACAAACCGGAAGTCGAGCACTGAAGCTCCTTAAATACTAGTATTCATGTAGTTTCCCGGGAATTTGCAAATTTTAGCGCCCGGTTTATTTTAACCCCGGTTTATTTTACCGAATTGAATTTTTAGCGAAACTATAGCGATCGCTAACAATCGCTAACAATTACCCCTCGCTAACAATACCCGTTTTACAGTATTTTATGCTTTCTGTACGATGTGCTGGGCAGTTTCAGACAAATGGTTTCTCACAACTGGATCCCGTTTTCAATAAATTAGATTAACATGATCTAAATGTGAGGCATGTAAGGTATAGAATATTCACTCTAAAATGTCGTCTAATAAATTATTTAAACACATTTAATTGATGCTTTGTATGTGATATAATATAATGTAACAAGTTTATTGTATGGTAGCCTTTAACCGACACAATATGGGTCAACAAGTCAAGTCAACAAGTAGATTAATGTGGGAGAGTATTGGTAGAATCCATTTTCAGTTGTGATAATATTCAAATTCTAGAAGTAATATCAGTGATATCTTGCTCGAATTATGATATCCATTAGTAAATGGTATTAGTATTCATGTATTGTTCATTGTGTATTGAGTTCCCGGGATTGAGTTGCATTAAATAGGCATACTAGCTTACCAGTTTGATTTTTAAGCACACATGAAAACTTCATATTTTTGTTATTCAAGATGATAAACAGGCATTGAACCATAAAAATGAATGATTTGTATCCGCGAATGGATAGCGATACGACCATTTTTATGATGTTCGGCCAACTGTGATATTTTTCTACTAGGGGCGTTTGTCTAAAATAACTTATCGGTGTTTTCACAACTATGGAAGAAATTATTGTAGCCAATCATCCTTGACACCCTATTTGGTCTGTCGATCTTGTTTGAAAGAAAAGCATGATCAATGAAATACTGGCAAATAAGATTGTTAAGTTGGTCCCATTATTCCATTAAATATGGATAACTGGATAAGGGAGGTAATAGAAACTTGGTGAATACGTCACTATTCCCTTGATCATTTGTCAATTAAATGTTCTTTGTGTCCTTCATCGAAAGCAGTCCCGCAATGTCTTCCTGTCTTAAAGGGGTGTTAAAAATTCTAACCTGAAAATAAAAAGTAAGAAATTTCCTTTACCTACTTGTCTTAATGAGAACTCTGAAGGAAAGAAATCACAGGAAATAAATTAGAGCCATTGGACCAATAACATAACAATAATCCTATTGAAGGAAGTGAACTATTAACATTGGCTCATTTGGCAGAATGAGAACACCTACATATAAACATATCAATGGAATAGAACTAGTAAACTTGACCCAATAAGTAAACCACGCAATGGACATCATGAGAAGACAAAGGAAGTGACATACTGACATAATAACACAATGGAAATAGATACCTCATCAATGAATCCAGTGAAGTTGTTGAGTTGTACACATCCCACGCCAACATACTGATCCAATACAAGGATTGTCCCATTGTCTCGTCGAGAGTTACCATCTTGTTCCACACCGTCCAAGAATAACTTCAGTGTTGGAAGGCGAGGGGGTGTGACGGAAAGATCTGTATGGTCATCATAAGTCATGACAACCAGGTGCCAATCATTTGCTTTTGCCTCTATATGGGCATAATCTCCCAATGGATCATTCGTTTGACCATATATGGTTGAGACACCAGCCTCGATGAATCTTGCTGATTCTGAACCTGATAAAACATTTTAAAAAATTATTAGGGATTTGGTAGATGCAAGGACGTCTATCAAGGACGTCCTTGGTAGATGGGTAATGTTTTGGTCTAAAGGTGAAAATATTTGCGTCCACTTGATTGAAAGAATCTATGGACTCTTACCCTGTATGCGCCAACTGGGTGGTGCTGAATCTACACTATTGCCAAATATTCCTCTTATTTGGTTCCCAGGTGATACAGGAAACCGTTTGAACCAGATGGCGAATGAAGCCTGGCCGCTCACAGAGCCATTTGCGGACACGACACCCCACTGCTGCTGGGAGAGTTGAGGTATTGATATGCACGACCTGGCAACACATAGTAAGAATACTGAAGTTGTTTTACGAAAATATTTCCTAATGTTTCACCATTTGCCGTTAGTGACACTAAATCATTAGGGATTGCATTGTAGAGAAAATGACCAATAGGGATATTAAATGTTAATTATTCATAAACAAGGTCATGTGTCTGTGCAGGAATGCATTATTTATCAAAGATCCATCTTCAGCAATTAAATATGCAATTTCGTCAATATACAAACCTGCCGTTGAAGTATGCTGAGCAATTGACTATTTTATCAAAGCAAGTAAAGGTTGGTTCCTCGTATCCTGGTGTTGCTGCGCCGTGAAGGTCAGTCCCCGAATGGTCGCTCATGTCTCCATTTAGGGGAAGATGTAATAGCTGGGCTAAAATGGATGACAGTCGTGTATTAAGAACAAAGGCCACCTAATATCATGGACACATTTGTCATTTCATTTATTTGAGCCACACACTAACAGCCGCCCTGGTGAATGGGGACGAGTGGCCATACAATCATAATTCAAACATGCACCCATGGTACACATATCTCGGAAACTCCCTAGTGTGTTTTATTATATACCGAGACTTGACTCCTGAACACAAAATTTATAAAAATGGTCTTGCATTTACGTCGATCATAATATTTATAAGAAGTTCTATAACAAAAAAACTCACATGATAGGGCTAACACACTTAACCCATTGCAGCGATCTGTATCGCAGAAACATTTGATAGAAGAGGGGTCTTCTGGCATCACTGTACAACCAACAGCCGAATCTATGGACGGATCGAGACATCCTCGGCGAATCACTACAACACAGAGAAACTACAGAGCCTGGAGTGGCTAAGATCATTGATTGAAAATAGTATGAGGCCGAGGATAATGTTAATAATGACTGCCATCAAAAGGTCCAATAAGTTTCCTGTTGACAAAAGTCAATTGACGCAGATGAGGATGTACTTTTTACAATACATATAGAATTGGCAAATTGCCATATTAATGATATTATAACTCTAGCTCGTGGCTTTCGGCATTTCCCTTACAATCAGCCTCTTTCTCACTTACATCATCGACACAGGCGTGACTATCAAAGTCATATTGTTTTGGATCTGGACGTGACAAATTCAAAATTAGTTACCGAGATAAAATGCTTTGAACTAAGAATATTTAATATTTAAGGATACCGTTTTATATTCTGAAAATTATATCAATTAATGTTATGAAATGATTCTGCAAACAAATTAGGACGTGACTTCAATTACAAGGTACTTAAAGTGAACGAAATCACACCCAAAAGTTCTTGAATTGTATAAACTATTGCCCTCCAACATATTCAAGAAAATCCAGTGCATATTTTTCCTGAAATGGCGATGAATTTTATCTGAAGATTGGGTGCAAGAAGACAAAATGGTCATCCGAAAGTTAATCAACTGTAGAAATTGTCTTCTAAGAAAATCCGATAATCGGTTCAAGAAATAGCGATTACAAGATTTATCGAGATGAGGAAATACATAGAAATGAACATATTCAAATTCCTCCATCGCTCTACAATGTAACAGAGAGTGAGATGATATAAATATCAGAATGACCATTCACAGATATTGGTTGAGAAAATAATTGTCATATTTTCAGAAAACCATTTCAACATTGTATAACTTCTTCCTTTATATGAAAACAATCGGTTCACTGGTATTTGAGTTATTATAGGAATATGACTTCGCTTAATTACCGCTACCGGATTTCGCCAGCAGTAGGGATGATGACACCATAATTGATAAAGTGCATCAGTATTCTCAGTACCTCTTTCAATGACGTTTTCCTCTACGAAGCACATGGTTTGACACTGTATCTGTCGTGTTGATGGATCAGTTACAGTGGTCATAGATAAATCTGTAATTGAGGCCTCCATCTCCCAGCATCTCAATGGTGCTGAAACGGCAGATTGGGTCAGCTAAATTCAACGTTCCACCCCTGGTTACTAGACTAGCCATAACGTAACGTAATGCACTTGACAAACAGGCAGAAGTTCCAAAAGCCTTGGCAATGAATATCAACTTATACTAATGCGGAGTTAAGCATTTTGGGGTCATACAAGGCCAAAGTTACTTATGTAGGTCAAGGTCATCGGTAAACGGTCATATGTAAAGCATATTACTAAATATTTATTCAATGATTCATTGTCATGAGTCTATGTTCGGATGTATTGTGAACGATCTACATTTCAATCAAACTGTAACAGCCATGAACTTTATTGTATCAGAGTTTGTCATGACTTTACCTTTTTGACCTCAGGCCTATAACTGTATGTAACGAATACTATTCATACAACTGAAATTTATAACGATATACGATGACTTTCATCCTACTCACGGGAACAATGCCCTTTGCGAAAATGCATCACGCCAATGGAATCCTTCACGAGAACATCCTCCACTAGTCTGTGGTAATAACATGTGTTGGTGTTGAGGTCGAAGTCTACCCCGACACAATAGGGTCTGACGAGGCACCAGCGTTTACAGGCCTCGCTTCCACCTTCCTCATTGGTAGATGAAATGTTGATCCCGAATGGATGAGCTTTATTTTCAAATTTTTGAAAGATATATGGACAGCCTACAACAAAAAATCAAAAATGCAAAAATCGATTATTACGTGCAATTTTGCAAGAGAGTACTAAACTAATGTTGAAAGGGGAATCACAAAATAGGCCCAAGAAACATTTAAGCTAATATGCAGTAAAATTTGGATTCAGCGAAAATGGGAACAGTGTCATTGCATACACATGAGAGATCGAACTCATCCCTACTAGACTCATGAACATTAATCAGATGTTTTTCATTATATGGTTCCTTATTATATCTACCCTTTGCATTCGTTTGACTTCACTTCTTAAAAGAGAGCTTCGTCTTAGTTTAACTAGACTCTGCACGCAGGGTATATTATATCTTATTTAGTCCAGTATTAATTTTCAGAACATTTATTTCAGAAATTCAGCAAAGTGAAGGTATGGTGGTCACAGACATACAACACATTATGGATTATTTTGATAACATGACACGGTGACGACGTCAGACACTTTCCGAGTTTTTGAATCCCTCGCTTTTCTTATGTTATACGCTGTTTTGCACAAATGTAAAGGGTGTTTCAGAAATAATGTAACCTACATATCTCACAATACATTGTAACCGATGGAGCTTGAAAAAATATTTTTGCCAAAAATAATAAAGCTGCTTCAATGTTCTTTCAGTTGACAAAGTTGCATCACTGATAGTATGGGTATGACCAATTTGCTGCCCATATAAAGAATGTGCTCCAAATGGCCACCACCTCTCTGCTGGCAGACATGCAAACGTTCTTATCAGTGTTCCTTGTTATCTCTAGTTTGAGCTCTGCAATCGTTCTAGGATTATAATTGGCATACACATTGGTTAAGGATACTAGCTATTATTTTACCCAATTAACATTCCGTCAAATACCGAACCGAGGATTTTACCGAACCGAACGAACCGTCGGGGCAAATGACGATCGGAGTTGTGCGGCTTCTGTTAACCGTGCCACCCCTAGCTGGTTATATATGAACTTGTTTTTTACGGTTATGATTCTACAATAATGTGTCTACTATCCTAGCTACAAGCTGTCTGGGTTGACATATTAAGATAATAAAAGCACATTGCGATCATTTCGTACAAGGCCATACAATAACCATTAAGGTACATTAACAAAACGTACCGCTATCAGGTATCGTTGTCTCATCATTATTTGGAACAGGGTTGGATGTAGATGACCTTTCCCCCGGTTGTCTCGTTATTGAGCTCCCAAATGCTGAGTTGCTATCGAGTGTAGTAGTTCGGGCTTGAAAAGGGGGTCGTACAGAAAACGGGCCGTTTGTTATAGTAGCTGCAGTAGTGAATGGACTAAATGGGCCTAATAAGCAAAAATAATCATATCTATTCATCCGTACATCCGTCGTATTGCAGGTTGATGATCAGGTTCTTAAAAAATGCTCGAGTGGATTTTGTTAATTGACTTTAAAACTGATATTTTGCCTTAAATAATCATATCTACATCTGATTCTTGTTTTAAGATCGAAAAGTTACACCACTGTTATAAAATGCAAGATTAATTTTAATTCTAATTTAATTCTTTTTAAACATTTTGATATTGTTCAACTACATATTTTTTGATATTACCAGAGGTTGTTGTTCGTTGACGTCCCGCACCAAATCCACCGAAGTTATCGATGGCATTACTCTCGGTGGTGGTTTGTTCTCGTTTGCACGTGGTCCTATGGTAGTGGTCGCAACAACGGTTGAGTACCGTAGAGAACACACTGGAGTTGGCGAACAAGAAGAAACACCGATCATCATTCGGTACGTTCGGCAATTTGTTGTAATCAATCCCGATACAGGAAGACATGGAAATACAATTTTCTTGACATTCCCTAAGGGTTGTATATGGTTTACTTACTCCAAGAGGCTTGTGCACGTTCTCAGTTTTCATGAAAGGGTCATTTGGGCAACCTAGAACAACAACAAATATTCGATGAATGCATGGGATACTGTATGTATGCGTCAAGACATACTTGTGCCTCTTAAGGTTAAAACACCACATAGGTAGCAACTAGCAACACAATAGAATGAACTGTAGTTTATTTGAAATAGTGTAAAGTTGTATCAAGGGAAGGGTACATCCTTTTTATTGTTTTAAAGAATGGACACTTGGCACTATTAAAAACCAGTGTGGGACAAAAGACGAATGACAGTTTTTGAGTTTCCATCATTTAAAAAGAATACACAAATGTACATGTAATCTTCTTTTTTACTGTGCATTCTTTAAAATATAAAACAATTTATTGATTTGTGTTGCTTCCTACAATATTGATCTGAGCTTTAGCTTACTTACAAATTCTGCTCTATCCATGTCAAATGTCTACACCTGGACTGTCACACACAGTGCATGAACAAATAATACCCTATTTACTTACTCAATAGTTGAAAAGTCAATACAAAATAAATCAAGTTTTCCAGATTGGATCATGGACCATTTACCTTTCATAAGAATCGGTGTGGCGTTTAAGTTACATAAACTATTCGTCCTAGATCTTAGGAGAAAATAATGGCATCGGGCCTCTCGGCTATTGGCCATTATTTCACCTAAGACCCAGGATTCATGGATTATCTATTATCTGGTTGTTAAAATACACTCCATTTTCAATTCTAATGAATTTGGGAATTGTGCATTTTGAATCTCATATTACTTCTGTTTTGATTTAATATAAATTCTTTATTCAGAAAATAAAAATAGGATAGCAAAACGTTTGCATTATTTTTGACGCACTCTTTCCCTTCTCCTTCCTAAAATGAAACATTCAAAGCCATCGGCAAACATTAATGGTCGTTATAGTGATGGTTATATGGTATGACATACGTACCATTGGATGGAATGGGAGCTGGCATCATCCTTCCGCGCCCTTGTTCATTTAGGGGTCTCGAGTAAATATTCACGGGATCTTCACGATCTTCGATAAATCCATTGCTCTGCTCAACTACAGCGCCTTTAGCATTCGGCTCTACAACAATAGGGTGTGGCTTTTCATGTGGGAACGGGTACCCATTAGTATCAGACGACTGTAATCGCACGTTCAATGCTCCATCGTCCTTATTATCAACTATAGAATTCTTTCCAGGTTCAAAATAAGTAGCTTTCCTGTCCTTTTCAAACACTTGAACTTTGATTTTATCATTGACTTTGCGAGGTGAAAGAATTGGAAAACCAGTGTATACAATGTCTCTTCGTTCCTCCTGTATCCCAGGCTTGGTTGGTGTGTTATCATCCACGTCAATAGTATCAACCGTGTATTTTCTAAATATTGGCTCAAATGGAATATTCTTATCTTGTTCATTTTTTGATATAGTATTATGTGTGTATATTTTGTAGGCCATGCACCCACACGGCGGCTCCTCCTCACAATATGCCGTACCCCCGGGACATTTCATGTCAACTGCCACACCCGGGTGTACGCAGTGATAGTAGGAATATGGTTTGTGAGGATTTGGTAAGAATTGACCGGTCTCCTTACACTCTGAAACAAAAATGGAATCGATGTAATTTGATGAAATTTGGGGTCCTTCCCAATTAACACCCCCCCCCCCCCCCCATTCACTCATGATCAATTGATTTCGAAAATGAAAGTGACCTGAGAATGCAACCTTCGGGAAATCTAGAGTGTTGAAACAGTAGTGAACTTATAATGGCACCAACGACTGTGAAACTTAAAGAATTCGTGCTTTTCAGCCTCATCTTACTCTCCTAAAATAGGAACATCAATTCTTCATTAAAATAGAGTTATTCAAAATTGGTAAATATGATTGTACGAAAGAAATTCAGAAATGGCAGACAGATAACCTCAATGTACCCAACTCTGTTAAGCGCATTTAAAACTTTACACAAATTCAGAAGAATTCTTATCATAATCATACAGTTATTCCAAAATTAGAGGTTGCATTTTAGGGGTTATATCCTATGCAACTCTTTATCAGTAATTTATAATCAACTGGAGCCAATATAAGCATTAAGTGTGAATCCACAATCACAAGGAGATTATTTCTTTTACATGGTCTCCATCTGTGTTTTAAGACAAATCACATTTAAGCATGTTTTAGTTTATAGTAAAGGGAGCTCGAGAGCAATTTATTATGCATAAAAAACAAAAAACACAACTTTGACTCCTGTTTGTTACCTCATGCCACCTGTTCTGTTGACAATTTCCCAAAAAAACAACATTTCCTCACCTTTAACAACATTTATAACTCCCATTCTTGCTGCTGACACGACTCCAACAAATATCCATAAAACCCCTATTGATAATATTCTAAACTCCATTTTCCAACGGTCCATGCCCAGAAAACAAGTAAAGTGACGATGTCCTTTGCCAGGAACGCTAGGTGTCTAAATATTTAGACAATTGTAACAGGTGTATATATAGTATTCACTTGTGTTGTCGAAATCATGTACCATTTAGTAACAGACGTTTTGGGTCAAATATTTGACACTGGTGTATTCACTTCACAATGGCATTTTCTTAGGATGATATTCTTCAAATATTCTTGGAGTCTACATGTTGAACTGAGATATACTACACTACAATACACTACACTACACTTATAATCTCCACATTCAGTTCAGCAATGTTAAATTATTCCTCATTTAGAATTAAAATCCAGTTAAGTTTTGACTGATTATAAATGTAAAATGTCAATATCATTAAGGCTGAGATTTTTCCTTAGTTATTTCAATTTAATGTTATTAGTAAACTGTAGATACATTTCCTCAAATACATTTCCTGATTGAGAACAATTAATTGGTAATTAATTACTATGCTATTTAATGTTAATGATTCCAAGCTTCTAATCTATTTGCTCTTTATGTGGCATAGAGAACATTAACCCTTTTACAACATATAAAACATGATAGTATGACATGTTATGTCATTACATTAAATGTATATTATCTATTTTCTTTAAACAAGGACCATTGACAGATTGACCTAATTCTTTAATTATGCCCTTTACATTGCAATGACGATTTCTGAAACAGAACTTCTGTAATCATGGCAATGAAAATATCTTATATGTCAATGATTTGATTATAATATTTAGTTACGATAATGATAAGTTATAAATAATCAACTTCATGACAATTTCTCATACTATTGTCACAAGCAAGGTTAAAAAAATATTTTAAGCTTTACATGATTCTTTCATGAGAGAGAGACAGATCACAGCAACTTATAACGGACCTTCTGTGATAATGTAAAACCAGTCATTAACATGACAAAAGGTCACCACCTAGTTGCTCACAATCCTAAGTCAGTTTTGAACTTCTGAGAACTTGTAGATGATTTTGAAAAAAATAGTCAATTTGAAGCAAGTTAAAAAGCGACCTTTTTGACCCTGGGGAGGTCATTGAAGGTCAAATCTTTTTGATGTTGAGAATGTCATTGAAGGTCAAATCTATAGTCAGATTTGAACTTCTGATAACTTGTAGATGATTTTGAGAAAAATGGTCGATTTGAAGCAAGTTGAAAAAATACCTTTTTGACCTTTTTTATCTTGAAAAGGTCATTGAAGGTCATATCCTAAATATAAAGTCAGATTTGAACTTCTGATAACTTGGTAGAGGATTTTAAAAAAGATTGAAGTCAGTCTGAACACTTTGTTAAGTTATTGGAAGTTCACTTTTTGGTGGTGACATAAAAAGGTTGACAAAATAACCAGAAAACTTCTAAAGATTTTTCTGTGACCATTACATGTCAATGTGAAACTGAGGACATCCTGAGGAAGAATAAACGTTGGAAACTGAACATATCATTCAATACAGACTTAAAACTCAAATGACACAAAATGTAGACCCCCTCAATATATTTTTTTTATAATACTCTAAAGGGTTAAGTGAAAGAATAATGATTACCTCAGGCTGTCATCATTATATGACCTCTCTGAGGTGCATAGCAATGAGCAGACCCTTACAGAAACCTCAAACGAAAATGTTGAAATTAAGGAGAAAATATGAGAAATTTCCACATTTCTTCTTCCGTATGCAAACTTTGAGTACTGTCAAACAATTGACTGACATTTTCATAACTTTTTTTATGATTCTTCAATTCTATGTTAATTGATGATAAGGTTGTAAGCTATGCACATAAAATGGAATGGAATGGTATGATAATGGATTAATTAGAACAATTCATTTCTGTACATTACTTGGAAATGAGATCGTTCTGTAATTCTATAACCTAAAATGTATGAATAAGCCCAGGTTGTGTTAGCAGCATCGAATACATTAGCTATAGGGTCCAGCATCTGTCTTAAGAAAGTACATTTACCGAATTAGTCCATATTTGAAAAATGAGCCTGGACTTTTATAAGATCTTAAATGTATAATACAAAGTATAATAATGCATAGAGATTGGATGAAGGTAATATCCAGAATTTTCTCCTGTCTAAGAGAGCATGCCATAACAAACTTTTGGGAAGGGTATGTGGGGAATGAGTGGGTCACCACGTCACATTGATAGGTTACTTGGGGCTATGTAAAATAGAATGCTCTATCAGAGACATTTTTAAATGTCTTAATGGAGTTGTATGGACAATCTTCACATATGAATCACCTTGAACATGAATTTTTTTATGTAAATGATACATACTTTAATGATTTTGAATTCTACATTGACAATTTTATACTATATAAATGTATAAATGTACATCGAAGTCTAATATTCGATGTACATAATTGAACACTCAAACAACGGTGACTAAAGAAGCCATTGTCAACAATGATGTGAATTGGTTGCAAATAACTAGGCAAACACATTGATCTTTTGATAATACTATAGTGAAGGAGGAGGGAAATTAGCGCAACAGATTTTGGACAGTCATATGTTGGATTTTGGCCATTTTCTGAGGATTTAAACAATTGCATATGTTAGGCCAATGCATTACCTCCAGGAAAATCACTTCTAGAGATGATAAATTGATTTTGACTTTGAGACAGGGTAGATGCAAACAACCCACCCACATGTTTTTTCTGAAATGTTTTCCTGATTTTCAACCCCTTCCATCCCTGCTTTTTTAATTTTTCTTGCATCAATATGTTGCGTTTTGACACATTGTTAGCTACTTTGAAGGAATAAGTGATTCCTTCAGGGGTTTTAAAGATACCCATTATGGGTGACCAAACTTAGCTGAAAGCAATGATTTTCCCTATGGGAAAATAACATGAGAAATATTGTTTTTCACTTTATCTAAAAGGAATCATTTATTCCTTTTAATTCGAACCTTTAATAGAATGATAATGATGCCAGATAATAGAATTACCAAACAAATATTCAAATGGGATAAAACTGTAAATAGTAAATGGAGTCAAGAGCTCCAAAAAATTTTAAATAGATGTGATTGTCAAGATAATTTTGAGAATTTAGAGTATTGTTATATAGAAAAAGTCAAAAAGAAACAACTGCTTACATATGAAACAACTTGGAATGATTTAGTACACAAGAAACCAAAATTAAGAACATATGTCAAATTCAAAACCTCATACAAAACTGAGTCATATTTATTGCTAAATTTATCTAAGTTGGAACGATCTTTAATTGCACAATTACGTATGGGAATTTTACCACTGGAAATTGAAACAGGCAGATTTAGAAATGAAAAATTGGAAAATAGAAAATGTACTTTATGTAAATCTGGCAACATTGAGGATGAGGAACATTTTATTTTTAATATTATTGTACATTTTATAAGGAAATAAGGAAAACATATTTACAAAATCACCAAATGTTTGAAGAAACAGAATCAACTACGGATCAAAAGTTTCAGTATTTATTTGAAAAAATGCCTAGGCAAGCTGCTCATTTTGTTAAACTTTGTTATTTTAAAAGAAGAAATGCCATTTATAATGTAAATTGAATTAAACTGCATGTTTGTGTCTAAGAAATTCATGCTAGTATTTTTAAAATTGTTTGTTATGAATCTAATTGTAATTTTTAACATTAGTGGTTGATAAGCCCAAGTGGGCTGGGTTGCTTTTTATTACTTTTCTTTTGTATTGTATTGTATTGCATTGTATTGAACCTACCACTGTAAATAACAATAAAACTAAACTAAACTAAACTTTAAGGGATTAACTGTGTGTCAAAACGCAACATATTGATGCAAGAAAAATTAAAAAACAGGGATGGAAGGGGTAGAAAATCAGGAAAACATTGGTGGGTTGTTTACATCTACCCTGTCTCAAAGTCAAAATTTTTTTATCATCTCTAGAAGTGATTTTCCTGGATGGATGACAGTTCATGGATAATATTCTGATGTGAGTTGGTTGAAAATAACTGTACAAACACATTGATCTTTTGATAATACTATAATGAATTTGGACAATGTAAGATTTAATTTGGATGACAGTTCATGGATAATATTCTGATGTGAGTTGATTGAAAATAACTGTACAAACACATTTATCTCTTGTCTTCAAATTTTTGACATCCCCAGCATATTAATTTAAATTTAAATGGGGATTTACAATAGGAAAAATGAGATAACTATGAAGCAAATTACTTCTCCAAAAGTGCTGTCCTTTTTTGCATTTACAAAAAACTTTTATTTACATGTATTTATAATTGTATATTTACTTTACAAAATATTTTGTATAGTTTAGACTAATCAAAATTCCAATATCTGAGAACATAATTTTTGTATAATGACATAGTCTATTTCTTCCAAAATGAAGAATTACGTGCTTTTTAATGATATTGTTAATGTAAATTGTAAATACCTAGAGATCATCAACTGACAAAAATACTCAAAACTATACAAGTACAGGGTGTTCCTAAAGTCCCTACACTTACCACAGACTTTGTATTGAAATTGTAGAGACTTCATGGACACCCTGTATATTTAGCTGTATTTTGATAGTTCACTGTGAGGTTGGAGCTTAATCTGCTGTATACAACACTATCTATAGATGATGCATGCATTGTATGACAAAATTTAAATATCAAAAATTCATGTGGACTATAGTTCTAATTACATAAGATGAATTTGAAATTTCAGCGCCGCCGCTCTCTACGTTCAGAGTGACTTGATCTTTCCCGTCTTGAATCATCTTCCACATGATCTTTCCTCCTCCTTGATTTATCACTACGTCTCACATCTGGTCTAGCGTCTTCTTCATAGTCATTTGAATCGCGATATTTATTTCTAGATTCGCGATGTCTTTCACCACGTTCTCTATTAATTTCTCTAACAGGGCGTTCCTCACTATCTCTATCTCTTTTACTATTACGATCACGTAAATTTTCTTTTTCACTTTCTCTAGTTCGTCTACTAGAATATGATTTAGATTTCTTAGTGTCTTCTCTATTTCTGTCTCTCTGTTTATCTTTACCCACAGCCCTCCCTTTCTTTCTCTTAAAGTTGCCAACATCCGAATCAGAATCTGAAATAGAATGGAAAAATATATAAAGAGACATTTAGTTTTTTTGGGGTTGTATATTCACATTTTCTGTTATGTATTATATGTGACCTTTAACTGAAAATAATCATGAAAAGACAATCTAAAAAACAGGATAATGATTATGTTTGGTTATTTAACCACATTAATTTGCTCATCAGGCCATTTCAATCTTCCAGATATTCCTGGCAGAATCTAGCAAAAACAGATCCTAATTGATCTAAAGGTAGATTCACATGTTGAGATTTCTTATATGATTGTTATTACTAAGAATTTCTCCATCTAAAATGTCACTCGACTTTTTGGCAATTAAAAGTCCCTGCCTGCATTTAGTAATCATATATTGTCATGTGCATAATTTTGAAACCATATCCTAATTATTTCACAAACCCTTTGTTGATTCTGCCATAGTTTCCAATTTGTAAACAGCATTTAGCCTTTTTAATTGGGAACTTTTTTGAAATTTCCAAAATGGCTGCCATGTGATTCCAGAATTAACATGAGTGTGACGTGACATCACAGATGCTCGTTCCTTGGTAACAACAAGATCACAATTGCTCGTTTCTAGATAGCAACAAGATTTTTGATAAAATGGCACAGAATTACCCTGATTAACACCCTTAAAATCCAATTTTCAAAGAATATATTTGGAGAAACAATAAAAGGTAAGTGGAATAAATTAGAAGATGGTTTCAAGTTACCACAGAAGTCAATTTGAAACTCAAGAATGCTTTCTTTGACTCATAATCACAAAAAAGTCGAGTGACATTTTAGATTTCTTAATAAAAATTAAGGCAATGGTTTGATATTTATATTTGTAAATTGTATTTCATGGATTGATTGCATAACACGACATCTTTATTCAGTCTTATATGCACATTCAACTGTGCTAAACTGTGCTTGATTTTATAATTCTTAACCAAAAGTGTTTATATTTTATGAAAGTGTGCAACTACCTCAGCCAGGACTGACCCTACTCTAGCCTATAACCCACCTCAGTCAGGACTGACATATGCTAGCCTATAACCCACCTCAGCCAGGACTGACCATATGCTAGCCTATAACCCACCTCAGCCAGGACTGACCGTATGCTACCCTATAACCCATTTCAGCAAGGACTGACCCTACTCTAGCCTATAACCCACCTCAGTCAGGACTGCCCATATACTAGCCTATAACCCACATCAGCCAGGACTGACATTTCCCTAAAAGTGTTCATACTTTTATGAAAGTGCAACTACCTCAGCCGGGACTGACCATATACTAGACTTTAACCCACCTCAGTCAGGACTGACCATATGCTAGCCTATCACCCACATCAGCCAGGGCTGACTATATGCTAGCCTATAACCCACCTTAACCAGAACTGACCATATGCTAGCCTATAACCCACCTCAGCCAGGGCTGACTATATGCTAGCCTATAACCCACCTTAACCAGAACTGACCATATGCTAGCCTATAACCCACCTCAGCCAGGACTGACCGTATGCTAGCCTATAACCCACCTGAACTGGAGTCGCTGTCACTACTGCTACTGCTATCGCTACTACTGCTGCTAGAGTCAGAACTGCTTGAAGTACTGCTTGAGCTAGATTCTTCAGCAGTGGGGGGTGGGGCCTTGGGTACAGACCTAAGGTGTGCCCTCAACTCATCTCTGAAAAAATCAGTCAATAAGTTTTAACGATAAAGCTTAAGGAAATTGGACATTTAACTCATAACTGGCTGTATAATCTTGATTTTTTGCGTTTAACTTTATTCATTAATAATTTAAATATTATACATTAAAACGAGATTTTTAAAATCCAGAAGAAACAAGTAGTTTTTCTAAATAAACTGACAATCTAATGGAAACAAGGTCAAAATAGGGAGGACTTATTTTAAATTGGGAAAGAACATGTCAAAAGATGCCAAAACTTAATACTTTTGTCCAAACATGTTGTATCAAACCAATAGTTGACAGAAATGTAGTCAAAAGGGCATAAAATTGCAATAAAACAAATAAATTCATAAGCAAATAAATGTTTAAAATATTGGCTATTTCATCACTTGACAATCATAAGTTTTGTTTCAAAGTCATTAGAGAGGTGAAGCATTTCAATATTCATCTGTATATATTATACATAACCAGATTTTTCTTGACTTAGTACAGAAATAATATGTCACAATAGCTAATTTACTTACGTCAGACCACCAAGTCCAATTGAGGTGAAGAAGTTGATGGCAAATCGAGTATTCCTGGGATTATCTCTCGGAAACAGGCCCTCAAAGTACATGGACAGAGACCTATAAATGGATGAAGATTGTGATCATTTTTAGGCCCAACTTATAATCTAGGACTTTCTTAATCTGAGCATTTGAAAATATATCCAAGTATTAGTGATTTTCATATTTTTTTATTTAGTTTTGTCATGGCAAGGAATAGTTCAAATGTGGGACCAATATAAAAAAAACATGTCAGAACAGTTGTAGGCTACCACAATGGGACAGTTGTAGGCTACCACAATGGGACAGTTGTAGGCTACCACAATGGGACAGTTGTAGGTTACCACAATGGGACAGTTGTAGGCTACCACAATGGGACAGTTGTAGGCTACCACAATGGGACAGTTGTAGGCTACCACAATGGGAGACAATGCAGTATGATAGTAAGTATGTTGTGTTAAAGATAAGGGGGAGAACAAATTAATTTAGCAAATAATTATTCAATTTAAAATAGTTGAAGCTGATACTAGATCTCTATGATCTGAATAAAGTAACTTTAAGCATTTTGAAAAATGAATGTCAGTTTTGAATAGGTGGACAACAATACAGCTACAGTAACCAATCAAATGAAGTTGTCTTATGGACGAGACATTCTATGGCTTCTGATTGAAAAGGACAGATCAAAGGACTTTTCTTATTAAAAGATTGAAGACGAAGCTGAAACTACAGCAAAACCTATTGAAGTGTTTCATGTGGGAGGCGTTCCACTTAGGTTCATTTAATATTAGGTCAGTTGGTCTTGGGACATGAAAAGCGTTCCACTAACCGAGGGGTTCCTCTTCTAGAGGTATTCCACTTTACAGGCTTCACTGTACATTAAAGATTAAAAGTCAATCTCAGTAAAGAGAGTAAAAATTATACTGATCGCTGAAAACTTACTGGTCCTTCAGTCTGTCATTCAATCTTGGTAGACCCAGGTACTCTGATAGCTCCTGAATGAGAATCTTAATAAAAATTCTACTGGATGAAGTTGTATCCTCCTCGTTCATTTTAAGTCCCCCAAGTACAGCCCATGATATAGAGTCAGTGTGGAGTAAATGCGCAAAGAACTTTGCGACATTCCTCAGTTTCTGAGTCTCTAAACGGTGTATAGTATCATATTGCTCTTGGAAGATGACTTGGAATGGAGTCACATACTTCTTGTCCAGCATACAGAACCTCTGAAATATAAGACATTGAAGTGCAGCCAAGAAATTGCAATTACTTTACATACAAAGGAGGTTAGGAGAATGTAAAAATGATGCAGTTGCTGGGAAATAATTGAGATTAACATTCTAACAATTTTTAGGGATTTTGATCATGATTTATTTCTGATACAACATATTACATAGAAGAAGACAAAATACTGAGCAACCAGAATTATATTTGCAACTGGTCAAATAGGTTTGCACCTGTAACACATAGGTCATGAAGCATAAAGTTGTCCAACTCGAAGGTAGGTTTAAGTAAACAGTATGCCAATAAGAATTTTAATGATTACAATTGCCAAAAGCAATGAAATGCAGAATATTTTCAAAATTTTGTGTGGATAAACTGGATTAGATATCTTTTTGTCAAAGATAGTAGAATGTTTAGTTCAAAATATAAAAAAAACTTGATAAAAATCATGTTGAAATTACTGTTCAATTTTTCTTAAAGAACACACGACTCACCTGGGCCAGAAGGCCGTAGAATTTCTCATACGTCCTCATCTGAGCGCAACAATCCAGGATCATGTTACAAAGCTCCACCTGGTGAGAGAATATTGAAATACAGAAACAGAAGCAAACCAAAACATATGCTAAATATTGGTAGATTATTTATCCACCAGCCCTGACATCTATGCATGCACTGATCATTTGTGTAATTCCAGGTATAACTCCAGTATTTTGAATGCTCATTTCTAAACAATACAAATTTTTAATTCAATATTCAATCCTAAGGAAACGCTCCATCATTAAAAGGAATGTTGTGCTCATATTCCCACTTGGGGCACACATGCTTTTGTCCCATGCATGCCTCTAAGACTTTTTGATAAATATAAAGAAATTAGTGTATTTGAATCCACTAGAGTGAAAATCTTTTAACACATCTGACATCTATCTGTGAGTGACCCAGTGAATGATCATGTCACTTATGAAGTGTAACACATCTGACATCCCTCTGTGACATCTGACATCCCTCTGTGAGTGGCCCAGTGAATGATCATGTCACGTATAAAGTGTAACACCTCTGATGCCCCCCAAACCACATATACCATGGGTGTTCAATAATTTTCAGGAACTTACCTCCTGACCAGGCTTCAACTGCATCTTCAGCAGCTTGTGAGCACACTCCTCAAAGTCAAGACTGGACTGTATAGTGAGATAAATGGTACGCCTCAGGGCAACCATATTGGTTTCAGTCATGTCAATGATCTTTTGGCTCTCTGCTTCTATAACCACAATGACACATAAGATTGGGTTGTGAAACTATAGAATATTGGAAATACAGTAGATATATGGCATTTTTAGATGTAAATCTCAAAGTAAATAAAGCATGGTGGGCTTACAATATTCCTTAAAAGCTAAATATATGTTATCGTATATGCTTTTATCCCACACTAAGTAAGATTCCAGGGAGATAACAGCAGGATATATTTGTCTGAGAGGGAAATATTAGTTGCATCCCTTTCAAACACATTGTGATATTTATACATTAATTTCCCAGTAAACGTACAAATTGAAATCTATTTCATGATAAGCAAGTTTCATCATTATAAGTAAATGAGGAAACACTATGAACACCTTACTATATATATTAAGTTTTTAAACATTCCATCTTTATTTAGCCAGTCAGGCCAGTGTTCACATTGATAGGTTTTACCATAAAATGGTATGCTTATAGGAGACAAACCTTCTTCATCTTCTTCTTCATCAGATTCATCATCTCCATCACTGTCACCAGATTCATCACTGTCATCATCACTACCTTCTTCCAAGATCTCTGTAATATACAGTCATGGCTGATTTAGGTTTCTTTAAATATGTATTATAAAATCATGCTTCAAGAACATTTTACAAGATATTAAATATTTCTCTCAACCTCGATTCATTCAACAGAGTATATGGTTTTTATGAAACTTTTTTTTAACAATCTATGATACAATATAAAGCGTTTACTAACTCAAGGGCTATCAAAATGAGAGTGTATTGTGTAAAATGAGAGTGTATTCATAATGAATAATATGCAAACCTTTCTTGAGTTCTTTGTACTTCTCTTCACTAAGTTCAAACTCTGGGTCAGCCTTGAAGACATCTGCAAAACAAGAATAAAGGATGTTGCCAGATATGTGATATATATATATAACTTAAAACACTTTAACAAATGTAATTAAATTGATTTACAATACATCTGGCAGATACTAGGGTAAGTGATCCATCGAGGATTGAAGCAAATATGATTGCACACCACATTGAACATTTCAAAATTGCATATTTACCAATTTGGACAATTTTGAATCAGAATTAGTAAAATTAAAATTGTGAACCTATTTTAAAAATATCTGAAGAGGAATATATTGAGTTCATTCAAAGATTTCCACAAATCCCCTTCAACTCACTTAATATATCCTCGCCATCTTTAGCATCATCCATTGTGATGAGATGAGTAAACTGGTCATCTTCATCCACCAAGTCTAAGCCTTCCAGGACAGACTGGTGGTCTTTGAAGCCATCCTTGCGTACGGCAAACATCACTTCAACCATGTACTGCACACGTGTGTCTATCTGACTCTCATGGAGGATGTTACGTAGTCTTTCAAAAATAGCTAAAAGTAAAGTTTATGTGACAACTATAAACCAAGTTATTTCAATTGAGAGACTAACATATAGCAGCAGTTGCATCTTTAATAGAAAACAGTGTTACATCAACATATTGTACAGAATTGTGTCCAGTCACCATTTTAAATACCTTATTTAACTGTAAAGGGATTTCAATAGAATTCCTCACAACAGGCTAAATAAATGAAAACAACAGGCAAGATTAATGGAAATCATAAATTCAACATGGAAAAGTTGAAAAATCCCTAAAAACAACAGGCGATCTTGTGAAAACAACCAGTGAAAATCGCCTGCTGTCTGCTGCTAACGAAACCCATGTTGAACATGACTCCCCAAATACTTCACAAAAAATATTTGAAATCTAAAAACTTTTTTATACATGAGAATTGAAAATTCAGTTACTAGAGTGAAATGCCTCCTGATTCTACAACATTCCCCACAATCCTTAAAAACTTTTCAAATTTGAATCTTACCGTGGATGCCTCTGGGTGACACCTCAGTAAGCTTCATGCCACATTCCTTCAGGAATCCAACAGCAATTTCCACTGAATCATCAGAAGGTTTCTCCAACAACAAAGTAAGGATCTCCAAGGCAACCACCTCATGAGCTACTTGCTGGTTGACCAGGTGTGCAATAAAACGTACTGAGGCGATACATGCAGCTTTGTCATTGCGCCTGAATCCACGTTTGAACTGAATGATCAGTCGCTTCAGTACAAGTTCACCGATTTGAGGAAACTGAAAGAAAGCATATGCAGATTTTTACAACACACTCTTCAAACTAGATAATTACTGTTTTGGAATATTTTTATTCTTCCCAAGAACATTACAAGTGAGACTATAAACTGAACTATTAGTATTTTGGGGACAAGATCAAAATATCTTTATAATTTTTTCACAAAAGAAATTGATCATGTTGACTGATAAATAAAAAATTTGATATTTAACACAGCACCTTACATGTATATTAAATCCTAAATTGTGAGCATACTCAATAATAATGCAACTGAACTGCACAAATAAAAAGACAAATGGAACATCTAGGTACATACCTTTGTATTGATGATACAAAGCAGAGCTGCATAGACGTGTGAGAATGTTGGTGACACCGCTTGTGCCTGCATCATTGACCTGGATAGTAGACCACGGCCACGAACAATATTTTCCCCGAACAACTCACGAACAATCAAAGTTATGTTAGATACGTTCACTTTGTTGATTAAACCATTGATGCTCTTCTTCAGAGCTTCCCAGGCAATACGCTGGTACGGAACACTAAAAATTAAAAAGATAATTATTTGTATTAAATATAAGTTAATGAAAAAACAGGATGAAATCCTGTGCTAAGGGCTGGTATGGAAAGGCAGTCCATGCCAGTTGGAATAGAACCAACGACGTTGTATCTTATTCATCATGTTCATTTGATGCAAAACTGTTGAGTATATTTTTCTCATAAGCCTTCTGTTTCCATATACACCTTCATTCAGGTCTTTCAAAAGAAATTCATCAAATGGCAGCTACACCAAAATTTGTTAAAAATCCTGTGGTCGATATTCAACAGTTGCATTAGTCTTGACGTATTAAATAAATAAAAATATAGAAACATAGCATAGGTATACACTCTTCAAATATTAACCTGGATTTGTCAGTGATTGAAGCTTGCATAGCTCTGAGTCTTGCAGGAGGAATATATGCGCCACCAGTCCTTGTTAGCAAATTATCGGGGTCTGCTTTGGCTTTCTTAGGCTTGGGTTCCTCTTCTACTTCCTCATTGGTTTTAGCATCTGATCTTTTCCTAGAATGAAGATTAATATAGCATTTGCTGTATGGAAAACAAGGCATGAACATGCAAAATGTCACCACCTGCCATTTGTTACAAATGCTAAACAGTACTGCTTAACAACATCTACATAAAAGTTACAAAATAATACACCAAGAATTTATAGCACATTTCATCAAACTAAAAATAAATCTTTTAAACCCATTTTGATCAGAAATGTGTAAAATATACAATGGCATTCTTACAAATCAGAGCTTTCTTAAACAAATAACTGAGATCAAATGTACATTCTTTCCAGAATACAAACATTAAATTTTATTGTCATGGGTTTCAATCCAAAAGGTGCTAAACATATTTGATGACAGACATGAGTCATTTTTACAAAATAAAGCAAAAATAATCTACTTTCAGTTGGAAAATAGGCTGGATAAAGAGAAAAAGACTTTGACAGAATAGAAATGATATGTGCATACCAAAAATGAATAATTTCTATACAGGTCACACAATATATAAAAGCTTTTACTTTGGAGATCTCCGCCTATCCCTGTAAGTATACTGCCAGTCTTCCTCTTTACGTTCTGGCTTGTCTCGATCATAATAATCATCACCATTTTCTCTGGCATACCGAGGCCTGTCTCTCCGGTCATTATCTCTCCGTTCTTTATTCCGATCACCATTTCTATCACGATTTCTGTCTTTATCTTTCTGGCGTTCCCTTTCAGTATCTCTGTCCCTTCGTTTGCTAGAAGATGATTCATCACCCGAGGCATGTCTCTGTCTATCTTTCTTTGATTTATGTTTTCTGCTAGAGTGTCTGTCTTTATGACTATCCCTGCGAGTGTGCTCATTATTGTGATAATCATCATCAGATCTGTTACCAGTATGTCTTGAATCTTCTGGTTCTATCGATGCTGATCTTGTTTTCTTATGTTTCGTGGAGACATGCTGGAAAATATCATAAAGCATTTAAACAAGGATTGCATTTAAACAAGGATTTCATTTCAATAGCCACTTTGAGAGAACCATTGACAAATGCCAGTGCATTTTAAATATTGAAAATATATATAAAGTATATAGATATTTCATGGCCAAATTGTTAATGAAGTTCCTTTTAAAAATTACATTTAATAAGATAACTGAGTGATAACAAGAAAAGCAGCATCAGCAAAAGTAAATACTTATATATTTCTTGGAGAAAAATAAATCTGCTTAATCAGGACTAGCCGGATCGATAATTCCTGATAAAAATCAGGTCCATGGACGTTAATATTTCTTCACGTTATTTCGAATTTAAGAGTGTTTTCGTCATATTTTCATACCGTTATAATTACATATCCTACAGGACTACAGATTTTTTAAATCTTACAGACTTTATCTGTTCATGTTTGGAATGTCATTGCCTACCTGTACTTGACTTTGGATTGCACTCACCTGAACTGTACTACGTATTCTCCTCACATTCCCTTCGTCACCATTCCCAGAACTATCACTGAAATTAAAGAGCATGTGTAAATACAATAGATCAGTAAATAATGCAGACAACAGTTTGTTGATAAACTTATTAAAAAAGCAATCGGGTTCAATATTTTTCGTAATCATTAAACTTTTTCTCCTTTTCTCTTGGACATACAAGGGGTGATCCAAGTCTTGGACGCCCCGCTCTAACTTTGCTATTCTTTAATATAATTACATGAAACTTTCAGATAATAAAGATCAACATCTCAACAACTTTATGTATAAGTTTCAACAGAAAATAATATATTTTAGCTACTTTTCTAAATATCTTTTAATACCGGGTCCCTGCCACCCAGAACGGTATTTAAATATTGCAAATCACGCCACGTCTGAATGTCATCTGCCATCATCATCTTCACATATTAACACCTACTTTTGAACATGTTTTCCACGAATTTGAACACATTTTTCATACCACTTTACCAATGAATGGAGACATTTATGAAACCGCCATTGCTTATGTGATACAAATGCTGCTGGAGTGCTACTCTAAACCTCATTTAATGAGTAAAAAACATTTTCTTTCAACCCTCCTTTCAACTTGGAGAAAAGGAAGAAAATCACACAGAGCCATAGATAGACTGTATCGTGCATATGGTAGCTGCTCAAGGTCAATAATAGTGAAAATATCTTGTAGTATTCTTTGTTCCACTTTGATTTCTTTCGTAGCCATCTTGCAGCAAAATTTTGCAGCCATCTTGCAGCAAAAATGATGCCAGATTGAGGGTTGCATGTCTGATGGCATTTTCTTAGAATTTGACATGTACGGCCATTGTCATATGTGACATTATAATTAAAACACAATTCATTGGTTGCCTAGTAACAAAGGAAGTAAACTAACGTGGTTTAACATTCAAAATTCAAAGAAATATAGTGGTTAAGACTTGCGAAACGAGTGAAATGGCAGTAATATTTAAGGCTGAAAGTTGCCATGTGCAAATACCGTTCCGGGTGGCAGGGTCCCTGTATTAAAAACTATCTAGAAAACTATATAAAATATATCATTTCTCCATGAAATAAGTACACAAAGTAGTTAGGTTGTTGGTCTTTAAATATTGGAAAGTTTAAAGGAATTTTATCAAAAACCAACAAAAATAGAGCAGGGCGTCCAAGACTTTTGGATCACCCCTCGTAGTATAAATAAAGGTTATTTAATGGGAGGATGGAATATGAATTTCATTCCGAGGGAAAATTTGATATTTTCAGAGGCCAATGTCAAATTTTTCCAAGGAAAAAATCCATCACAACCATCACTGACCTATTTATTCCATAATACAGTACTATAGATGCATTCAAGATACCAGTATATCTGCTTGTTTTCAAATTTCCAAACTGCTTCGAACCAATTTGTACTCGACCAAAAACTTAACAATAGAGAAAAGACCCCACACAATCGATTGGCTTAGCCCAACATAGAATTTTAATATGTTAGATTCTAGGTCTAGTCTATTTGGCTACCTATTGTTCTTTAGAGAGCTCTGCTCACAAGTAGTTTGCTAGAGCTCTCTATTTATGGATCTTGATTACTCCTGAAATAATTCACTTCTTCACCTCTTTCCACCTTGAATTAAATCAATTGATCAAATTTTGGGAATTTAACCTCAAATTAAAACATTATTATTTTATAAAAATATTGAATCATAATTATATTTTTAAATGTCTTATATCTCACAATGTCTGCTGTTGTTTTATGAGTATTCTCTACAAGTTTGGATAACTTCAATAGTATTACCGTAGTTTTGAAATGATGATATCGAAATGATGTTAATTGAAATAAATGCCAATTCCACGATTTCAAATGTTACTTTACGTATGCAAAGCACTGAATGAACATGTGATTGGACGTCATATAATGGGGAATCCCCAAATACGAAAGAATATGAAAGAATTGTGGGAGTTACTCACTTCTTCTGGTTTTTCCATAATATCCCGTCTATATTATGTCATCATATAACAATCTTGCTAATGAATTCTTGGAATTTGATAAGATCATTTGTGACATCACTACTATTTTTTTCATGGCCTGAGTTCGTCGCTAACATGCTAAATATAAGAGTTAGCTGACGTTTGGGAGTCTGACTTACCTTCTAAAGGTTAGAACCTGAATCTTAATGAAACCATGTCACCTTTGTTCCGTCAACCATGGAGCATTTGCCACAACATCCAAGAGGTAGATCATGGACCGTGAAAATGAATGATTTCCTTGTAAGTTCCGGAAGTTTCAATACGAAAAATTACCGAACATATGTGAGAACCGAATATTTGTTCGTTGTTTTCACGATTTACAGGTTCGTTTGTTCTTCAATGTTTTGGTCTAAATTATAAAGCATCACCAACAGGTCTTACTCTATTAATCGACTAATACAGCAGATGGCTCATATTTCTACGTAGCATTTCGTTCAGACCAATAGTGGGAGTGTAGATCACGCAGTTTCGATCGTTGCGTACTTCACTTGAAATTGGTAATTTTAATTATGGCTACTTCACTTAGCTTGGCGGATGTAGAACATTGCCTAATATTCTTTTAATTTTCACACCAGACATGCTTGGTTGACAGTAAAGTTCAAAGGTCAATGCGTTATTTCGTGATAACTACTACGCCTTCCCGGAAGTCAACATTGATGAAAAATGAAAAAGTAGGAAAAGCATTTACACTAATTTCTATCAAATGCTGTGTTTATGCATCATCATCGACGCAACAAAGGTGATATGGTTTCATTAAGATTCGGGTTCTAACCTTTACAAGGTAAGTCAGACTCCCAAACGTCAGCTAACTCTTATATTTAGCATGTTAGTGACGAACTCAGGCCATGAAAAAAATAGTATACTTTGTGATGTCATAAGCACATCGACAGCAAAATAAACAAGCATGTGATTTTAGTCACTGCCTTTCTCTTAGGGTGTTTTGATGTTCAGTGGAACAGTGTTCATAAAACAATTGGGATAATCAAAATCAACTGATATATCGAGGTTGGACTAGGCATTTTTTGACTTGGAGCTCTCTACAAGGAGTTTGATGCATTTTCTTGTTTTACTCAAATCCCACAATACCAATTTTGAACCAATTGGTAACTTGGGCTTTTCCAAAGTGTGGACTAAGTAATTTCTATTGTCCACCTTTATAGTAATTTGCCATAAAATCAAAAAAATCAATTGGCCTAGGGGATGTGCCTTAGGCTAAGGGAAAAGTAATAGTAAGCTCAGTATATAGAAATAGTAAGCTGTAGACGATTACCCAAAGGCAAACCATAGAATAGGGAGTGACCATTGTTTTCTGTTTTTACGATAAATGGGGGGGGGGTCATACATTAAGTTCAATATGGCACTTAGGTAATTGAATTGCAGGTACGCATTTCATTTGCCCAAAGGAGTCGCTCGGAGTATTTAAGTGCTATATTGTACTATCACATTTCAGAATATGGGAAAAGAAAAAACAACAAAACGAAGGCGGAAAGTGCCAGTCACTCAAAATAAAAAACTAAAAAAGAAGCAAAAAACAACGCATAGTTTAACATCAGACAGCACGCTACCATACCCGTTATCTCCTGAGAGGGACCCCAACGTAAATGTGTCCAGAAATAACATTAGTAATGATACCTCTTCAGAAGAGGAAACAGGTTGGGACCCATTACAGTCACAACACACCCTCACACAACCGGGGCCCTCTTCCTCGGCTCAGGGGACACCGGGCGGGGCGCGGGCTTCGGGGAGTGGGGGTGTCCAAGTAGGAACTCAGTGGGGCAATCAAATCCCACAATACCATAATATGATGCAACAACCTATCCAACCACCTCTTAGAGGTTACGGAGGAACACAACCATATTGGTGGGAATGGCCGGGAATGGGGACAACCTTAACACCACCAGGCCAACATCAACCAGGAATGCAACAATTCAATGGGGCTTCTTTCCTACCATATCCTAATCAAGGACTCAATCCACAAACATTCAGACCTCATTATGTTCAGCCTCAGGGGATACCGGGGTGGCAAATGGGTCCACAGCATGATCAACTTCAAGGACAGGGGAACAATATGTTTCATAACCAGGCCCCCAGTTCAACCATGCCTAACATGCAAAGGGGTAATATTATGCCATCAATGCCCCTGCTAGACACTTCGTCAGCATTGTTACACACCATCCCTCAGGCTTTACGCCAAAAGATTTGGAACAACGAATTCGTTGAACTCTCAAAATTGTTAGAGGATGATGTTAGCGATGACGAGGTAGCTAGTGGGGTAACTGAAGTTGTTGTAAAAAATGGGAGACAGATATTTTTGCCCCAAAAGAAGGTTAAAAAATATTTGATATACCCTGAATGGCAAAGAGCCTTTCTCATTTTCATCAAGATCTACACCATTCAGTTCCCACTAGAGGCTGGAGACCTAGCCTCATATATGTCTCTGATTCATGGCCTAAAGTTGAAGAATCGAAACTGGGGGAGGTATGACCGCCTCTTTAGGAAGGCCAAGGTGAACAGGCCTTGTTCGTGGGGCATGATGGACCAACTCATATACTATGAATGCCTCAACCTTCCTAGGGGGGAGGTACAAAAGGAAGAAAAGCATCCCAAAAAGTCATGGGGGAATGATAAAGTTAAAAAACAAGAAAAAGAAACAGGGGGCGAGAAGGCAACTAAAACAGGAAAATCTGTCCCTTACATCCCGGGTGGGTTTTGCTGGAGGTTCCACAAAGGGCAAGATTGTAATGGGGGAGATGAATGCAAAGGGAGTCATTTCTGCCCATCACATAAATCAGCCACGCATCCTGCCATCAATTGCCCGGAAGCCCTCAAAACTCCTTTTCGGTCAAAACCAAAGCAATAACAGTACAAATTCAAGTTTTGACAAGAATGCCATACCCATCGTAACGTCACCTTTTCAGTGGGAAGTAAATCAAAATAAAGTCAATCCTAATCCAAATCCACAGACGAGTCATGAAAACAGTTTAGAAGACCCAACCATTATTACACCGGTA